GTTCACCGGCGACGCCAGACACAGGTCCACGTCGTCCTGCACGCCGTCGCCGTCCACGTCCTTGAAGCCCGTGCACACGCCCTCCGTCGTGCCCTCGCACGCGTCGCCGCACCCGTCGCCGTCCAGGTCCGCCTGCCCAGCGTTGGCCGTCAGCGGACAGTTGTCAACGCGGTTGCCGTTGACGTCCGTGTCGGCAACGTTGTCGCCATCGCTGTCTGTGCAGCCTGCGTTCGCAAAGCCAGCGGGTACCACGCCCTGGTCGTTCGCAGGACCCCTCGGACATGTGTCGTCTGCGTTGAGCACACCGTCGCCATCAATGTCGGCGTCGCAAGAGTCGCCGATGCCGTCGCCGTCCAGGTCCGCCTGGTCCGCGTTCGCCGTCAGCGGACAGTTGTCCACCGGGTCGCCGTTCGCGTCCGTGTCCGCCACGTCGTCGCCGTCCGCGTCCGGGCACCCCGGCAGCACGCCGCTCAGGCTCACCACGCCGCCCTCGCCGTTCACCGGGCCTTCCGGGCACTGGTCCTGCGCGTTCGGAATGCCGTCGTTGTCGTTGTCGCCGTCCTCGCACGCATTGCCCACGCGATCGCAGTCCGTGTCAGCCTGGTCGCGGTTGGGAGCATTGCGGCAGTTGTCCCACGGCCGAGTACCCTCCGCGCCGTTGTCGGGGATGAAGTCCGGCACGCCGTCGCCGTCGCTGTCCACACAGCCCACGCCGCTGATGCCGCCCTGACGGTTGCCATCGGCGTTCGCCTTGCACCTGCCGTTGTACAGCCCGTTCGTGTACCAGATCGGAGTCACTACGACCTGTGTGCTTGCCGAGTTCCAGCACTGGTCCGGGCAGCCGCTGTTCGTGCAGCTGCTGCCCGGGATGGGGTTGTCGTCGATTCCGTCGCCGTCACGGTCGGTGTCGCACGCGTCGCCCTCAGCGTCGCCGTCCAGGTTGGCCTGGTTCCTGTTCACGACCGACCTGCAGTTGTCGTTGACGTCACTTCCTTCCGCGCCGTCTTCCGGCACAAAGTCAGACACTCCGTCGCGGTCGCTGTCAAGGCACCCCAGGTACACCTGCGACGCCGGCACGCCCGCCGAGCTCGCCGCCGTCACCACGTTCGTCACGTCGTTCACCGGCGACGCCAGACACAGGTCCACGTCGTCCTGCACGCCGTCGCCGTCCACGTCCTTGAAGCCCGTGCACACGCCCTCCGTCGTGCCCTCGCACGCGTCGCCGCACCCGTCGCCGTCCAGGTCCGCCTGCCCAGCGTTGGCCGTCAGCGGACAGTTGTCAACGCGGTTGCCGTTGACGTCCGTGTCGGCAACGTTGTCGCCATCGCTGTCTGTGCAGCCTGCGTTCGCAAAGCCAGCGAGTACCACGCCCTGGTCGTTCGCAGGACCCCTCGGGCACGTGTCATCGGCATTGCGGACACCGTCACCATCAATGTCGGCGTCGCAAGAGTCGCCGATGCCGTCGCCGTCCAGGTCCGCTTGACTGGCATTCGGCACGCTGGGACAGTTGTCGAGGTGATCAGCAACGCCATCCCGGTCGCTGTCGTCGCAACCGTCTGCGTTGATGAATGGAGGGCGTAGTGTGCTCTCAACAGGGTCCCCAGGGGCACAGAGATCCGGGCAGCCGCCGCTGGGACACGACGAACCGCTTCCATTCGGGTTGTCGTCAACCCCGTCTCCGTCTCTGTCGGCATCGCAAGCGTTTCCGACCCCGTCGCCGTCCGTGTCCCACTGCTGCTTGTTCTGCACACTGGGACAGTTGTCCAAGAAGTCAGCGACGCCGTCACCGAGGCCGGAGTTGGAGTCGACGTCTGAGTCCGGGCATCCGAGGTGCACCAGGTCGGCTCGCACGCCGATCGCTGACACATCAGTCACGACAACCGTCCCAGGAGTGGTGAAAGGACACTCGTCGACGTCGTTGTTCACGCCGTCGCCGTCGATGTCGGAATCGCAAGCATCACCGGTGCCGTCCCCGTCGAAGTCCGCCTGATCTCTGTTCGGGGTGCCGACGCAGTTGTCCGGTCCAACGACTTGCGTGTTGCCGTTCACCTCCACCGTGACTGCAACCTCGTCCGGGATGTCGTCGCCATCGTTGTCCACACAACCATACGACGTCCCTGGCTCTTCAGGACACTTGTCCGGGCAAATTCCATCCACGCACGTCGAGTTGTAGCCACGAGCATTGTCATGGAACCCATCGCCGTCGGCATCGGCGTCGCACTCGTCGCCCACCCCATCGCCGTCGAAGTCGTCCTGTCCGTTAGCGATTTCCGGACAGTTGTCCAGATGGTTGGCGTAGCCGTCGTTGTCCACGTCGCAGCAACCGACGCCAACACCCCCGGACATGACCACACGCGGGCAAGGCAGGCCCGTCCTCCTGTCGACGAAGCTCTCGGGAGGGTTCCTGTTCGCACTCGTCAACTGCAGAGGACATTCGTCGGCTGCGTCAGGCACGCCGTCGTTGTCGTCGTCGTTGTCGCACACGTCGCCGCGCCCATCACCATCAAAGTCCTTCTGGTCCGCGTTGGGACGTTGCGGACAGTTGTCCCAGGCAGTCCCGTTCGGGAAACGGTCGCCAACGTTGTCCTTGTCGGCGTCGTAGCAGCCAGGGAAGAGTGAGTTGGCGTCCGTGCGGTGCACCCGGTCGTTGACAGGTGACAGCGGGCACGCATCAATGCTGTCCGGGATGCCGTCTCCGTCAGTGTCCCTGTTGCAGCCCGGACCCGACTCGCAGGCATCCCCGCAGCCGTCGCCGTCCGTGTCCGTTTGCTGGGAGTTGGCCGCCGACGGGCAGTTGTCTACAATGTCTGGCACCCCGTCGTTGTCCGTGTCCGGGCACCCCGGAGCGTAGGTGTTGTCCGCACCGGTGATGAACGGAGTGTCGAGAGGAGTGAACAGGCAGTCGTCGTAGACGTCCAGGACGCCGTCCGCGTCAGCATCAGTGTCGCACTCATCGCCAATGCCGTCGCCATCAAAGTCGGCGTTGTACCGCCCCTCGAGCGCAGCTGCGATCCTGTCGTCAGAGATGAGCGTCTCGTCCGGGCCGTTGGGACACAAGTCGTTCGGCGTGGTGCTCCCAGTCAGACCGCCCTCAGGCACAAAGTCAGAGTACCCATCCTGGTCGCTGTCCGGGCATCCGAGGAAGATCTTCGCGCGAGGCAGACCCTGACTGTTCGACGCCGTCACCACGTTCGTCACGTCGTTGACGGGCCCATCGAGGCACTTGTCCACGGCGTCGTCGACGCCGTCCCCGTCAACATCAGCCACGCCGGTGCATTCGCCCTCCGTCGTGCCCTCGCACGCGTCGCCGCACCCGTCGCCGTCCAGGTCCGCCTGCCCAGCGTTGGCCGTCAGCGGACAGTTGTCCAGCCGCCGCCCACCGGGCGTGAAGTCCGCCACGTTGTCCTCGTCGCTGTCCAGGCAGCCCGGGTACGTCGAGCTCAGGTCCGTCACGCGCACGTTGTCGTTCACCGGCCCGGTCTTGCACACGTCGTCGCCGTCCAGGATGCCGTCGTTGTCGTCGTCCGGGTCGCACTCGTCGCCGATGCCGTCGCCGTCCAGATCCGCCTGGTCGGGGTTCGGCACCTTCGGGCAGTTGTCAACGCCGTCTGGCACGCCGTCGTTGTCGTCGTCGTTCTCGCACGCGTCGCCCTGCCCGTCGCCGTCCGTGTCCAGCTGGTCCGCGTTCGGCGTCAGCGGGCAGTTGTCGTCGCCGTCCAGGATGCCGTCGTTGTCGTCGTCCGCGTCGCACACGTCGCCCTCGCCGTCTCCGTCGGTGTCCACCTGCCTCGGGTTGCTCGCCGCCGGACAGTTGTCGTTCGCCGTGCCCGTCTCAGCACCGCCCGCCGCCGTGTTGTCAGACACACCGTCCCTGTCCGCGTCCGGGCACCCGATAAACACCTGCGACGCCGGCACGCCCGCCTCCGCCGCCGTCACCACGTTCGTCGCACCGTTCACCGGCGTCGTCAGACACTCGTCCACGTCGTCCGTCACGCCGTCGCCGTCGCGGTCGTTCACGCCCGTGCACGCGCCCTCCGTCGAGCCCTCGCACGCGTCGCCGCACCCGTCGCCGTCCAGGTCCGCCTGCCCCGCGTTGGCCGTCAGCGGACAGTTGTCCACCGGGTCGCCGTTCGCGTCCTCGTCGGCCACATTGTCGCCGTCCGCGTCCGGGCACCCCGGCAGCACGCCGCTCAGGCTCACCACGCCGCCCTCGCCGTTCACCGGGCCTTCCGGGCACTGGTCCTGCGCGTTCGGAATGCCGTCGTTGTCGTTGTCGCCGTCCTCGCACGCATTGCCCACGCGATCGCAGTCCGTGTCAGCCTGGTCGCGGTTGGGAGCATTGCGGCAGTTGTCCCACGGCCGAGTACCCTCCGCGCCGTTGTCGGGGATGAAGTCCGGCACGCCGTCGCCGTCGCTGTCCACACAGCCCACGCCGCTGATGCCGCCCTGACGGTTGCCATCGGCGTTCGCCTTGCACCTGCCGTTGTACAGCCCGTTCGTGTACCAGATCGGAGTCACTACGACCTGTGTGCTTGCCGAGTTCCAGCACTGGTCCGGGCAGCCGCTGTTCGTGCAGCTGCTGCCCGGGATGGGGTTGTCGTCGATTCCGTCGCCGTCACGGTCGGCGTCGCACGCGTCGCCCAGACCGTCGCCGTCAAGGTCGGGCTGCCGTCCGTTGACCCTCGGGTTCGACAGTCCAGGGCAGTTGTCTTCAAAGTCAGCGACTCCATCCCTGTCTGCGTCGCGGCACCCATCAGGAGTGACGTTTCCAAGCTGACGAGAGAAGCCGGCATCTTCCTCGTCGCCATCGCCAGGGCACACGTCCTGGGAGTCTGGAACGCCGTCGTTGTCGTCGTCAATGTCGCACGGGTCGGCGTAGCCGTCGCCGTCGGTGTCGACGTTGTTCGTGCTCGAGACCAGAGCAGGATTGCAACCGTCCCCGCACTTGGATGCCTGACAGAGATCCCACACAGAGCGGGGGCAGTCCACATGCAGCTCACTGCAGTCGGGCAGGTTGTCGCCGTCCGGGTCCGGGCAGCCCGGGGCCGCGGAACTCGCGTCCGTGACACGGCCACCAAAGCCGGGGCACTTGTCCGGGCACACGTCGTCCACACACGTGCTGCCAGGAGCGGAGGGGTTATCGTCGAATCCGTCGCCGTCGGCGTCCGCGTCGCACGCATCGCCGACGCCGTCGCCGTCCAGGTCGGGCTGCTCGTCGCCCACCTTGGGGTTGGGTGTCTGCGGGCAGTTGTCCTCCAGGTCGGGCACGCCGTCGCCGTCCTCGTCAATGAAGAGCAGCTCCACAGTGGCCAGAGTGCCGAGCGAGCCGCTGTACTGGGGGTCCGTCGAGGCGCCCTCGATGGTCAGCGGGAAGATCAGGTGCTCCGGAGTCACGTCGCCTGCCCGGAGAACGAGCGGCGTGGTCCAGTTCCACTTGCTCGGCGTCACCGTGAAGTTGGCGAGCTGGCACAGACTGGATCCGGCCTGCTGGAGCGACCTCCGGAACCCAGTTCCGGGCGGCTGCACAGGCAGCACCTGTGAGGAGAGCACGCCGCGGCTCAGGAGGGCGCAGTCCATCTTCACCGTGAGGAGCACGGGAGACGTTGGCTTCGAGGTGAGACGCACGTTCACCACCGTGCTGTTCCCGTCCGCCAGCGTGACGCGATCGGCGGACGACAGGACGCCCGCGGTGTCGTCATCTGCGACGTTCACCACCACGGTCGCCACAGTCCCGGCGTTGGCGAAGAAGGTGTCGTTGCCGAAGAAGTTGAGGGTCACGTTCACCTGGCGGGCCCCGCGCGCGACGAATTCGTTCACGCCGGTCACCAGCAGGTGCTTCACGCGCTCGTACGCGCCGGGCTCGAAGTACAGGTTGGTGGCATCCAGCTGGATCTCGCCCGACTGGCTGGCCGAGACCAGGGCGGCACGGACCTGCGTGATGTACAGCGGCGGCGTCGAGATGCGCAGACGGATGTCGCGCGTGTTGCCCTCCGTGACCGACATGGTCAGCACGCTTGGCGCCGGCCGGTTGACCGCGACCGCAGGCAGCGAATTGGGCGTCGAGGCACACCCTGCCTGGGCCGGGAGGCAGACAGTCGGGAACGAGCCCGCAACGGTGGCCGCCGCGATGGCAACCTGCGGCTCCGGGCCCGCCGCATCGACGTCGTAGATGCGTGGGAACTGGAACGGCTCGGGCTCGATCACCACGACGCTGACGGTGTCCACGGAGGACTTGGAGTTGTAAGGGCATGAAGCGCACGACCCCCGAATGGCCAGGGACACGTTCAGGTGCCCCGTGGGCTGCAGGTCGAGCAGCTTGGGCGTGATCTTGACAACCTGGCTGCTCTTCCAGTCCGTCGTTGTGAATTGCAGCTGGCTGGGGTTGATCTCCAGGAAGGTCTGCCACGTGCGGATCAGCTTCTGCTGCGAGTCGAGGGGCAGGCTGCCGTACAGGAACTGCACGCTCGCCTCGGAAATGTCAACGGTCACCTGCGACAGCGGCTTGGAGTTGAGAGACACTCCGATGTAGATGCTGCCGTTGTTGCGCACCGCGTAGGCCGTCTCCCAGCGCGGCGGCACGGTCGCCGGCGCGAGGACCGGCTGCACGGCCACGCCAGCAGGCCCGCCCGTGGTCGCGTTCGTCCCGACCAGGAAAGTGGACGCACGGATGACCGCGAAGTTGACGTCAGTCACGTTGACTGTCGCCGTTGCCAGCATGCCCTGGAACGCAATGGGGGGCGTCCCCGTCGCAGCGACTTCGACGCCAACGGAGCGCGTGCCGGACGCCTCGTCGCCGCCGACCGCCGTGAACCGGAAGGGCTTCAGCTGCTGGTAGTCAGCCTTGGTGAAGGTGACCGAGGGCAGCGCCGCGGTCCCGTCGAGGGCGGTCAGCACGCCCTGCGCGGTCGCAGTCATAGAGAGCGTCAGCGTGCACGGCGTCACGCCGAAGCACTCGGAAGGCGGCGCACTGGACAGGTTGGCGAAGATCGTCCCGTTGGTCAGCTCCTGCACCGTCAGGCTGCCCGTCGAGTTCGCGATGCGAGAGATCGCCCCACTGGCATCCACCTGCCACAGCTGGATCTCCGCGACGTCGTTGTCCGTGGCGGTGTACGTCATGGGCGGCATGTCAAAGGCGCCAGCGCCCGACTGCCTGCCGTACAGGGGGTCGACCGTCGAAACGACGTACTCGATAGTCACGACAAAGTTGCCCGTCGCGATGTCGTTGTCGAAGACGTGCACGTACACCGGCTGCCACTCGAACCAGTCGCCCGCCTTGAACACCAGCTCCAAGCTGCCCGTAAAGGTGCCGTTCTTACTCGTCGAGATGCCGGCGAAGCGAGTGCCGTCGCCGCCGACGGCGTTCGTGATCGTCGCCGTGATAAAGACGTCCTGCGTGGGCTGCACGGGCAGCGCCAGCCAGTACTCCTCGAAGGAGCCCTCAGGGATGACGGTCGAGTTCGAGCTGATCAGCAGCGGCCCGCGCGCCAAGAAGCGGCTGCTCGTCACCGCCGACAGACCCAGCGAGTTCTCGACGACCGAAAACACCTCGTACACGGCGCCGGGGGAGAGGTCCGTCAGCGCCACTGCGCTCAGACCGCGCTGCAGGTTCTCCGCTGTAGCCGCGAGCTGCTCGGGCCCGATGGGCACGACCTCCGCGCCGCCAGGCTTCTGCACTCCGACGGTCATAAACGCCGCGTTGCCGACGCGGCGTGCGACGTACACCGCCTGCAGGAGCACGACCTCCGACTCCGCGAGGCTCACGCTGGCAGAGATGGTGGCCGTGGGCGCCCATGCCAGGAGACCCTCGTCGTCGTCCGCGCCGTCGGTGGTGGTCAGCTGCACCCACGTCCCGCCGTTCCTGAGCATGAAGAGGGCGGCAGGTCCCGAAGACCTCACCGCAAAGCGGTACGCGCCAGCGCCCCCCGCGCCAGCATTGAAGTAGCCGCGGGTCAGCACGCCGTGGTTGTCGGCCGCGGACGCGTTGGCGTAGCTGTAGACGTGGCGCCAGTGGCCAGTGAGCAGGCTCTCCGCCGTGTGCTGGAACACCGTCTCTGCCTGCAGGTTGGCCACGTCGCTGCCCGTCATGGGAGCCGCGTACTCCCTGACGCTGACGCTGCTGCCGAATGACAGCAGGCCGGCCTCGGGCACGGGCACGGGGCGCTCGACGCCCGGGTGCGCGCCCCGCCAGGCCTTCTGGCTGATGCCCGCAGTGCGCAGCGCCTGGCGGACGGCAGCGACCGACAGCAGCTCGCCGCCGGTGTGATGCCACCACAGCGCAGACTCGTACTTGGTGCTCCACGCCTGCCACCGCGCGGCAGCCCAGGCAGCCCAGCTGTAGGTGCGCGCCGAAGCGTCGCTGGCCCAGCTGAGCAGACCGTACTCGCGCTGCGGGTTCTGAGTGTCCGGGTAGACGAACAGGAAGTCGAGCAGCATGAGCTCGCCCGTCGCCAGCGAGACGCCGGAAGACACGCTCGAAGCGGCGTCCAGTGCGCCCAGTGGGGTGTCCAGCTCCTCTCCAAACACGATCGTGGCGAGGGGCGTCGGGCCCGACGCGCGGCGCGTAGCCGTGCCGCCGGAGCGGAACGCCCTGAGCTCGGCCGAGGACCCGGCCTTGATGCCGAAGGTGTACGTCGCCGCCTGCGGGGCGACGAACACGCTGCGCGCGCGCACGGCCAGCTTCTTGCCCGCCGGGATCACCACGGGGCTCGCGGCGGTGCTGATCGTGCTCAGGGCCGAGGTGGGGTCGGCGGCGCTCAGGAAGAAGTCGCCGCTGTGCGAGAACTTGGCGACCGGCGTCAGATCCGAGTCCACGTCGCGCAGGGCGATGCTGCTGCCAACATCCACCAAGTACAGCTCCACGATGGCGCCGGCGGGGCCCGGGTGCATGCCGTTGATGGTTGGGGCCGAGGAGATGGTCGCGACAGCCACGTCCGTCTCCGAGGCGCCCGGGAGCGCCGCGGCGAGCGCGGACTGCAGCGGGAAGGCCTCAATGGGGCCGTCGTTGTACTGCGGCGCGTCGCCGGAGAGGCGCTGGATGGCGGCGCGCACGCGGTCGCCCGGGAGGTTGAGCGCCGTGTTCTTCACCGCCTGGGCGGAGGGCACCGACTCGTCGATCGACCCGGCCACCTGGCGCACCACGTAGTAGGCAGTCGAGCAGCGCAGGCCGATGGCGTCCGCGGTGCACGGCGCGAGCGAGAACTGGTCGCTGTCCACGGAGAGTAGGACGTTGGCGGTGTCCGCGACGGCCACCGTGGAGCCGAGGTCCACCGCGGGCGCGTAGGGCGCGCGCGGCACAGGCTGCAGCGCGTTGCAGGACGTGGCACCCGTCTGGTTCTGGTACGTCCCGCGGGCGCACGCCGTGCAGGTGCTGCCCGCGCTGGGGCTGAAGAACCCGGGCTCGCAGGGCTGGCACTGCGCCTCCTGCGTCGACCCGGCCGGGCTCGAGGCGCCAGCGTCGCACGGCGAGCACCCGCTGGGGCCGCCGAAGAAGCCAGCGTCGCACGAGCACGTCGTGGCGTTCTGCGCCGGCACGGAGTTGGCGGGGCAGGGCGCGCACGACGCGGAGCCGGCGGCCTTGTACTCGCCGGGCGGGCAGGACGAGCACGTGAAGCCCGAGCCCTGGTAGCCCGGGGCGCACGTGCACGTGTAGTTGCCGGCGGTGTTCTCGCACACGGCGAGCGGGTCGCACGCGTGCGTGCCCTCCGCGCACTCGTCGATGTCCGTGCACACCTGGCCGTTGCCGCGGTAGCCGGCATTGCACTCGCAGCTGAAGCTGCCGGGCGTGTTGGTGCAGGTGGCATTGGCATCGCACGCGCCCCGGTTCAGGCACTCGTTGATGTCAACGCACTCCGTGGCCGTGGAGCCGCGCTCGTAGCCGTCGTCGCAGTCGCAGACGAAGCCGGGGTCGGTGTTGCGGCACACCGAGTTGGGCCCGCACCCGTCGGTGCCCAGGGTGCACTCGTCAAGGTCATTGCACTTGACGCCGTCCCAGACCGTGCCCTCCGGGCAGGGCTCCGGCGGCGCGATGATCTGGCAGGACGTGCCGTCGAACCGCTGGCCGACCGGGCACGCCCTCACCGCGAAGTTCTCCGTCCCGACGTTGGCGTTGTCGTAGGCGGGGTCCGTCGACGACGACGTCATCACGACGTCGAAGTTGTACGGGTCGCGCACCCACCCGGGATCCACGACGCGGACGAAGATGACCTGCTCCTGCGCCCAGCTCAGGCCGTCGAACGTCAGCGTGACGGGGGCTGAGCCAGAGGGCGTCCAGTTCACCCCGTCCGTCGACAGCTCCACGCCCGAGATGGAAGGCCCGGCGGCGGAGACGACCACCGGTCCGCTGCCGGCAGCCGCGATCGCGACGAAGATGCGCTCGACGTTCTGCTCCGCGCTCTGGATGGTGTTGTTCGTGGTCCGGATGGGCAGGAAGCCCTTGGTCATGAACATCACCTGGGACACCCCCGACACGCCCGACGTGGAGTTCAGCGCGCTCACGAGGCGGTAGCCGGTGGCCGGCGCCAGGCTCGGCGTCGGGAGCGAGAGCTGCGAGCTGCGGTGCAGGCTGAAGCTCGGCATGGACAGCCACAGCCCAGGCACCGTGTAGGTGCCGTCGTAGACGCCCGTGCCCGCGACGGTCACGGCGACGACGACCTTCTCCAGCGGCAGGGTGGTCACGCGGCTGGTGAACTTGAGCTCGACCGGGAGGACGTCCCCGCCTGAGAGGGTCTGCGCCGCACCCGGGACGGTGGTGGCCGAGCCCGGGGTGCGCGAGATCACCTGGGAGCCGATCAGGAGGGACGCGCGGTGCCCGCCCTGCAGCGAGAAGGTGTACGTGCCGCTCGCAGGCACGCGCAGGAAGCCCCGGGCGCGTACGCCGTAAAAGGGCCTCCTGCACGGTCCGGAGTTGCACGCCGCGCGCGCGTCCACCAGCTCCTGCTCGAAGTTGACGTCGACGAGGGAGTCCAGCACGTCGAGCTCGAACCCGCCGAGCTTGCGCACGGACTTGGTGCCCACGCCGTTGTCCACCTGGCTCAGCGAGTTGCCCACCACGGGCCACACGCGGTCCACCGAGAGACCCTGGATGAAGGGCTGCTTGCCGTTGATCGCCGCGGGCGTGCTCTCGTTCACCAGTACGCCCCGCTGCAGCATCACGCCGCCGTCGGCCACCAGGGGCAGCGCAGCGCGTACGTCGCGCGCCCCAAAGGGCTTGGCAGCCGCAGAGCCGCTCTTGACCGTCATGGTGAACGTCTTGTCGCCGCGCGTGTGCACGTAGTCGATGAAGAGCAGCTCGCCCTTCGCGACGTTGACGCCGGAGCTCGTCTGCACGAGGGCGCTGTTCGCGGTGTCGTAGCTGAGGAGCGGCGTGGTGAACTGCTGCTCCTGGTTCGCCGTCTGGTACGCCCAGTCGCCCCACGCGAACTGCGGCACGGGCTTGGCGGCCCACAGCTGGCCGTCCGCGCCCGCCTGGACCGAGAACGCGTACGTCGCAGTCGCCGGCGCCACGAAGAAGGCGCGCTTCCTGACCACAGTGGTGTCAGGCAGCGACCCGTCGTGAGACAGGCCGTCCGTGCTCACGCCCGTGGACGAGGGCAGCAGGCCGAGCTCGCGCACGCTGGTCACGAAGGCCCGCGCCGCCGTGCCGCTGGCCAGCGGCGCGTCCGCGGTGTAGAGGCTGGTGAGGGTGCCAAATGCGCCTACCGTGTGGAAGCCCGTCGGCGGCGTCGCGCTCGGGAGCGCGATGGGCGAGACGATCGACGCGGGGGAGACCGCGACCGACCCCGCCTGCACCGCCCCGCTCACGCCGCTCACCACGTCGGCCGCAGCGGGCGCCGCCGACAGCCCCGCGGCCGGCAGGATGGCGAAGAACACGCTGCCCGGGCGGTCGACGAGGGCGTCGACCTTCAGCGACCCCGGATCGGCGCTCGCGATGGTCATCAGCGGCGCGTCGACGGAGACCGCGGAAGGCGGCCCCCCGGCCGGGGGGTTGTACGGCAGGGGCGCCGTGGTTGCCGGCACCGCCTCACCCGTGCCCAGCGTGCCGGAGACGGTCAGCGTGAACGGCTCGGGCACGCCGTCGTAGTACGCCTCGGGCGCGAGGCGCACGACCACGGTGCTCGTGGCGTCCGAGATCGACCCGTCGGGGCCCGAGGTGGTGATGGTGTACTCCAGGTTGGGCCCGCTGACGAAGGTGACCCCCCCGTCGAGCGAGTACTCGACGTACTGGCAGACCGGCGAGTCGCTGCACGTGATGTCGATCGTGTGCGTCCCGCCGGGCGCCCGCACGAGCTCCACCTCGATCTCCTCCACGTCGTCCGCGGCGACAAAGGCAGCGCGCTGGCCGGTCGCGCGGATCGACGGCGCGACGACGCTGGCGGCCGTGACCTCGCCGGACGGCAGCGCGACGTACAGCGCGTACTGCTTGCCGGCGGGGGCGGGCACCGCGACGCCTGCGCGGAACGCGGCGAAGGAAGGCGCCGCGACCTGGTTGCGCGGCAAGGGGCCCGTGACGGTCGCGCCGCTGGGGACCATCGACACGGACACGCCGCACAGCTGCGCGCACGTGTACGTGACGACGAGCAGCGCGGACGAGGAGGTCGGCGTCAGCGCCCCCCCCGCGGAGGTCGTGCCCGCAGGGACATCGGCCAGGCTGACCCACGTCGTCTCGCCGCCGGAGCCCTCGATGCCGGCCCAGAGCTTGGCAGCCGCGCCGCCAGTGACCGTGACGGCAACGTCGTACGCGGTGTTCGGCGAGGCGACGGCCACGAGGCCCGAGAGCACACCAGAGTGGGGCGCGTTGCCCAGCTTGCTCTCCAGCACGAAGCCGTCAGAGACGATCTCGACGCTGATCGGGCCGGGAGCGCGGGGCTTGACGACGCCAGGCGCGAGGTCGTCGAGCGACACGGTGCCCGCGAACTTCTCGGAGCGCACACCGGCAGCAACGCCAAACCTGTTGCCGGGGAGCGCCGTCGACGCGACGCCCGGCGCAGGCCCGGCGCTGCACGGCAGGTAGCCGCAAGCGCCCGCGGAAGCAGGGACGCGCAGCATCGAAGCCGGTAGCGGCAGGCCGTTGATCAGGTTGACGTCCGGGGAGCTGCCAAGCAACACGTCGAAGCTCGACGCCGCGGACCCGACGGCGCCGACGGCGTGCAGGTACGTGGCTTCGAGGAGCACCGGCACGCCTGCGGACAGGCTGACGCTGTCGGTGGTCTCCGTGGGGCCAAACGAGCGGTACTCGTGCACCACCGTGCGCGTGGAGAAGTCCCACGTGGCGCCGGGAAGCGACAAGGCGATCTGCACCTGCCCCGACGGGCCGGCGCTCGACCGGAAAGAGTAGCTCCCGGCCACGTCCGGCACGAAGAACGCGCGCACCACGACGGCGTAGTTCGACCGCGCGGAGGCAGTGAACTCCAGCGCCGACGTGAGCTGGCGCGACTCGAGCGGGAGCGCGCCCGCGCGAGCCGCGCGAATCGTCTCGGCGATGCGGCTGCTTGTGGCGGTGACATCGCCCACCGTCATCACGCGCGCCTCGCCGCCAAGGACGCCGCTGGGGATCTGGCCCGCGATGGCGCCAGGGACCGTGGTCGGCGCCCCCGCGGGCGGCACGTACGCGGGAGCGATCACCGCGTCCGAGCCCGATCCGGACGCGACCACGGTGGCGCCTGCGAGGGGGCCGGTGAGCCCGCTGAGCTCCGCAGCCGATGGCAGCACGACGCCCACGGCAGGGTCCACCTCCACGAGAGCCCAGTCATACGGCGACAGCTCGGCCGTGACGATCGACGCGAACGCCGTCAGACCGTTGCGGTCCACGACGACGGCCGGCGCAACGTTGCGCGCCACCAGGTCGAGCTGCAGGCCCACGTTGCCAGTCAGACCCTGGAACCTGACGTCAGTCGACGCTGCCGAGTGCGCGAGCGTCAGCACGCCCGACGTCGTCGTCGACCGTGGGTCCATGCGGTAGTAGATGCGCTCCAGGCCGGCCCAGTTGATCCCCGTGAAGACCAGCGTGGCCGTGGACGCCCAGGCGCTCTCGGCGATGCGGCCGCTCGTGTCCAGCGCGGACGCCGGCGCGAACTGCACGCCCGTGGGCGCCGTCACCGTGACGGTGACCGTCCGCTGCGAGGATCCGTCGTTCTGCGCGCGCCCGGCCAGGGAGACCACGTGGGACCCAACCTGGCCGCGCTCGCTCAGGAGGACACGGTCCGCCGTGAGGGAGCCGCCGAGCGTCGACAGAGCGGTGCCTGCGACGAAGAGCACGGTCGTGGCCTTGGACACGCCCGCGTCGTTCACCGCCGCCACGTAGGCGACGTACAGGTCGCCCGCCACCAGATTGGCGCCGGGGATGTTGATGTCGCCGCGCAGCACGCCGTTCTTCGCCTGCTGGACTTGTCCAGCGGACGAGGTGACCGGCAGCACGCTGTACGCGCCCCCGTCGTTCGGGCCCGACATCTCCACGGCAGTGTCGTACGTGGCGCCCTGCACCGACAGCGCGACCGCCAGCAACACCCGCTCGCCCTTAGCGAGCGAGAGCGTCGCGGCGGAGCTCGCGGTGCCGGATCCCTGGACCGTCCGGACGATCTCTGACCCCGTAGACCTCCTCAGGACGAGGACTGCTGCGTCCTGTCCCGCCTCCTTCGTGACGCGGAACTTGTGCGTGCCGGCCGTAGCCGCCACGAACACGCCGCGCATGGCGGTGGTCTCGGACGCCGCCGACGACGCCCTGGTCAGGCGGAAGGTCGAGTAGAGCGTCGAGAAGGAGGCCACAGTCGGCTTGGCAGAGTCGCGGGCCACTGCTGCCAGGGCAGTGGAGCCCACAGTGCGGCTCGACTTGGTCACGACAGCCACGCCGAGGCCGATCGGGTAGAACCCGCCGATCGCGGTGGGCCACGCCGTGGAGGGCGTCGCGGTCTGGACGTCGGGGGAGCTGCGCGTGCCCACAGATGGCGCGGCAGCCACCACCATGTCCTCCGGGACGTGCGTCCACTGCGTGTAGCCCTGGGCCGGAGCCAGGATGTCGAGCGACACCTGCGCTGTGTTGCCCGAGCCGATGAGCACGACCTCCACGACCACAGGCTGCGAGGCGGACAGCGTCACCTGGCCGGTCGCCGAGCGCGCCCCGGCACCGAGGGGGATGATCTCCCGCGGGGTCTCGCCGGGCGCCAAGAGCCTGACCGCGGCCTGCCCGGGCTGGCTGACGCCGCCGGGGGTGTCCACGCGCAGGCTGACGCTTGCGCCGTCCAGGCCCGCCAGCGCGCCCGTAGGCACGAGGAAGGCGCGCAGCACCAAACCGAACGACCCGCCCGCCTGCGAGGGCTCCCGCACCGCGAACCCGCCCGTCGCGGACCGCACGCCCGCGGCGGAGGTGCCCAGGTCGGGGTGTCCGCCGAGGATGGCGCGGTAGAACGCGGCCGCCGTCGCGAAGGTGTCCGTGGGCCACGGCAGGTACCGGAAGTACATGCCGGCGCCCGCGGGCACCGAGCCGGCGCTGAGCGGCTGCACGGCGGCCAGGGCCGGCCCCGAGTAGGAGTAGGCGCTCTGCACCGCCAGGGTGGCGCTGCCCGCGAAGCCGCCGGTGCCCGCGGCAGCGGCCGCGTCGCCCGCCTCGAGGGAGGCGACGTCGTTCGAGGGGGTCGACGCAGCGAGGCGCTTGACGGCCGCGACGACCTGGCCCTGGCCGTCGGCCAGGACGTGCAGCACGGGCGCGCCGTTGGTGTCGGTGCTCACGGAGGCCACGGGCGCCGAGGGCAGCAGCCCGGGGACCAGGGTGAGCACGTTCGAGTCGGCGTTGGGTGGCCGCGCGCCCGCGGGCCCGTCGCCGATGATGCCGGGGGTGTCCGCCTTGACCTGCACGTTGACGCCGCGCTGCAGGAGCGTGGCGTCGAACACGAGGCCGTCGAGCCGGTACGCCTTGTCCGAGATGGCCACGAACGACAGCTGCTGCGTCGTGGGGGCGCTCGCCACGTAGGTCACTTCAACGGCCACAGATGCGCTGGAGATAACCACGGGGAGAGAGAACTCGAGGTAGAGGCTGTGCGGGCCCGTGTCGCCGTCCGCGGGCTGCGAGACCCAGGCGATGGCGGTCGGCAGGCGGTCCTGGCTGTACGCGTAGACGACCGTCGTCACGGGCTGGCTCGTGGTGAGCTGGTAGTCGCGCGGGCCCGTGGCCGCCACGTACACGCCCGGGGTCGCGGGCGGGAACGGCGCGGGGCTCTGGCCGCCCGTCGAGGGCGGGAGCGGCAGGCCGAGGTAGTCCCACACCGTGGTGACGGGGACCTGGCCGTTGGCGCTGCGCGCGACCGACACCTGCTGGAAGAACGGCTGGCCGCCGGACACGGGCGCCGGGTCCACGCTCGCGGTGAAGCTGTCCGAAAACAGCGTCACCAGGGTGGAGTTGACGATGCCCGTCGACGCCTTGACCACCTGGACGGGCAGCTCCGTGGGGGAGCGTGCGGGCGGCTGGTTGACGCTGTCGCAGGAGCCGCCCGAGACCTCGAACCCGCTGGCCGACGAGACGCGGGTGTACGCGCGCGCGAAGGCCACGCCGTTGTCCTTGTTGTCGTTGTCCATGTCGAGCCAGATGTGGTAGGGCATGGTGACGACCGAGGAGATGGTCCACTCGCCGTTGGAGATGAACTTGTCCCTGATGTAGCTGGTGATGTCCAGGGAGAACCCGCAGCCCTCGCACGAGTCGTGCATGTCGCCGAGCGGGGCGGTGCCCACGCCGCGCGTCACGTACGTGGAGCCCCCCTCGTGCAGCGACCACGACGGGTTCGCGTTCTTGAGGTCCGTGCCGCCGCGGCCGGGGCAGGGCTCCTCCTGGGAGCACTGCAGCGGCGTCGTCAGCGGGTTGCTCCTCATCGGCGCCGCCACCGGGACGCCGTCGTGCTTCTTGCGCACCGCCCCGACCAGGTTGCCCTTGTTGGGGCTGGTGAAGGCCGCGACCTCGAGGTCCAGGAAGACGCTCGTCGCGCCGCTCGCAATGTCCGCCGCGGAGACCGCCGCGGGGTCCAGCTTGACGCCGTAGATGAGGTCGTGCTTGGGGTACGTGGCGCTGACGCAGTTGGCGAAGTTCTTCTTGTACGAGATGTACGGGTGGCAGCGCGACCCGACGGTGACCTCGTCGCCGCCCGTGTGCTCCAGGCACGCCCACCCGGGGCTGTTCGCGCCGTTGTCGCACGTCGAGTGGAACCCGTTTTGCCGCGTGACGATGGCGTAGTCCGCGAACCCGTCGCGCGGGTACGTCTGCCCGATCGACGTGCACGAGGGCGCCACGGGGATGACCGGGAACAGCACCGACGAGTTCGCGTGCACCGACGCGTTCAGCGGGTTGTTGAACTTCATCTCCAGCTGGATGTAGCGGATGCGCGACCGGTACCCGAGGGTCTCGGGAACGTACTCCACGGTGCCGTTGAGCCAGACGTCCGCGCTCCGCGACGCGTAGCGGACGCAGGTCGGCGCCGACGGCGGGCAGGAGCGCGCGCGGTACACGTTCGTGTAGTTGCTCCACAAGTCCGTGGCCGGCGCGAGCGCGGCGCCGGAGCTGGCCGCGCCGCGCCACGACACGGCCCCGCCGGGCACGGCCACCACGTCGGTCGTGAAGTTCTGCCCGATCGTGGCCGTGTAGTACGCCAGCGCCGCCGGGACGGGGGCCGCAAAGGGCCACATGTGGTCGTCCACGACCGTCGAGAGCGTCACCGGCGTCGGGTCGCTCGTGCCGGACATGCACAGCCCGGGGAGCGACAAGAACGCCTGGCGCGGCGCGGAGCTCGCCGCGTACGTGTGCCGCACCGTCGCCCGCAGCACCAGCAGCTTCTGCGGCAGCGTGATGTCCTCGGGCGGGATGATGCCGTCGTTCTCGTCCAGCGTGATGACGCCGTGGTCGGGGTCCCGGCACTGCCGAACCTTCTCCACCCACTCCCGGTCGGAGCCAGACCCGGACTTGTCAGACCCGGACTTGTCAGACCCGGACTTGTCCGACCCAGACTTGTCCGACCCAGACTTGTTGCCGTTGCTGGAGCTCGCGCGGTTGCACCCGAAGCGGTTGCCGAACAGGAAGCTCAGGAAGCGGAAGCGCTCGATGTAGTCGCACGCCCGCCTGCGCGTCCGCGCCACGTACCTGCCCCGGCAGCAGTTCCCCCACGGGGACACCATCGCGAAGCAGTGGCCCTCCTCGCCGGAGCTGGCGCTGTCCCTGCACTCGTCCCACGGCGCCTGCACAACAAAGGGAGGGGTGGGCGCGGGCCGCAGTCACGCGCGCGCGCTCGCACGGCGCGCCGCGAGCGTCGCGGGGCAGCGGGTCGGGCAGGGCGCACGCACCGCGTTGGAGAGCTTGCACTTGGGCTTCTTGGCCTTGTCCGAGTCGGAGCCGCTGTTGGCATCCGAGCTGCTGGAGCTCGAGTGGTAGTCCGTGGAGCTCCCGGAGCTGCAGCCGGACCTGTTGCCCTTGCCCTTGCCCTTGCCCTTGAGCATGCGTCCGCGCACGTGCGCGCTCCGGGCGTGGATGGGCGTGCCGCCGGGGCCCAGCTGGAGGTCCTCGAGGGAGGCCTCCTCGCGCGCGCGGGCGCGGTACTCGCTCGAGGTGCGGCTGAGCTCGTCCACGACGGAGCGCAGGGAGCGGCGGCGCGAGCCCGTGTCCGTGCCGTTGGGCGCCAGCTCCCGGAAGGTGAACCCTGCGGGGCGCGCGAGGGCAGGAGGCGCCGCGGGGGTGGGCGCGGGCGCGCGGGGGGGCGCGGGCGCGCGCCTCGGGGGCGGGGAGCGAGGGATCGTGGTCGCGCGCGCGGGCGCGGGCGGTTGCGGGCGCGGGCGGCGCGCGGGCGCACCTTCAGAGGCTGACGGCATCTCGAGCACGTCCATCACGGTGTACGAGACGACCGTGATGGGGTTCGCGCCGGTCTCCGGCGTGAGGGACGACACGAAGACGTCGTTCACCGTCTCGCCCGCCACGGGGCAGCGCGCCTGTCCCGCCACGTACTCCTTGTCTGGTCCGCAGACAGTGTAGAGCACGTGCGTGAACGTGACGTCCGAGGTCCCCGACGGGGGACCCGGATCTGCGAGCAGAGGGGGCAGCCGGGCGGCGGCGGTGAGCGGGAGCTGCGAGGTGGTCGGGCGGCCCCGGCTGCCTCGTGCGTTCCGGGAGGGGCACGAGAACCGAGGCCGGCGGCAGAGGACGGCCGCGACGAAGCGGGCGGCCGCGACGCATGCAGACCAGGGTGGAGGCTCGGGGGCGCGACGCGCGCTGCCGGGCAGGCGGCGTGGGCGGCGTGGGCAGCTCCATGGAGGGAGCATTTCTCATGGGTCGTACGGGGGCGTGCGTGGGCCCCAGTCGGGAAAAGGGGCGGAAAATTTCGACGTGAAGATCTGAGGGTGCGGCGGGCGCGGTGCTGCCGCGCGCACGGGGCGTGGTGCGGCGAGGAGCGGGAGCCGGTTACTGAAGGGCACCCGTCGTCCCGCGTGGGCGTCCAGGGCAGGACGGCTGCCCCTGGTTCGCCGGAAGAATCGTCAGGATGCATGGAAACGCAGGAGCGCGCGCACGCGCGTCCGGGCTGGTCCGTGCCGCGGGGCGAACGCGTGGTGGTGAGGCTGGTGAATCGCAGCCGCTGCCCTCTACCCGCCGCGACAGGCCGTGGCCGCCCTCGCCCGGGAGCGTGGGGCCGTTTTCACGTTTACGGGAGCGCTCCAGGCGCGAGCGCGGCGCCGGTGCGGCGTCGAGGGGGCGCGGTAGGCCAGAGGGCGGGTCTGGGCTACTCACTCGTCCATGTCCAGTGCAGCGACCCACCCAGGACCTCGCCCTCACAGATAGGGCTACTGGCCTGGGCGAACGCCGCGACGGACGCCAACACCAACACAATCCACCAGAACTGCATGGTTTCGGCGCTACCTAAACGTCTAGGGGGTGGCTTCACGAAGCCATCTTGCGACGGTCCTGTGCGTCGCACTGCTACCATGTGTCGTTCCAGCCAACACAATCTGCCCCACGCGCCGCCCGCGCCGCCCCTTGTCCGCCCGGCCGCCCCCACCGCGCCCCTCGCCGCCTTGATTCAGGAGACGCCCACACACCACCCGCGCCCGCGCGCGACGCACGGCGCCCGCGACGGGGGCGCGCCGGCGCCGCGACGCGGGCGCGCACCGGAGCGCCCCCCGCGCCGCGCGGTCTGTCCGTTTGCGCCCCGGGGCGCGCACTGCGGCGCGGGCCTAGCAGCTCCTAGCGCCATGGCATCAGGGCGGTTCCGGCGGCCGCGGGGGCGTACGGCGCCGCGCGCGCACGTGCGTCCGGGATCGCTGCACGCCGCCCGGCGTTGACGCGGAAGCGCAGTTACACGGCCCCCCGGACTGCCCGGTCATGCCACGGCACTACGACTCGCTCGTGGCGCGCCTCCGTCCGGCCTCGGCCTCGAGGCGCTCCCACATGCCCGCGCAGGCCTCCCTGATGTGTAGGATCTGGGTCCGCACGTACCCCAGGCTCTCCTCGTGCTCCTGCGGCCAGGCGGGGCGGTTGGCGCTGGGCGTGCAACGGACCGGCCTCCGCGGCGGGCGGGGGCGCGGGGGGCGGAGGCGGGCGCGCGGGGGGCGCACCTGCGCTGCGTTCTGCGCGCCCGCCGTCACGTGCTCCTCCAGCACTTCCAGGCGGTGGCGGTGGCGGGCGAAAAACGGGTGCAGGCACCGGTCCCACACCCACCCGGCGCCCTGCACGCGGACGCGCGGGCTCAGCGGAGTCCTCAGTTCGAATGCGGGCCCGCGGGGTGGATTGCGCGCGAACGGCCGCGGCGCCCAGACGGGGGACGCCCGCCTAGGCGCGCGCGGGGTGCGCCGGGGCGACGCACGCGGCGCGACGCGGCACGGGCCCGGCGCCCGCAGAGCGCGCGTGTCTCACCGAGTCCTTCGCGAGGACGAGCCACGCGAGCAGCCCGAGCCGCGCGTGCTGCCACCACGGGAACTTGTCCAGGATGGGCGCCAGCACCTCCTCGCCCGCGCGCGCCACCGCGAGCGTCGCCATCAGTTTCAGCCACCGGTCGGCCTCCTGGGCCCGCCTGTTCCGCTGCGACAGCACCTGGAAGATCTTGTAGCTCGTGTAGCCCGCCCCGAGGCCCAGCGCGGCCACGCGGGCCACGGGGGAGGTCAGCGCCGGCTGCAGCACCACCGCCGCGCCGACGCCCGCGAGGCTCACCGCCATCGCGTCCGCCCTCGCGCTGCCTCGCGCCGCCCGCCTCCGCGCGCGTGTTCCCCGCGACCGCGCCCAGTCCTCCTGGAGTTGTGGCCGCGGTGGCGCAGCGTGGGGCGCGAGCGGGGGAGGCCGCACGGTACAATCGACGCCGAGTGCCGTGCGGTGCGCGGCGGCGCGACACATGAGCCCGCAACCGGCCCCTGCGCGCGCCCAGGACGTGCGTCGACTTGGTCGGAGATCTCCCATGTGCCAGTCGGGCCCCGGGAGCGGCGCGGAGCCTTCCGCGCAGCGCGTCCGGCGGCCGACAGACTTCTCCGCCAGACGCGCATCCCTGACGCGCCAGCACGCGCGGGCTGTGGTCCCTCCTGAGCTGGTGCACCTGCGCCCTGTGGCCTCCGACTGGGCAGGACCGGGCAGCGTCCCAGCCGCGGGCTCGCAGCGGTCGAGACCGCTCGCTCCGGGCCGAGTGCGTGTGGAACGACCGGCCCCCGCGTCGCTGCGTGGACTCCAGGGGCCGCGGCGATGACACGGCGGCTTCTCTCGAGCGTGGGAGGCCTGCTGCCGGTGTGGCGACGGGTGGCCGGGGACGTGCAAGGCGGGTGGCCGCTCGGCCGCAGCACGAGCACGCTGATATCGAGTAGCAATCCGCACCTCGCTCCGCCCGACCAGCCGGACGGCACGGGCATCCCCAGCTCGGCGCTGTCCTCCACGGACGCGCTGAAGCTCGCCTTCGAGGCGTTCGAGCCGAAGTTCGAGCAGGACCGGCGGTACTACTGGCTGCCTTCGGTGCGGCAGGCCATGGGGCTCATGGGGCCCGACGCGCGCCTCCGGGACGCCGCTGGCAGGGCACCAGAGGCCGAGGCCGCGGACGCGCAGGAGGACGCGCTCTCCGAGTCGGACGAGGAAGAGGACGCGCAGGGGGACAAGGAGCGGCCAGCGCCCGTCATGGCGATCAGCACCATGCGTCGAAGAAAGCTCAAGATGAACAAGCACCAGAGGCAGAAGCGCCGGAAGCGCACCAGGTGCGCGCCCCCCCGCGCCGCGCGCCGCCGCGCACCGCGCACCTGCGCTCGCGAGGGCTCTGCGCGCGGGTTCCCGACGCGAGCCCGCGCGCGTGGGCGCCGTGCCGTGCGTGGTGGTGAGAGACCAGACCTAGTCCGCCCCCCCCGCGCGCAGGTTCCTCCTCCGCAAGCTCAAGAAGATCTAGGCCGGTGGCGGGGATCGTGGTCGACGGGGCCCGCTGCACCAGGGGCGCCGTGCGGCGCGCCTGCCCGCCATCTGCGCAGCAACGCCTGCGGGCGCGGCCAGCAGGAGTCGTGTGACGCCCCCGACGACGTTTCCGGCAGCCGACGTGTCACCGCGTGTCGCCTCTGCCCTCGTCCGCGCGCTGACGTGGTCGCACAGCCGGCGGACCGCGTCGGGACACCGTGTGTGTGCGTGCTCACTGCGTCACAGGGCGACGCGTCGCGACGCCTCAGCGGCGCGTGGTTGGGCGGGCCGACGTGCCTCGCGCGTTCCGCGTAGGAGCCCGCGCCCTCGGCGGGACTAGGCCGTCGTCGGGCTCCTGCGCAGAGAGCGGCGCTGTGATGTTGATGTTACCAGCGTTGGGGACGGGCGCTCGCCTGTCCGCCGCGCGGAGGCACGTGCGCAAACCCGCTGCGGGCGTTCCGCGACCGCGCCACGCTCCCCGTGCACGGCCGCCGCGCGTGGTGTGCGTCCGTGTCAGACACAGCTGGCGGGGGGCTGACACACACACCGGCGCCACGTGAGGCCGCGACGGCGGCGGCGTCCCGCACTCGCTGCTGTGGGCCCTGCTGAGCGGACACCGCGGGGGTGACGGGCGCGGGGCGTGATGGGCGGCGTGTGAGGTCTCCCGCATCCCGACGGGATGGAGCGCGGCGGGCGGGGCGCGGGCGGGGCGCCGGCGGGCCGCGTGGAGGCGCCTGCGCTGCAGTTCGGAAAGAAGCGGCAGGGAGACAGGCCGAGCTCGGGTCTCACGGAGCGCGTGCAGCAGGCTCTGGCGCACGCTGGGAACGCTTCGCCCCAGGGCGAGGGCGGGCGCGATGTTGACTGTATTGGGGGCACTGGCAACCTCATGAAGCATCACGGTGGGTCGTTCGGGTGAGAAACACGTCGCGTGACGCTTGCGGGGGGCGGAAACCCGCGTGCACTGCTGAGAAGCGACCTCGGGGCGACACCGCGGCGCTCGCTCCTGGCTCGCAGGGGCTACATGGACGCCAAGAACCAGAAGCTCCGTCTCCAGCTCGAGCGCGACCGCGGCGACCTCCTGGGCGTCACCCACGACGCGGACGACCTCTCGGCCATCTTCCAGGGCGTCTGTATCCACGTCAACGGCTTCACCGACCCAGGCAAGCGCCGCAGCCGCTCCACCGCCGCACACCCGGCCCCGCCGCCGCGCGCGACGCCTCCCCCGCCGGCGCCCCCCCCGCGCAGGCCACCAGGAGCTCCGGCGCCTCATGCTCAAGCACGGCGGGGCGTTCGAGCACTACTTCCACAACGACAGGGTGACGCACATCATCTGCACGCACCTCCCCGACGTCAAGTACCGCCAGGCGCTCGCCGTGCGCGCGCGCAGCCCGCCCAAGCTCGTCGCCCCCGCCTGGGTCGTGGATTGCATCGCCGCGGGCAAGCGCTTGCCGGAGGGGCCCTACATGCACGAGCGGCTCGCCATCGCGCCGGGCCAGGCGCGGCTCCGGTTCGACGCCGGCGCGGCGAGCGCGGTGCCGGAGGAGGGTGGGCGCGAGGAGGGGGCAGCGGGCGGCGCGGAGGGCGGCGCGGGGAACCGGGAGGCGCAGGAGGTGGCCCGGCAGGCGCGCGCGGAGTGCGACGTGCTGCGGATGAAGCCGCGGTCGACGCGGGACGACCCGAACTTCGTGTCCACCTTCTACAAGTGCGCTGACCCCCCCCTCCCCCCCGGCGCGACGTGCGCCGACGACGGGCGTGGCGCCGAGTGCGCTCTGTCGCGACCCAGGCCGCGCCCCGCGGCGGCGCGCGCGTCCCTCGGGGGCCCACAGCACCGCCGCGAGCTCCCTTCTTGCGCAGGGCGTCGCGGCTGCACTTCATCGGCAGCTGGAAGGCGAGGAACGAGGCGCTGACGGCCAAGCTGGCCACGTCGGCGCCGGTGCCGCGCCGCGCAGTGCCCGGCGGCGCGCGCTCCATCCTGCACGTGGACATGGACTGCTTCTTCGCGTCGATCGCGGCGCGCGGGCGGCCGGCGCTGCAGGGCGTCCCGCTCGCGGTGTGCCACAGCGACAACACCGCGGGCGGCGCGGAGATCAGCAGCTGCAACTACGAGGCGCGCGCGTTCGGGATCAAGGCCGGCATGTGGATGGGTGCGCCGCCCGCGCCGCCGGCCCTGCCCCGATCGCGCGAGACTCGGTTGACAGGCGCGCCATCGCTGTGGCTCACCCGGCCGCGGCTGCGTGTCCGTCGTCGCGCAGCGAAGGCCAAGGAGCTGTGTCCGCGGCTGGTGGTGATGCCGTACGAGTTCGACCGCTACCACGAGGCCTCGGACGCGATGTACACGTGCTTGCTCAGGTACACCGCGGCGGTGCAGCCGGTGTCGTGCGACGAGGCGTTCCTGGACGTGACGGGCCTGGGCGACGCGGAGGACGTGGCGGCGCGGCTGCGTGCGGACATCTTCGACGCGACGGGCTGCACGGCCAGCTGCGGCATCGGCCCCAACATGATCTGCGCGCGGCTCGCCACGAAGGCCGCGAAGCCGAACGGCCAGCGCGCGCTGCTCCGCGAGGACGCCGCCGCGCAGCTCCAGGGCATGCCTGTGAAGGACCTCCCGGGGGTGGGCTGGTCGACGGCGCAGCGGCTGCGCGAGCTGGGCATCGAGACGTGCGGGGACGTGCGGGGGAAGACGACGCAGCGCGCGCTGCAGGAGCTGCTGGGTGCGAAGACGGGCGCGGAGCTGTGGGCGCACGCGGTGGGCGAGGACGACCGGGAGGTGCGGCCGCCGCAGCCGCGCAAGTCGATCGGGGCGGAGTGCAGCTGGGGCGTGCGCCTGGACGGCGCCGAGGACGGCAAGACGTTCATCGAGGTGCGCCGTGTTGCCAGCGCCGCCAGTGCGTTGGTCGGTTGCCGGACCTGTCATCGCTGCAGGATGCTTGGCGGCATCCCACGGGCGGCGACCACGTTGCGTCGATGCTCGCAGGGGCTGGCGGCCGAGGTGGCGCGCAGGCTGCGCGAGGCGGGCTGCGTGGCGGCCTCGATCACCGTCAAGGTGAAGAAGCGGCGCCCCGGCGCACCCACGCCCCGGAAACATCTCGGGCACGGCGTCGTCGACACATTCTCGCGGTCGCAGGTCCTCGGCCGCGCCGTCAGCTCCCAGACCGACGTCTTCGATGCGGCGTGGGAGGTGCTGCGCCAGATGGGCATGGACTGGACGCAGATCCGCGGCATCGGAATCACCATGCAGCGCCTCTCACGTCCCGCGGAGCATCCGGGAGCGGCGTCCGGGCCGCTCGCTGCGGCGTTCGGCGCCGCCGGCGAAGCGTCGGGCGCTGCAGCGGCGGCGAGAGGTGTGGCTTCTCCGGCGCAGCAGGGGCGGCTCGATAGCCCCGCGCTTGCCAGGAAGTCGAGGAAGCGGACGGTGACGCCGCCGTCGGCGGGGCGGGCGAAGCGCCCGGCGCGCAGGCAGCCGCCGGCGTCCGAGGTGGCGCTGCCGCCTGCGTCGCAGCTGGACCCGGCGGTGATCGACTCGCTGCCGCTGCCGGTGAAGCGCGACCTGGAGAAGCAGTACGGGTTCCGGCTCGACGAGCTGAAGAAGGCCGCCGCGACGACCGCGCAGGTGCGTCCGTCCGAAGCAGCGCAAACCACCAGACGTGCAAGACGAGCTGCACCACCCGTGTGTGGCGCCCCCGTGGCTGACGACCGGGTCCGATCGGTGCGACGCAGGTTCCGACAGCCGAAGCGGCGGCACGCGCGGGCGCGGCTGAGGTCGTCCGGGAGGGGGCCGTGAGCGACCGCTTTTGGCTGGCAGTGGGTGCGTTTGACGAGGCGGGCTTCGTCGACGCACTGCGGGTGATGAGCGAGGCGGGCGTGAGGTCCGAGGCGGTCTGGCAGCTGGCGCAGGACCTGTGCGACTGGAACCTCGAGGGGATGTGCCGGGTGCTGCGCAAGTGCGCCGCCGAGGGGCTCGTGGGGGTCGAGGTGCTGCGGGAGGTGGCGGAGCACGTGGCTGCGTGGTACGGGTGCGCGCGGCTGAACGTGCTCGACGGAGACGCGCCGCCGCATGGCGCGGCCTGAGGGCCGGCGCGCCGCGGCACGCGGACTCCGGGAGTGCAAATAGGTATACATATTGATATGTTCTTCATGTTATTGTTTGTTGGGACGTCGACGGTCGATGTGAGCGCGTGCGACCCATCGACTCACATTCCTTCCTGGTCGCGGTCCCCAACGGGTGCGCGGCTGCACGTCCTCCCGCGGTGTGCCTCGCTGCATGCGGCCCTACGCCGTGGAGCGTCCCGGGCCTATATTCCGTACTTGCGGAAGAACTTCGGCACGAATATGTCGGTGTACCCCATCCCCTTGAGCAGCACGGCGTAGAGCGCGTGCAGCAGCAGGCTGTAGGCCAGGCCGTTGACCATCAGCAGCACGCCGATCAGGCCGTACACCGTCGACGGCGACGGCACGCCCGTGGTGCCCATCGACGCCGCGATCTGGTCCAGCAGCGTGCACACGTTGGACACCAGGAGGCGCAGCAGGTTCTCGTTCATCACCCACGACGTCATCGCGAGGTACCCCAGCGTGCCGAAGACCCTGCGCGGGGCGCGGGGCGGCGTGCGCGGGGTGGGCGGGCGCGGCGGTGCGCGGGTGCCCGGGCGCGTCGCGACGTTCGCGGGCCCGCGCGCGCGTGGTGTCGCACCTGGCGAGAGCAGCTGCGGGCACGGCGACGCGCCACCGCACGCGGCGGGAGATGGCCCAGCCCATGACGCAGGCCATCGAGCCGTGCAGGAAGAAGTACACGCTCGCCCTGAGCGGGCCCTGGAGGACGAGCAGGAGCACGAACGTCGCCCCGACGGTGCGCAGGCACGCCGCAGACCCGTTGCGCAGGGCCGCCACGATCGGCGCGACGGGGAGGAAGTACCCCACGTACTTGTCCAGGCCGACGGTCGTGAAGAGCGTGTACGCCAGGCCGGCGAGCGCCGCCAGCATGGCCGTTTCGACCATGGGCTGCAGCGTCTCCGGGTCCACCCCGCCCTGGTCCAGGTTCCCGAGGCGGGCCTGCTGCGGGCGCGCGCCTGGCTCGTCCGCGCGGCTGGACGCGTCGCCGAACGACGCAGCCGCGACAGCGCCCCCCTCCCTCCTCGCCCGGCGGTCCCCTCCACCCACGGCTACCACCTTGGCCCACCGCGGAGCTCCCGGGGCGCCGTTGCGCGGCGGGGCTCGCGGAAACCGCGCGCATGAACGTCCATGCTGCAGCGCCGACTGTGCGAGCCGCCCGCCCCCGGACCCCGCCGCAACACCTCGGAAGGATGCAGCCTGTGCCATCGCGCCCGGCGGGCCCCGCACCGCGCCTAGCCGGCTGGTTCGAGCAGAGCTGCCTGCACCTATCCGCTCGGACGCGCCATCGGGGGAGACGCTGTTGCGACGACGCTGCTGGCTTGCCGCGAGGAGACAACTCTGTTGCGCTGGTGGGCTCGCTCGACGCCCTCGTGCCTCGCGTCCACTCTGGTCGGTGGTCTTGAGCATGGCCATCCCTCTGCGCCTCCCCGCGCCGTTCACGTCGGGCCGTCTGGCTCGGGCGACGTCCCGGCGGACAGCGTCAGGCCCCACAGTGAGAAGAAACACTGCCCGCGGCGCCCGAGCGGGCGCAATCACGGCCCCGTGCCGCCAGCCCGCAGCAGCATTTCCGGCCCCTTCGAATGGGCCGCGCGAGGCGACGCGAGGCGCGCGTGGAATCTCGGCGCGAGGCATCTGTTGCGTTGGAACTTGGAGGGGGCGCGCTCCATGGCCGGACAGGTCATTGGTGAGCTTGCACGCCGTGATACGCGCGCGCGGCCCCCCACACACGCCCCCACGAGCACACCGCAACACGCTGGTCCCGCGCGGGCGTCCTCCCGCTGAAGACACGAGCCCGTCCCGCGGGCGCCCCGCCTGCGCCGGTCACGCGGTTTCCGCCCCGCGGACGAGCTTTGCAGATCTGTCTTCGGACGATGAGGGCTTCGAGGCGAGGCTGAAGCGGCTGCTGGACCGCGAGGCGCGGGAGCGGGACGCCCGCGAGGATGCGCGCTCCACGAAGCGTGCGTGCCCGGCCCCCCGCGGGGCGCGTGCAGCCCCCCCCGCGCCCACCCAGACCCCGCCGCCGCGCCCCTCATCGGTCTCTGGTCGGTCCCGTGCACGCAGGCAAATCCCTCGGCCCGAGCGCCGCCCTCAACGCCACGTCCCCCCCCGCGCGGGCCCACAAGCGGCCCCCGCAGCCCGCCAGCTCCCCGCCACGGCCCCCGAAGCAGGCCCCCCGGCACCCCCTGGCGGTGGCGGCCCCCGCGGCACCGAGGCCCCCGCAGCCCCCGACCGGCGGCCCCGCCCGCGCCCGCCGCTGCCCGCCAAGGCGCCGCGCCGCTGCCGCCCGCGTCCCAGAGCTCCCGCCGCGACGCGCCCGGCGGCGCACCGGCCCGCCGCCCCAGCGAGAAGAACGCCCTGCAGGAAATGCGCGTGCTCGTGAGTCCCCGGCTCGCCGAGGTGCCCCTGGGCCCCAAACTGATGGAGAAACTCAACGACGCGTCGATCCGGTACAGCGTCAAGGACGTGGCGCAGGGCCGCGACGCCAACGACCTCCCGCTGCTCGGGTTCCGCCGGGAGCTCCCCGGAGCGCCGACCGAGCCGTGCGCCCCCGCCCCGCGCTGTGCCACGCTGATCAACGCGCATGGCATCATGTGCACGTGTGTGGCTGCATCGGCGGACGCTGCCCCCCCGTGCGGCTCCGGCTCGCTGCAGGTTCCCCCTCGTGGTGCTCCTGTGCTCCCCGGACCGCCTCATGCGCGACGTGCTGGCCGGCAAAGGCCTGGCGGAGCTGCTGGACCAGGTGGCGGGGGGGTGTCCCGGGTTGACCGTGCTGCTGCTCGTCGTCGGGCTGGACCAGTACCTCCGGCAGCAGGCCGCGCGGCAGCACGCGTACCCGGGCAAGCCCAAGGTGGAGGCCGTGCTGGCGCGCGCGCACGTGACGCAGCAGGCGGTGCGGCAGTTCATGGCGCGGGACGACGAGGAGGCGGCCGAGCATGTCCTCGGGGTGGCGCGCGCGCTCGCGGAAGTGCCCTACACGCCGCAGGACGACTTCGCGCGGGTGAGGCCGCCACAGCCCCCTCTGCGCTGCGGTGGTGTGTGTGCCTGGCCTGCGACCGTTCAGTGCCCCCGCGAGCCTCTCCTCTTCCGTGCGGATCTCAGCGTCGCCGCGCCCCTGTGCCGTCGGGCCGCGCAGGCCACTGCGACGGGGGCGAGCAAGAGGGAGACTTTGGCACCCGAACACAAACACCTGCAAACCATCGTCGAGTTCCTGCGGTGCATCCCGAGCGTGGGGCCCAAGGCCGCGCTGGCCATCGCGCAGCGGTACCCGGGCCTCGGGATGCTCATGGACGCGCTGGAGGCGGCGGCGCGCCCGGAGACGCTGCTGGAGAACATCATGCAGGACAACGGGCGGCGGGTGGGCCCCGCGGCGAGCAAGCAGGTGCACCGGCACCTCATCCTCGGGAGCTCCGAGGCGGAGCAGACCTGAGGCGAGCGGGAGGCGGCGCCCGGGCGATGAGGCCGTCACATTAAGTGAGGCCGTCACATCGCTGGACTTGACTAGGGGCTTGACTAGAAGCTCCGCTGAACGCTTTGAATGCTGGCTGACCTGCGCACCGGGCGTCAGCGGAGAGCGTCCGAGGCCGCACGCATCTGATTCTCAGCTTCGATTGTTCGCTGACGCACAGCTTGTGCGGCGCTCACAGCAGGCACTCGTCGCGCGACCGTTGCATGTCACAGCTCCACCACCGCGTCCCGGCGCCGCCCGCGCGCTGTCCGTCGCCGGGTGCTACGCGCGCCCCCGCCCCCGCCTACGCGTGGGCCACGTCGTTGCGCAGGAGCTGGTACTCGACGTCGCCGAACTTGACGATGTCGCCCGGCTTGACCTTCATCGCGCGGCCCTGCGGCACGGGCTTGCCGTTGAGCGCCACGCCCCCGACGAGGCGGTTCTTGAGCATGAGGAACTTCTCGCTGTCCGACTGCCAGTGCTGGTCCGAGGCGTTGATGCTGGGGTTCGGGTGCAGGTTGTCGCCCGTGAACACAGCGTCGACGCCCTGGGCCTGCACGAAGCAGCCGTCGGGCGTGCACTCCAGCGGCGCCAGCGCCTGCCCGGAGCGCGACATGAAGCGCCCGCAGTCCTGCAGCGTGCCGCCGTGGCCCGCGTCGAGCTTCGCGTCGTGCAGGCTCGGGAGGTAGTTGTCCAGCGTCTTCGCGGACGCGACGACCAGGGACGGCTCCTTCGTCTTCTTGTTCACCGGCTGCAGCTCCCACACCACGAAGGCCACCGGGCGCACCGACACGCGCGCGCGGGCGGGGGCGCGCGTCGCCGCCTGGACCGGCCGGGCCGACACCGAGGCCTGCGGGGCGGTGGAGGCACGACGCCTCTCCTCCTCTGTCGCGGAGGTTGGAGCACCAGGCTGGCCAACCACCTCGGGCGAGGGCGCGGTGCGGGGACGTGGCGGGTGCGCCAACGTGCGCGATGGGATTCTGAGCGATGTGACAGTGCGATTCGGTCGCATGCGGCGCTTCCGGCGCGAGGAACGGGAGGTGCCTGGCCAATGGGAAAACGAGATGCGGGGCTCGTCGCGCGGGGCTCCCGGGATCATCCCATCGGGCGCTGGCCAATCCACACAATAGTTCGAACGAGTCGCGCCGTCTCAATGCGCCGGATTCGCAGCGCGCGGCGACATCGGAGTTCCCCGAGCGAGGAAGCTCGGCGGTGCGCGTCGACGACGGTCGTGAAGCCGCGCATGTGATCGACCGGGCGCCTCCGCAACTTGAGGCACCTCGAGCGCTCGCCAAACTGCCGTCCGGCGCGGTGCGCGCGTCGGCGGAGGCCAACTGAAAAACCAACTGCCAGGGCATCGCACCTTGAAGGACATCATCTCGTGGTTGAGGCGATCGAGTGAGCTTGCTTGGAGAGTCAGGAGTTCGCGGAGTGTCGAGCGGGCGCGCGCGGCCGCACCATTGTGCCGGGGCGCTCTGCAAGGAACTGCCCGACAGGGGCAGGGGAGCCCCCGGGCCCCGCGCGCAGACGGGCCCGGCGGCGTGCTGACAGCATGCTCGCAGGACTCTCACCGCAGCTCAGGGGTCTGGGCTCTTCAGCATCCCTCCGTGTGAGGCGCGGTCCACAAACGGGCCCGAGAGAGAACCACGCTGCGTGCGGATGCGCTACGCGTCCCTCCCCGCCCGCTCGAGCGCCGCCCAGCCCCGCCGGACCGCGTGCGCGGCCCCCCTCACCAGCTGTCCTCCGCGTCCCTCCGCGGCGTCGCACGGACGCCCCGGGTCGCGACGACACCCCGCCAGACTCTCTGCGCAACGTCGCCAGGGCCGAACACGCAGCGCGACGCAACGCACGCGCGTCCAGCACCTCTCGCACACACACACATGCCCCCAAACCAGCACAACGCAACGCACGCGCGTCCAGCACCTCTCGCACACACACAGAGTAGTAATTGACCACCCGCGCACGAAACGAAATGCGGGTGTGCTATCGTCCTGATCAAGGCGGCAGCGTGCTAGGAGTACTCGCGCGAAATGCCATGTGAGCGTGCCATCATGTGCCAAGGGAAGGCTCTGACCTGCAATCAGTTAGAGTGAGTGGCGGGCGTCGTCAGCAACAACGCGGCGAGCCGCGCGAGTACTGGACGACGCCCGCCAGCCGACGCGCCGAAGTGCTGGTCCACGTCCTAGGCTGCTTGTACCAGGGGGTGTCGGCAGCCGGCTGGGTGACAGCGGTGACTGAGTCTGCGGCATTGTCCGCGTTGTGTGGCGACGCGCCGACGGCTACTCAGCTCTCCTCGTCATCGCCGTCCCCCGCGCGTGGCCTGTCATGCGAAAAGGGATCATACCTCGGTCTAGCGGCCACGGAATACGCGCATGGCCAACATGTCAACATCGGGGGGGTAACAGAGTGCGTCATGTGTGCGGGCATGGCTGGATAGTTCCGAGCCAGCTTCGCAGCGCCGGGATCATGTATGAGGGTGACGAGTTGCAGGGCGCCGGGCACGCCCTGTCAGCAGGTTGGCCAGTATGGTCTGCAAACTGCACGTGGCGACGCACGAGGTCAGCCAGGCCCGCCGGCGTGGCAGGGCCAAAATGCGGGCTCGGGTGCGTCCGGCAGGCGGCGCGGTGGATCGCCAGGACCTGTCGCATGCAGTAACCTCGATGCGTACGCATGTAGCGCATCATGGCCGACATCTTGGCTACGTAGCTGTCGCGGTCAGTCACCTCGCTGGACACGCGGATGTGTTCGGTGCGGACGATGTTGTAAAGGTGTCGTCGCAGCAGCGCACACGAAGCGTGGGGGTACTGTATGAGGTGAATGTTCTCAGGAAACAGACCGCGTTTGTCATAGTGCGAGATCAGGAGGAAGCCCTGATATTCGGGATGCGGACGCACGCGGAGGTCTAGGAAGGAGACACCGTCGAGCGGGTTCGCTGGGGCGTCAAATTCGACCTCAAGACAGGGGGGGTACATGTTATGTATACCAGAGATGAGATCTACGATCGACGACGGGGTTTCGGGGGGCGGGGTGGGGGGGCGGGGGTGGGTGTTGAAGTAGCGGTACAGTGCGTTCGCGAGAGAGAAATTGTCGTCGATGTAGCGCCTGGAATAACGGAAAGACCCCAAGACCTTCAGCCAAGCGACGTCGCCAGTGCTCAACCAGCGGTCGCGAAACTGGCAGAGGAACGCGAGCTCATGCCGGAACATGTAGCAGTTCGCGAGGTGGGGGGAGGCCGAGAGCCCCATGGGCACACCGCAGGTCTGGTGATATACGACGCCCCCGAACACCACGTAGGCGCGTTTGACGAGGATGTGCACGAGACCATGAAGTTGCTCGATGCTCGGTGCCCATTTCCCAACCATGCCGTCCGCGTCCGGCAGCTGCGCCACCCACCACCACGTCTCCCTCGCGTCAAACGCGGGTTGCAAGTCGATCAGGAGGTGTTGCCCTGGATGCAGTGCAAAAACAGCGTCGATGTGTTCGATGACGCAGTCGATGAGGCCGGTCCCGTGGTCCGCGCTCGTCTCGTGCCGGATGTGCGTGTAGAGCCGCTTGATGTCGGCGCCCAGCAGCAGAGGTGGTTGTTGAGCATGTATCGCTGAGCGTGGTGGGTTGTCATGTAGATACGCGGTCACCATGTCACGCATGCCGCGGCTGGAGTCCACCAAGAAGGGCGCGAAGCTGCTGCAGAGGTCCTCCGGGACGCCGTCGAAGATGGAGCTCCAGACCTCCACGAGGGTGGCGTGGCACATGAGCGCGCCGAGGGCCTTCGTCAGCAGCTGCGCTGCGGGGCGCGTGATGTCGCTCGAGCAGTCCGAGATGTACCGCACGTCCACCTTGGCCTTGTGAAGCTTCATCGTCCCGTAGTAGTGCGGTAGACCACCGCACTCGCGTTCGGTGCGTATTCCTGGTAGCTGCAGGTTGTCCAACATAGCCTCCGTCGTGTTAGCGACGTTCACCACGTGCCTGGCATGCGTGATGTTGGCATTTGCCGGCTCGTTGACAGCGAAAGCGTCGTTGCTGTGCAGGTCGTGCAGGAGGACCTCGATGTAGGCGCGCCGACACACGAAAACCAAATTCCCGGCGTTCTTGTCCATGGTCGTGATGGTGAGGCGTGTCGCGTCTCGCCGCAGAGCCACGCGATCGTCGGGCTGAATGTCCGCCAGCGGCGGGGGCCATGGAAGGCGGAACCCGGGTTGAAGAGCGGGTTGGAGTGCCGTTTGCGTAGCAGCAAGTATAGCATCAATGTACGGCATGCACGCTGCCGCGTCCATGTCGGCGGCCTTGCTGACGCGTTTCGTCCACCCGAGCAGCGGCTTCTGGTAGGCTTCAACGATGCTAGCTACGGTCGCGCTCGTGGCTTGGTGCAGCTCCGGGACGTGTCGGTGCTTGGCACCGCCGACGGCGAACAAACGGCGGTACGCGGTGCTCTGGATGCCCGCCGCAGCAGGGTCCAGCGTGCAGAGGTGCCGCACAGGCTCGCCGTCGATCTGCCAGTAGGGGTCCTCGAGCGTGAAGTGGCGTCGTAGGTCCGGTCCTTGGTGTTGCGCACAGTCGCACTGCGTCGCCATGATGTCGTACAGGCGACTGCGTGCAAACTTGGCAACTCCGCTGTGCGTGCACACCGAGCGCGACAGCGGTGGAAACCTGACCGAATAGCGCGGGGCCACCAGAAACAAGCCATCCATACCTTCGCGGATACGCTCAGGTAAGAGGTTGAGAAAGTCATCATTATTGACGAGGGTTTCGAGGGGGGCGAGGCTAGCCAGGGGGGTAGGGAAGTCGTGGATCATGAGGGTACGGCTCCCGAGGTCGATGTCTGCGACGGGAGGGTAGTGGTGGTTGATGGCGGCCTGCAAAACGGTGCGGGCACTGTCCAACATCTGCTGTGTGTAAAAGGGCTCGTCGAGACCCAGGTTAAGCGCATCGGGATGCATGTGCGACACGCAGTGATGGAGGGAGAAGAGGTATTTTCCGATGTTCGCTGCCGTGCAATGGTTCACCGCGCGTCTCCAATGATCGTGCTCTGTGTCGCCGGCGCGGCGGAACAAAACAACGTCAAGAAGGAGGCGAGTCTGGTAGATATACTCGCGTGTACCGAGGCGCGGAGACATGCCTGCGATAGCGGGGGGCAGGGACAACGCTGGTGCCGTAGTTGTGAGGCAGTTGTCAGCGTCGAGGTGGATGGTACGTTGATGCGTGGAGGAGATGGCAAACGTTGGCTGGAAGAGGGTCGCCAGCGCTGGGAGCCCACTCGGGCCGGGCGGGACGGGGAAGTCGTTGTGGGGGATCGCTACGGGGTGGGGGTCAGCGGCGATTTGGAACGCCAGGGGGGATAGAGGCCATGGGGCAGCATCAGAGTGGCCAGCTCCGTAGCCGAAATTCCACATGCCCTTGCAGTAATTGAGGCCGCCGGGGTATGTGGAGCCCAGACAGCGTATCATGGTCTGCTCCCAGGCCAGGGAGTAGGTGCGGAACTTGTGGAACCAGGCCTTCAAAGCGTCCGGGCTAGTCGCCGGCGGGATGGGCACCTGGCGTGCGAAATTGATGCGAAAGAGGGGCACGATGGTGAAGTCGCGCCACGGGACATGGCCGTTCGGCGACTGCGCCCACACTCGTCGCATAAACTCGTAAAGCGGGGTGTGCACGGCGTTCGGATGGTGCGTGAATGCTGCATCAAAGTGCTCCTGCAGTCGTTCGATCGCTGTGCGGTATGTCTCCCCGACATAGTAAAAGAAGGGGTATTTCCGGCACAAGAGGACATAGACAACCCCGCGCGCCGCAAGCGGGGGGTTTGCCGTGACCGATGGTAGCGCGGCGAGGTCCGAGAGCGCCGGCGGGGGCGGTGGGAAAGGAGCGCTCGGTGGGGGGCACGGGTGCGGGTATGCGGGCGCCCGTTCGTCGCGGGGCACGTAGTCCCAGTAGGGTCGAGGGGCTAGTGCGGAGGCGGGGTGGGAGGGTGTGTGGTGGGGGCTAGGAGGGGGCCAGGCACGGGGAGATGCCTGCGGAGCAATAGCGGCCGCGATGCGGCGTGCGTGCGTGATGCTGGGTCGAAAGTTCGGGTCGTGGTCATTTAGATTTGCGACATGGTGGAACAGGGTGCCATTCGAAAGGTGGCCACGCAGCGTGCGCGCCTCGGCGGTGCCGGCCTGGTCGCTGAGACGCAACGCTGCTTGGAGCCGTTTCCTCCGTCGGCGACCGATTGGAGTGCGCATGGTGAGAGGTTTTGGGGGTGAAAAGAGGGTGGTGTGCGGAACTAGACCGAGGATGCAGTAATCAAGCCACGACGGGAGGGCGACGATGACGGGGAGAGCTCTACCTAAGTTGCGCGTTCCTAGCACGCCGGGCGGTGAGCCACGGACGTGAGACGGCGGAGTCAGTTAGCCGGAGGCAGGCTCGTCTACGCCGACGGTTGAAGGCCGGAGTAGGGAGGTAGCTCTCAGCTGGCACTGCGCCAAAGCCCCATGTTCGAGGCCCGGCGCAGCACAACACGACACACAGAGTAGTAATTGACCACCCGCGCACGAAACGAAATGCGGGTGTGCTATCGTCCTGATCAAGGCGGCAGCGTGCTAGGAGTACTCGCGCGAAATGCCATGTGAGCGTGCCATCATGTGCCAAGGGAAGGCTCTGACCTGCAATCAGTTAGAGTGAGTGGCGGGCGTCGTCAGCAACAACGCGGCGAGCCGCGCGAGTACTGGACGACGCCCGCCAGCCGACGCGCCGAAGTGCTGGTCCACGTCCTAGGCTGCTTGTACCAGGGGGTGTCGGCAGCCGGCTGGGTGACAGCGGTGACTGAGTCTGCGGCATTGTCCGCGTTGTGTGGCGACGCGCCGACGGCTACTCAGCTCTCCTCGTCATCGCCGTCCCCGCGCGTGGCCTGTCATGCGAAAAGGGATCATACATAAAAGGGATCATACACACGCACACACATGCCCTCACACCAACACATAACGCAACGCCGCCGCCCTACCGGTGCAGGACCTTGCCGCCGACGACCTTCCACGCGCCCCCGCGCTTCACCATCTGGTACTGCGCGCTGTACGTGCTCCGGTACCGGTCCGCCGGCCGCGCCTGCCCCTTGCCGTTCTCAATCAGCCGCGCACTCTCCTCGAGCGTCGCCTCCACGATCGCGCGCTCCCCGTCCTCGGACACCTCGACCGAGTCGATCGAGAGCGAGCCGAGCGCGTACTCCCAGTACCACCCCTGGTGCTGCACGTCGGCGGCGCGCGCCTTCCACTGCTGCAACATCCGCCCGGCGAGGACCTCCGAGAGCGCCGCGGTGTCGTGCTCCTTCCCGAGAGCGCGCGCCTTGACTGTCTGCCACTGCCGCACCACCGCCTCCGCGACCGTCACGCTCATCTCGGGCGCGGGGGCCGCGCGCACGCGTGCCAGCGGGAGCGGCGCCGCGCCGCCCGCGCCCGGCCGCGACCGCACGACGCTGGCCACCGCGAGCAGCGCGAGCGCCCCGAGCGCCGCCGCGCCCACCGTCCGCGGCCCCGCCGCCCGCACCGCGCTCATCACGCCCCCCCTGCCGGCGGGCGCGTCCGACCACGCCGCGCCGCTCGGCGCCAACGCCGCGCCCCTCCCGTTCGAGCTCTCCGCGCCCAGCGGCGCGCCCCGCCCGCCGCCGAGCCCGCGCGCGCCCCCGGCCACCGCCCCAAACACGGCCGCCCCCCGCCGCCGCCGCCCCCGACGCCGCCCGCCGCACGCCGTCCGCGAGCCCCGCCGCCGCCGAGTCGATCCCGAGCCACCGCGTCCGCTCCAGCGCCGTCAGCTGCGCCGCCACCCCGGGCTCCTCGAACCACTCCTCCAACGTGAAGTCGCACCCGCGCATCTCGGGCAGCCCAGGAATCAACGTGTTGTTCACCCACTCCTGCCCCAGCGCGCAGATGCCCTCGAGGTACAGCTCGCCCGTCGACCCCTCGTACGACCCGTCCGGCGAGTTCGACACCACGAAGTCCGTCGCCGACGCGTCCTCGCCGATGCCCGCGATGCCGCGCGAGTGCGCCAGCGCCGGGTCCTCCAGGCCGAGGTACGCCAGCGCCGCGCCCGTGTCGCCCAGGAGCAGCTCGCACACCGCCAGCTCGAGCACCACCGTCGCCTGCGCGCACGCACGCACGCTCACGCGGGCGTCAGCGGCGCTGCCTGGGGGCGTGCAGGAGCACGAGGTGCAGGCACGGGCCGGGGGGGGCGCGCACCTTGTTGCCCTCGTCGATGTCGTGCTTGGCGACGGCCTGCAGCAGCCGGTTCGCGCGCGCGATGTGCCCCGGCTTGGCCTCCATCAGGCCCAGTCCGACCAGCGCCAGCGCGGCGTCGTACTTGTCCTGGGCGTCCGCCGCGCCGCCGGGCGCCGCGTCGAAGATCGCGACCTGCTCCGAGGCCGTGAGGAGGCCCTGCAGCTCGGCCAGGTACGCGCGGCGGTCCTCCGCGGCGAGCACCGCCGGCACCCCCAGCGGCAGCGGGCGCCCCCACAGCACGCGCTTCAGAATCTCCACGCCCCGCGCGCGCTCCGCGGCCTCCTCCAGCGGCCGCTTCACCATCTCGAGCGCGTACTCCGCCGCCATCCCCGCCAGCGCCACCGCCACCTCCGCCTGCACATCCTTGGCCAGCGCGTACTTCTGCAACAGCCGCAGCGCCAACTCCAGCTCCTCGTAGCCGTCCTCGAGCGACCGCGCGCTCTCGGACTCCAGGATCGCCGCCGCCAGGTCGCACCGCGCGATCGCCGTCACCAGCGCGATGTCCTGCGGGCGGAGCGCGGGGCTGTGTGTGCTGGGTGCGCGCGGTCGTTGGGGCGTCGCGGGGCGCGGGCGCGGCGCGGGCGGCGGGCGGCGGACCTTCGTGGCGCTGGAGAAGCCCGAGGCGCCGCGGAGGTAGGCTTCCCCGACGTCGACGGCCGCCTCGAGCTGCCCGATCTCGTGCAGGAGGCACAGCGCGCCCGCCAGCTGGGAGAGGGGCACTTCGGTGTTCGCGTCCTTGCGCGCGCGGAGGCCCTTGTCGTACAGGGAGCGCCGCGCTGGGTCCAGCAGCGTGCGGGCGGCGTCCTGCGGACCGGGGGCCGCGCGCGCGGGCGGTGGGGCGGTGCGCGCGGGCTGGGCGGGTTTCAGGGGTTTCAGGGCGGGGGGCGCGCCGGGGCGGGGGGCGCGCGGGCGCCGCGGCGGGGGGCGGCCGAGAGGGCGCGTGAGTGCGAGGGGGGCCCGGTGCGCGCCTGGATGATGGCGGAGCGCTGTTCGAGGATCGACAGCGTGTAGGGGGCCTCGGGCTCCAGGGGGGCAGCGAGCACGTCCTCGACGGCGCGCTGGATGGACGGGGGCGGCGAGGCGCGCGACACGCCCAGCAGCTTGTAGTAGTCCAGGGGCACGGTGATCTGCGGGGCGCGGACGGGCGGGCGCGGCACTCGTCTGTGCGCCTGGTGGGAGTTGCGCGGCGTGGCTGGGCCGGCGGGGGCGACGCGGGGCTGCGCGCGCGACGGCGCGGCCTCGCGGCGATTTCCGAGCGGGGCGCCGCGGCAGGCCGGCGAACGGCGGCGCGATCGCGGCGGGCGGGCGAGGCTTGCACGCGCGGCACGCACAAGCGCGCGGAGGCCGCTGCGACGCGGGGGGCGCGGTGGCCGCCGAGCGGACCGCCGGACCGGGCCGCTCAGATGACGGAGGGGCGGTTGGGCCCACGGCGGGCCCCGCAGACCCCCCCATGACGCGAGTCGGGAGAGCAGGGAACAACTCGAGCACCGCCGACCCAGCCTCGGTGCCACGAACCGCAGCGCGCGCCCGTGCTCGCCGCCCACCGCCAGGGAATAGCTTCGGTGCTCGCCACCGTCGAGCGAGGAGCCGCGGACCGCTCCGCGTGGGGGCGGGAACAGGCGCGGGGCGCACCATTTGTGCCATCGAGGTTACGTCCGCCGCCTGCGTGGCCCTGGTCCGGAAGCCATCCCTGGAGCCGGGAGCGGCTCGTCCGTGGACGGCGGCGCGCAGTCCGCGCGCAGAGACGGGGCGCGCCCGCGCCCGCGAGCCTGCGCAGGCGGCCCCGCCGGGCCGCACCGCGCTGGGCGTGCACGTGCCGCGTGCCGCGATTGGAAGCGGCATCGTGACGAACACCGAGCTCCGGGACTGGACATGCGCGTGCGCCGCTCTGCCCCGTCGGAGCCGCCCCGGTCCGGCCCGGGCGCCGCCGAGACAGTCGGGAGGGGTCCCGCGGAGGGGCCGAGGTGACGCACGGCGTTTTTGGCGGCAGGCGGCGCCCTGGCGATGCACGCGGACCGACACCTCCATCCGGCAGGCGCGTACGACTTAGGAGACCATAGAATGCGTCTCGTTCGGTGAAGGACAGTTAGGCTGGCAGTGCACTCCAGAAGGTCCAAAAGCGCCGTAGCAAGACGACACGAAGCGTCGAACCAGCACCGCCGATCCCTGCGCGCCCTCCCCAGGTCTACCGCGGCCTCGACCTGATCCGCTACCCTCGCGGCAGGGGCCCGGCGTCGCAGGGCGCGCCCACTGCAGGCACCTGCACACAGCCGCTGCGGCTCGCGGGGCTCCTGCCGATCCTAGCCGCCGGGGGGGCGCGTGGGGGGCAGCCATGCCCCCCAAGAAGCCCGGCGGCCCCGGGCGAGGGTCGGCCCTGGGTCGCACAGGCGCTGGCAGGGGCAGCAAGCCACCCGCAGCAGGCCGGGCCAAGGACGCCTCGGGCAAGGCGGTGCCGTCCTACATGCGCGGAACCGCCGCGGCCAAGGCGAAAGAGAACGACGAGAAGTTCGACTACCAGGACATCCGCGATTCGGCGGCCGCGCAGGCGCTCCGAGCCGCGCTGAAGCTGAAACAGATGGCAGGCAAAGCCACCAGGTGAGCCGACGCGCCCGCTGCCCCCGCTCCGGGCCGACGAACGCGCTGCTGCGCCGACGCCGGGGCCCGCGGCGACCGCGGCGCGCGCCGGCAGGGCCAGGCGCGCGGCGCGCGCCGCGTTCCCCAGTGCGCTTGCTGTTGACGCGACGCGGGTCCCCCAGCCGGGAGTCCGGGCCGGACCCCGCCGAGCCGCCCACACCAGAGGCGTGGTGCGTCGCTCGCGCGGGCTCACGTCCGCCGACGCGCCCGTGTGCCCCGCAGGGAGCAGAGGCTGGCGCTGGTGCAGTCCCTGACCGCTGACAACATCCGCGCGCTCGGGAAGGACGTCATCCGGCAGCTGCAGGTGCAGGACATCGCGCTGTTCACCAAGGAGCAGCTCGGAGCTATGAGCGACGAGCAGCTCGGCGCGCTGTCCGCAACCCACGTTGCAAGGTGAGGCACGCGCGCCGCACAGGCGCCCCCGCGCCGCAGCCTTCGCCCCGTCCGATCAAGCATCCCCGGGTCACTCCCTCCCTGCCCTCGCGGGCTGCCGATTCCCCCCCCCCTTGCCCCCCCCTCCCCTTCGTGCGCAGTTTGTCCGAAGAGCAGTTGGGGGTGTTCAACCAGCGCCAGATCGCGCGCCTGCCGCCCGCGTTGCAGCAGCGCGTCGCCGAGATCCGCAAGCAGTCCGCCGCGGGGCAGCTCGGCCCGCACAAGGGCGCGGCGGACAACATCTGGGCCCTGACCGCAGCGCAGCTGTGCGACCTCCCAGCGGACGCCGCCGCGCAGCTCTTCTTGATAGACACGAGGGCCGAGCCGGGCGCCGGCGGCGACGGCGGCATCCGGCCCATCCAGGGCCTCGGCGCGCCCACGGCGGGCCCCGGGACCGTCACGGTCGAGGCCCTGCTCGAGTCTGCGATCGCGCGGTGCGTGGCGCAGCCCACCTCGCGCTGCGTCCTTGCATGCCGCGGGTACGTGCGGTCCTCACTCGCGGCCCCCGTGGTGCGCGCGGTGCAGGGTGGGTGCGGGGGACAAGCGATGTGGGGAGCTGCAGAAGCTGCTGAATGGTCTGCGGACGGGCAAGGTGACCAAGGACAAGGTGGAGGCGCGCATGAAGGAACTCCTGATGGAGGGGGAGATGCGCGAGATCTACGCCGCCGCGCACACCGTGCAGCTTGCGCAAGCAGCCCTGCTAGGTGCGGGACGCAGTTTTGGCGACCGCTGACGCGGCGGCGGAGCGTTCCGGTTCCTTTCTGCTCACGTGTGGCGTGCGTTGGGTGCGCGTGCAGGCCTCGAGAAGGGCGATCCGCGCCGGAAGAAGCTGGAGGGGATCCTGACTCAGTTCCAAGCGGGGGGCCTGACGCGCGTAGAGGTGGCGCAGGCGCTGATGCAGGACTTCAAGCCAGCTGACCTCAAGGTGCGAGAAGGCTGGCGGGACCGCGCCCCTGCGGGCAGGCACGCGCACTCGGATCGCTGTGTTTGCAACGCGGCGGCACCACGCGCTCGGTTCCGCAGGTGGCGCTGGACCGGGCCGCAGCGATGGCGACGCTGGATGCGCTGGCGGCGGCCGCGCCGTCGGGGGTGGGCAAGGCGGGCATGTCGGCGGCGCAGCGCAAGCAGGTGGAGGCGCTTGCGCAGGAGGCGCGCAAGGGCGGGATGTCTGCGCAGGCGATCGAGAAGCGTCTGGCGGCCATCTTCAAGGGCGACGACAAGGTGCTCGGCAAGCTGAAAGCGGCCGCGCTGGCAACGCGCCCCGAGGGAGTGGTGACGCCCGCGGGCGCGTCGTCAGCCATGGCGGTCGTCATGGTGCCCGACACGGACGGCGGGGCCGGCGAGGAGGATGACCGGATGGACGTCCTGTTCGGGAAGATGGCGCAGATGGCATCGATGGGTCGCAGGGACAGCGGCCTCAGCGGGCCCCTGTGCGGCCACGTGGTGAATGCGCGCGCAGTGCCGGCGGCGCAGGGCGCGCAGCAGTCGTTCGACATCCTCAAGAAGCTCCTCGCCGACCCGGGGGGCGACGCATCGCCTGCGGAGCGCAAGGCCGCCGTCGCCGCGGCGTCCCAGCAGTACTTGGAGGTCGCGGAGAAGGCGGCGCGCGAAGTGATCGCGAAGTGCGGGAACGACCCGGCGGCCGTGGCGGCCGCGAACGCCGTCCTGAAGCAGATCGCGGCCGCGCGTCAGACCGGCTCGCTGCCCAACCTGGAGCGGGTGCAGAACAAGCTGGCTGCTCTGCAGGGGGTGCCAGCGGCGGGCAAGGTGCTGGCCAAGATGACCGTCTCCGTGGGCACGATCGTGGCCGCGCCGGCCGACGACATCGAGGAGCGCATCGGCGCGGTGAGTCCCGAGCGCGACGGCGCGCATCCGCCCGAGCGGTACCGCGCTGACGTCAGTGCGCAACGAAAGCGGCGGCCCCTCTGTTGGCTGCAGGAACCGGTGACCGCGCAGAACGTCGAGCGCACGGTGTGGAACGAGCTCGATTCCCTGCAGGACCGCCTCGCCGGCGTCGACATCGACGAGGTGGACGACTCGGACCTCCTGCGGGCCATGGGCGACCTCATGCGGGACCCCAAGCACGTGCGGCGGCTGTCCGACGCGTCGATCGCGGACTCTGTCGGCAGTGACACCACGGCGCCCGCGGCGGCACACAGTCCGGGGGGCCGGAGCGGTCACGGAGGCAGGGGCGCGCGCCGCACCGACGCCAAGAGAATCTCCGCCGACACCGTCTCCGAGGTCGAGGACGAGACGTCGCCCAAGGCCAAGCCGCAGGCGAAGCGAAAGCCCCGCCGCACGGCGTCCAAGGCCGCGGCGGCGGTCGAGGAGGGAGCGCAGGCGACGCGGGCCGCCGCGCGCGCTGCCCTGAAGAAGCGGGCGTCGTCGGGAGCCTTGCAGGTCCACGACGAGGACATCCCTGCGGCGGCTGGCGCGGGCCGCGTCGCGACGCTGCAGGCCATGAAGTCGCAGGGCGCGCTGCACGTGGCGGAGGAGGAGGTGCCCGTGGCGCGCGCGGGGTTGTTGCGGGAACCCAGCATCGACGTCGAGGAGGTCGCCGACGAAGAATTCTAAGCGTGGCGCTGCTCGCCTCAGCCAGCCACGCCCTGCAGCGGCAGAGCTTCTGCCTGACACCATTACAACATGCTTCGGCTTCCCACCCCCTCCCTGGACCTAGTTTGCTTTCGGATCGTGCGACTGTATTGGAGTGCACTGCCAGCTTAGTGTCGCTCGTATCCGGAACCCCTGAGAGCCTCGAGCTCGTAACAAAGTAGCCCTTTAGTCCCCCCGCCCCCCCTTGCGGCCCACGCGCATCGAACGACGCGGCACTCTCAACATGGGCGCGGCAGCGTCGTGCTGCCTAGCGTGCTGCGATCCGGAGCCACCGTTCGAACCGCATTCCCTGTACGACCGCAGAACGCACGCGATCCGCGACCTGCACCTCTGCATTCAGTCCAACGCGGGCCGCATCATCCTGACCGGCACGTGCGTGCGGATCGGCGAAGTCAACCGCAACCGTCGCTTCTATCCCAAAGAGCCCCTCGAACGCGCCGTCGCCGTCCTCTGCGGGCGCTACTCCATCCCGCTCTCCGGCACACCCTCCCTGCCCGAGCCAAACGAGCCCCCGCCCTCGGACGAACGCGACGGCCTGCTCGGACCGGGCGCGGCCTCGAGCTCCGCCGCGCCCGCCGCGGCTCCCCGCGCGCACGCGCAGCTCGCCCCGCCGGCGTTCACCGAGTCGCGGCCCCAGGAGCTGATCGGGGCGCTGGAACACCCCCCGTACGACGACCCGGACTTCCGGGACCCCGCGCGCGGTACAGCCACGACGCACAGAGTCCTGGCGCTCGCTTGGGAGGGTCCGGAGCTCCGCGTCGCCCTCGAGATCGACGGCGAGAGGAGCAGGGCTGCACGGGCGGTGGTGAACAGGCTGGCGCGCGGGGGGCGGTACGGGTGCTCGGTGCGGTGTTGGGGCACGCTGCGGCAGGGGCAGGGCGGAGAGTGGCGCGTGATGGACGACCTCGAGGTGCTCACCGTGGACCTGGTGCGGCGCCCTGCCACCGACGGGGGCTGGTGCCGTCCCATCCGTGGCAAGTGGCGAGGGAAGATCGACGACTCGATCTGAGCGGTATCCGCGATGACGACCCAGTGCACCGCGAAGGGTCATCGCCACCCCGTCGCAGCGGGGCGCGGACAACCCACGTGATGTCCACGTTCACATTCCAGATGATGGCTGCGGCTCCCCTAGGTCGCCCAGCGCCCGTGTAAGCGCGTCGAGATCCTGGTCGCCGCTCTCGAGGTCGTCGTCCGGTCGAGCGCGGCCCTCTTGCGTCGGGAACAGTGCGTGAGTGGCGAGCGAGGGCAGGGTGCTGGCCAGCGCGCGCATCACGCCGAGCGCCTCCTCCGCCTCGCTCCAGAGCGCCACGTTCAGGCCGGGACCGCCCGTGATGACGGCGTTGCTCGGGCGCGCACCGCCGGGTCCCGGCCCGCACCTCGGCCCCAACGGCTGCCTCAGTTTGAAGAAGACAGCCATCAGGCACCGCGGCCTCCTCTCCAGCCCCCTGACCGCCGCGTCGCCCACCGCCGCACCGCCCCCGTCCTCGTCCAGCGTCGCGACCGTCTTCAGCGCCCCGAGGAGGTCCTGGCGCGCAGACCTCCGGGGGTCGGTTGCAGCGCACTGGAGGTACAACACGCAGCGCCCGCCGGGAGTGACGCGCAGCGCCGGTCCTATCTGCGGACACATCAACAGGGATGCCTCCCGCCGTGAGGCACCGGCGCGTGCAGGGCTCCAGCGCGCCGCTGACGTGGCAGACAGTGTCGCGTGCCTGACGGGGCGACGGCGAGTGCACACACACCTGCGTCATGCGCACACTTGCGCCGGCGACAGTGCCCGGGCTGCCTGGCGGCAGGATGATCGTTGCGGCGTCTTCCCCCGCGATCACGGGTCCGTCAAGCACCGCGACGGCCCGCGAGGTCTCTGCCCACGCTGTGCAATCGAGCAGCTGGCCCACAGTGTCCCAGTTGCCGACGAAGGCCTTGCACGCCACGACCTGCCCGCCCTGTAGCCGGACTCCTCGTATCGAATCAGTTCCAGGCTCGTGGAAGACAGAAGCCACGCCCTGACGCAACATGTACGTGCTGCCCGCCACCGCGGACGCGCGGCACAGCGCCTGCGGGAGCTCGCCGGATCCGTATATCGTCGCCATGTACGGGCTGTCGCCGCTGCCGAGCTGCCCGAGCGACGCCGCCCAGCGCCCCATCATGGCCCCCGCGTCCGCCTCTGTCAACTGACAGCGCTGCGGGTCGGTCGCCCCAGGAGCTTCGCCTGGCACCTCGCGGCCCTGCTTCCAGCTCGCGCCGCATATTCCGTACGTGATCATGTCGCTCATGGCGGGGCGGAGGCCCTCAGACTCTAGGTACGCCAGCAGGGGGCGTCCCTGTGCCGTGGCGCCGCAACCGGACCCGCTGCGCGCGTCGGCGGTCTCGCTGGCGGCCGCAGGCGCGGCGGGCACTCCTTGAAGGGCGCCGCCTGCGATCGATGTTGTGCGGGGGCGCGGTGAGAGTGTGGGTGCGGTGCCATGCGCGAGGTTGTCACGGCGCGTGGGGCGCTGGATACTCACCCGCGCCCTTCTCCCCGAAGGGACTGCTTCTGAGCGCCTGGGGCACGGACAGCGGATCGTGCTCCGAGCGGACGGTGTCGGTGAACCGTCGCAGGAGGCGCATCAGGGCGCGCTTGTCAGCAGGCCCCAGGGTGGTGTCGCGGAACACGGCCCCCCGCGAAGCCGGCAGCCTGCACCCGCGACGGACGCGCTGCCAGGTCGCGTGGCAGTTCTGGGGGGCGCGCGAGCGGGCGCGGACGAACGCATGGTCTGGCGTCCCCCTCCAGGGCCCGTCGCACCTTCGAAGCACGCTCGCTGCGGAATCCAGCACCCGCGTCGACTCGACGAGTCGGAACTCGACGTAGTGGTGCGCGCCGGAGGCGACGAGGGCCTCCAGGGTGGGACCCGAGCAGTACAGCGGTTGGAACCACAAATCCACCTGCACGCCGCGACACACGTCGTCCAGGGCCTCCGCGCCCGGCGCCTGGTAGACCTCACCGGAGCGCGCCGGCCGGGGCGCCTGCGACACCGCCGTCTCGGTGCAGTCGGCGAGCTCCGGCAACGTGTTTGCTCCCTCGCGCGGTCTCCCGTCGGTCTCCGGCTCATCGGGGACGCTGGTCCCGCTCTCGCGCAGGCCCAGTAGGTCCAGAAGCTCTGTGAGTGCGACTGTGGCGTTCTGGGACCCGTAGTAGTGGTTCGGGTCGACGTGGAGCACTGAGCACCCTTGCCGGGCCGCGGCCGCAGCCACCAGGCTCTCGGTCAGGCCGGTCCCGCTCACCACCAGGTCGAAACGGTCCGGTGGGTTCGCGCCCATGACGACGAGCCCGCTGGGAGCGCTGATGAGGCCTCGGGCCGACCGCGCAACACCGCGGACGGTGCGCAGGAACCACGGCCTGCGCGTGGCGCAAACAGAGCTGCCCGCGCGGACCCGAGCTGAGGGGCACGGGACGCACGCGGCCGCGGCGGTCGCTCTCGTGCCCCGCGACCCCCCTGCGCCCCTCCAGGCACCCCCGGTGGCATCTCCCCTCGGCTCGCGCCTGACGTCAGCGAGGCGCGAACAGGGAGTCGAGGCCCTCCGCGCGTCGCACGTGCGTGCACATCGCACCAGCCTGCCTGCAAGCCCGTAGATAGCGAGTCCAGGGCCTGGGCCGCCTCTGCTGAATTCGCACAGGGGCCGCCCGTGCTGCTTGCCGCCAGGACGCTGGACGCCGTCCGTGCACGCAATCAGTCGCACCTGCGCGGCCCATCCGACGGCGGCCCAGCATCGTCCGAGTTAGCGACGGGATTCGCCCGCGGAGGGGAGCGACGCTGGAAGTGCTGCAGGTCCAGGAAGGGGGCAATTGTGGCCCGCACCGTGGCGCACAGCACACCTCGCGCCGTCTAGGTGCGCCTGTCACCATGAACGCCTGTTTCCTGGCGAGAAACGCCGTTCCACCGCATGTGCCATCGCCTGATGCCGAGTCGTAACCGCACGTTCAGGTCCTCCGACACACATCCTCGCAATCGTTTCTAGCGCTCGCAACCGAGATGCAAGCGCGAAATTTACGTCGCGGCGCGTTTCGCGTGCGAGTGAGTGTTTCTCGTGTCCACCCTGGGCGGACTTGGAGACCAAGTCCGAGAGCTGAACCTGCCCGGTTCCGCTCGGTCGTGCCCCGCATTGTGTCGCGTGGGCATCCTCTCGCTTCCTCGCGATTTTGCGCGCGACATGAGCGAGCGAATCCAAGGCGACGCGCTATCACAGGGCGACGCCGCCGCAGAGAGTGCAGGTCGTGACAGCCCAGCGCGTCCCTGCGCCCGGACCGTGGCGGAGCGCGGGTGAGAAGCTGGCGAGATGGTGGCCGAAACAATGAGGAGATCGCTTCAGGTGCGTCCGCCCCGACGCATGGCTTCAGCGCCGCGAATTCAGCAAAGTCGTGTCCCCCTGGGTACGTGGGCAGCACTCGCTGGCGGGCCGCGGGCTGGGGCCCGGGGGCGCGCGTGCGCCTGCGCACAGCGAGGCCGTGCGGGCGGTGCCTCGGGAAAAGCGCGCCGAAGCGCCTGGTGCACGGTGTGCGCGGCGAGAGGCGCGTCCAGTGAGCTGCCGCGCCACCCTCCCGGCCCCCGAGCCGCACCGCGCCCATTTCCCGCGTCCGCAGAGCGACGGCGTGCAGCAGCTGTCCTTCGAGGGCCAGCTCGTGTTCGACATCAACACCTTCTGGCTCGTGTTCGGGTCCATGATCGTCTTCTACATGCAGGCACGCCCCTCCCGCTCCTCCCCGGGCGGGACCCGCCCACCGCCGCCCCGCGGTCGGCGTTCTCGCGCGCCGCCTCACCGCGCCGGGCCCGTTCCCGCCCGCCCCGCAGGCCGGGTTCGCGCTGCTGGAGGCCGGGACGGTGCGCGTGAAGAACGTGAAGAACATCCTGGTGAAGAACCTGATGGACGCGTGCCTGTCCGCGCTGGTGTGGTGGGCGATCGGGCACCCGCTCGCGTCGGGGCCGAACCCGTACCTGGACCCGACCCCGCTGTCGGGCGTGGGCAGGGCGTTTGGCGCCACCAACTTCTTCATCGAGGACACGGCGGTGGCGGCGCTGCAGGACCCCGCGTCGGGGTCGTTCTACGCGTCGTGGCTGTTCTCGTGGTCGTTCGCGGCGACGTCGTCGACCATCGTGTCCGGCGCGGTCGCGGAGCGGTGCCGCTTCAACGCCTACATCCTCTACACGGTGCTCATGACGGGCGTGATCTACCCCGTCGGGGCCTTCTGGCACGCGCAGGGCTGGTTCAACGACGGCATCAGGGACGGGTACAGCTTCATCGACTTCGCCGGGTCCGGCACCGTGCACATGGTGGGCGGCGTGGCCGCGCTGGTCGGGTCGTACTTCCTCGGGCCGCGCAGCGGGCGGTTCAAGGTCGACGGCACCGTCGTGCCCTTCGTGGCCAGCTCGAGCATGCTCCAGGCGCTCGGCGTGCTCATCCTCTGGTTCGCGTGGTACGGGTTCAACTGCGTGTCCACGGGCGCGCTCGTGGGCCTCGGGGGCGTCGCGGCGTACGTGGCGGTCAACACCACGCTGTCCGCGGCCGCGGGCGGCGTCTTCTCGCTCATCATCGCCATCATGGGCGGCAACGACGCGGAGCTGCCCCCCCTGCTCAACGGCGTGCTGTCGGGTCTGGTGGCCGTCACGGCGAGCGCGCACGCGGTCAAGACGTGGGCCGCGTTCGTCATCGGCCTCGCGGCGGGCGGAATCTACCATCTCGGCGTGTGGGCGCTGCTGCGGCTGCGCATCGACGACCCGCTGGACGCGGTGCCCGTGCACGGGTTCTGCGGCCTGTGGGGCGTGATCGCGGCGGGCCTCTTCTCGACCCACACGCCGGGCAACAACACCGTGAAGGGCGCGTTCTACGGGGACGGCGCCCAGCTCGGGGTGCAGATTGCGGGCGCGCTCGCGCTGCTGGCCTGGGTGGCCGTGTGCTGCATCCTTCTCTTCGGGTTCCTGCGGAAGGTCAACCTCCTGCGCGTGCCGTACGAGGAGGAGGTCGCGGGCCTCGACATGAAGCACGGCGGCCAGGCGTTCCGGCAGGTCGCCTCAAAGCAGCACGTAGCGTGACCGCCGCGCCTTGGCATCGCGCGCGAGGGCCGACGAGGGCGCACGAAGCAGCCGCGACGGCATGTGATCGCGTGAATCGGTGTCCTCATTGATCGCGTGTTCACACGGCTGCCCCGCGCCCCGCTACACGGACATGGACCCCTCAAACACGAGCTCCGCGGGGCCCGTCATGAGGATGTGGTTGTCCCCCTCGTTCCACGTGATGTGCAGCGGCCCCCCCGGCAGATCCACCTGGCACGTGCGGTCGAGCCGCCCCTCGAGCACCCCCGCGACCAGCGTGGCACACGCGCCCGTGCCGCACGCCAGCGTGGGCCCCGCGCCGCGCTCCCACACCCTCATCTTCACGTGCGACCGCGAGACCACCTCGACGAACTCCGTGTTCGTCCGCGCCGGGAAGATGGCGTTCGACTCGAACGGCGGCCCGTAGCGGTCCAGGTCCAGCGCGTCCACGTCCGCGATGGGCTTGCCGTCCTGCTCGTAGATCAGGCAGTGCGGGTTGCCCATCGACACGGCGGTGACCGACCACGTGGAGCCCTCGCACTCGACCGGGACCGCCACCGCCGCGCCGCTCTCGTGGTTGGCGTCCAAAGTGCACGGCACCTGCGACGGGGTCAGGATGGGCTCGCCCATGTCGACGGTGACCTCGCCCGTGTCCGTGAGACACGGCACCATCGTGCCGGCGAGGGTGTGCACGCGCTGCGAGCCCACGGCCGTCCCGTCGAGGTCGGCGACGAAGCGCGCCAGGCAGCGGATGCCGTTGCCGCACATCTCGGGCTCCGAGCCGTCCGAGTTGTAGATCCGCATCGTGTAGTCGTGGTCGCCCACCGCCGGCAGCGCGAAGATCACGCCGTCGCCGCCGATGCCGAAGTTGCGGTCGCACATCTTGGCTGCCTGCACGTGCACAGAAGGCAATTGTGGGCGCCGGGGTCCGGTGCTGCGGCGGTCGCTGGCGTGCCGCGCGTCCTTTGAGCATGGTGGATCCGTCGCGTGGCGCGGAGGCCCGTGTCGAGCGGTCGCGGCGCCGGGGGACGAGGGCGATGCAGCCAGGCAGCTCTCACCTGCTCCGGGGTGATGCATGGCTCGGGCGAATCCCGGTTATCAATCAGAATGAAGTCATTCCCGAGTCCCTGGTACTTGGCGAACTTGACTGGCTTGGCCTGCAGCTTCGACGGCACGTTGCGCGAGCTCACACACCCACCACCATCTGCCGCATTCACGGGCCGATTGCGGGGGCGCAGGCGCGCGCTGCGATGGTTCAATCAAACTTGCAAGTATCGTCAATGCATCAGCGTCGATCTATCGCGATCCGGCGGGCCGGGATGCCCGCACGAACCCTCCTGAACTGGTGGCGCCCACAACGGCGGCCGGCCTGCGAGTGCGGCTTCACGCGCGCGACGAGGATGGGTACCAGGACGCATGGATCGAGTGTCTCACCCTCGCGAGAACCGATGTCCGCGCGGCGCCCGCGGTGCGGCACCAGCAGCGCTGAGGTGCCCCAGCACCCAGGAACTTCATCTTGTCCGTGCGACGACGGGACACGCACACGTGCCGACGACGGTCTGGTCTGCGAGCCCGCCGAGTACGCCGGGCGTGCCTGCGCCGGGCGGCCAAGTAGTTCCAGGCCAGCCCGGCCGCCACCGTGGCGCCGCGCCGTACCCAGGGGTACTGTGGCGTTGCGCCCCCCCCCGAGCCGCGGTGTGGGTGCCGAGGCCTGTGCGGCTGGCGGGTCGCAGGAACTACTCGCGCGCGCGATCCGCGAGGCTGTCAGCGGCGGAAGGTCGGGCAGAGACATCGGTGGCGCAGGCAAGTGGGCAACGTGATGGCTGCTCCGCGTTCGCACATGCGCTTGAAGTGCAAACAGCGCCCGTTTCGATGTGCACCCTTTTTGAGAATGCCTCCTTTCGCTGGCTTTCTCCCGTGCGGCGCGTCTCGACGCAGAGCTTGGCGCCAAAATCCCTGGCGGATGTTGCCCGGCCTGGCGCCCCCTCCCACCTCGCGGCCGAGCCTGCGCCCGTCCTGCCCACGCACCGCCGACGCATCCGGCAGCGTGTGCGCGCCGGACGTAGGGCTCCGCGGCGGCCGAGTCGAAGACCTGTGCCGCCGGGCCACAACTGCCACTGCCCGCATGTCATGCAGCAGGAGCACGCGTACCCTGGCCGCGAACGCTCTGTCAGATCCTTCTCTGGCCGCACGCGCGCGCTCAGCGCCCACACTGCCGCCTTCGCGCAGTTAGAGACGCTTTGCTGCCCGGAAAGGACCAGGGCTCGCCGGTGGGGGCACTGAGCCGCCAGGGCGCGTCAAAGGAACGCGACCGTCCGTGGCCATGACGTCTGCGCAAGGCGCGGTCGCCGTGCCGCCCTCGGGATCGTGCACGGCCCCGAATTCCCCCCCGGTGTCCAGCGGGCTAGGCCGGGACAGCGCGACGGCCGCCCCTGAGCCCGTGGTGGACGACTACACCAAACTCAAGATGACAAAGAAGCTCGGGGAGGGCGGCTTCGGCACGGTGTGGCTCGCGGAGTTGCCGACCCCCGCGGTGTGTTCCCGCCTTCCCGTCGTTGCTCTCCACCCTGGTCGGCCTCCGCGCCCCGCGCCCCTCCGCCAGCTTCCCCCGCGCGCCGCTCCGGGCCGTGGGCCGTCGCCCTCGCTCCCTGGCCGCGGGCCGTTCCACGACCGCGACCTCCAGGGCGCGCGGGGGCGCCACACGTTGCATGTGGTGAACCTTGCGTCCGCACGGCGGCTCCCGGGCCCACCGGCCGCCGTGCGCCTCCGTCCGTGCCGCAGAAGTCGAAGCAGGTCGCGGTCAAGGTGTTGAACAAGGTCCAGCTGAGCCCCGCGGGCCTGAAGGACTTCGTGAAGGAGGTCCGCCTCCTGCGGCAGCTCAAGCACCGACACATCGTCGACTTCCGCGGGTTCGGCCTCGTGAGCGGCGCGGCGGCGCCCTCGCTCGACTCGGACGACTACGAGTCCCTCTCAGGCTCGGACATGTTCCTCGCCCAGGTGCGCGGCCAGGGGTTGGTGCACACCTGCCTCGCCAGTCCTTCGCGCGCCGCCTCGCTGCCTCGCGCCCCCGCCCGACCGAGCCCCTGTCCACGTGGTGTCCCGCGCAGGAGTATCTCGCGGGCGGTCCGGTCACGAAGCAGGTGATGAAGCAGCTGCAGTTCCCGGGGCGCTACGTCTACACGTGGCACGACGCGTTCCGGTGGCTGCGCGGGGTCGCCGCGGGCCTCAGCTACCTGCACCGAGGTGCGCCGCGCGTGTTCGTCCGCGCTTGGGGGAACGCAGAGCGCCCTCGCCGCACGCGGGGCGCGCTGCGGTCGTCAGCACCTAGCACCTGCGAGCTCCCCCGCGCCCACCGCCGTGCTCCCTCGCCGCCGCCGCCCCGCAGGCACGAGCAGCAAGCCAACGATCATCCACCGGGACCTGAAGCCCGACAACATCCTCCTCACAAGCACCGACATGGAGACGGCGGACGCCAAGCTGGCCGACTTCGGGCTGTCCCGGATGATGTCGCACCGGTACAAGACGCTCGCGTCGCGCCGCACGCTGCTCCACATCAACACGGGCCTGCCCCCCGCCAACGCCCCCGGCGGCATGGACCTGCCCGGCACCATCCTTGAGGATGACGACGCTGCCCCGCCGCTCGGCTTGCGTCGGTCGCTCGACGACGGGAAGCGACGGACCTCGGGCGACGTCCCGGCGTTCACGCCCTCGGACGCGAGCCAGGCGCGGGCGTGGCTGCAGAGCGCCAAGGCGGCGCCCCGAAACAGCACGGACAACACCAGCAAGGGGCCGTACGTGGGGCTGCAGCTGACGGGCAACACGGGTTCGATGCTCTACATGGCGCCCGAAGTCTACCTCAAGGAGGACTACAACGAAAAGGTGCAGCCCGCACACCCGCTGCCGTTGTACATGCGCTGCTGCTGCCGCTGCGGAGCGCCGCCATGACGTGCCCCCCCGCGTGACACGCGAGGCCGACGCGCCCCGGCTCCGGCTCCGTCGTGTCTGCAGGCGGACATATTCTCGTTCGGCGTGATTGCGTACGAGCTGCTGCGGTACCGGCTCCAGGTGCTGGACATGCACAAGGGCGAGGAGGAGGAGGTCATCAACCTGGCGGAGAAGGTCTCGCAGGGGCTGCGGCACCCGATCGACGAGGCGCGCTGGCCCAAGAGCGTGGTGGAGCTCGTCCGGCGGTGCTGGGCGCAGAACCCCGCCGAGCGCCCATCGGCGTCGCAGGTCCTGGCCATGATCGACAAGATCGTGGCCGACGGCGACGTGGACGCGTACGTCGCCAAGTACCAGAAGAAGCGCGCGCGCAAGTCGGTGCACGCGGTCAGGAACCCCAAGAACGTCGTCTCGCTGCACGGCATCCCCGTCATCCCGGGCTACGGCGACTCGGTGAAGACCGAGAAGTCGGGGTCGCTCACGGGCAACGCGGCGGACGGCAAGGCAGCGCCGACGGCGGGCGCGCCGGCGACGAACGGCGACGTGCAGGCCGGCGGCGGAAACAAGTGCTGCGTGTTGATGTAGCCGCGACGACGGTTGCTAGCGATCGTTCGAGGCAACCCAGGCCGGTGCCCGCGGGGAGCACCCATGCGCGAGACCCGGCCTCGGGCGCGCGGGTCCTCGGGCGCGCGGGTCCTGTGCCAGCGGCGGCAGGACGCCTGCTTCGCCTCTCAGCGCCGCACCCCCCCTCCTTCCTACACAAGGAATTTTTACTAATGGGCCGCCGACCCTCTCCGGCGGCATTTCCTCGAAGATGACATTCGCATACTGCCTGTCTGCCCCGCCGCCGCATTTTCTCATCCAGCCGCACTGCGTGCGTCAGCGCATGGTCCTGCATTCGAGATCCAGGACTGGGGCGAGGCACATGCTGCCCCCACGCCCTGCACAGCGCGCGCAGAAAACGCTCCCTGCCGTTCGACCGATCCCAGCACCACCCCCATCAGTGCCCTGTTCTTCGAGCCACCCGGCTTGCTTCCGGTGGGCGACACAGGACAACCATGGCATCGTGTAACAACCGCCTGGTCGCGAGTCGCGCGGTCTCATGCACGCAAGTCTGGTCTCGCCGCCTCATATGCTCGACCGCTAGCACTGGCACGCTCCCCGCCGCTCAGAGCCCTCTCCGCACAACCTGGGCACCAGGCACTGCGGCCCGCCCTACGCAGGCGCGACGTGGCCCTCGGGCTCCGCCTGGAAGTCCAGCGACCTCGCCGCCGTCGGCCGCGTCGCCTCCGAGCCCCGCTCCGTCGCCGCGCCCGCCACGGAGGACCCAGGCGTGTCCCTGCACGACACACAAACACACACAAGCACGATCGCTCGGCGCCCCGCCTCGACCCACCGGCGCGCCCGCTCGGTCGCGGCCCGCGGCCGCCGCACCTGTACAGTGGGTTGATGTGCGCCTCCATCGACGGCGCGCGCCCCGCGACCGCCAGCGCCGCCTGGAACCCGTTCCCCTGCCGCGACCGCAGGCGCTTCATCAGCTTCCGCCCGACGCGCTCGTTCAGCAGCGACATCACCTCCTGGAACGCCTCCTCCCGCGCGCGCGCCACCGCCACGTCCAGCATCGCCATCGCCGCCCGCCGCTCCTCCTGCCGGATGCGCTCCTCGTCCACCTCCACCACCGGCCGCGGCCGCACGCCTCGCAGCAGCGCCTCCAGGTCCGCCATGCGCTCCGCGAGCCCCGCCGCCTGCCCCTCCTCCGCGCGGATCTCCCCGATCAGCTCCCGCGCGCGCCCCAGGAGCTCCCGCTGCTGCGCGTCGTTGCGCCCGTCCGGCGCCGGGGCCGGCGCCGGCGGGTCCGGGTCGCCGCCGAGCCGCTCCATCCGCAGGTTGATCGTCGGGCCCGCCGCGTACGCGTACTGCGGGGCAGGCGCCGGCGCCGGCGCGGGCTGCGGCTGCGGCTGCGCAGGCATCGGCTGCGCTGGCTGCGGCGGCTGCTGCTGCTGCTGCTGCTGCTGCTGCTGCTGCTGCTGCTGCTGCTTCGCGGCGCTGTCGTCCCGGCCGCGCAGCGAGCGGTTCTCGGCCTCCGTGCGCAGGCAGCCGGACCACAGGTCGGTGATCTTGTCGTACTGGTCGTCCTTGGTGCGCCGGAGCGACTCGACGCGGCGCGCCAAGATGCTGGCCTTCAGGGACTCGTACTGGAGACATATCTGCAGCGCGCGCGCCGCGCGCGTCACGGGGCCCGCGCCCGCCCCCTGCACGTCGTTGGCCGTGAAGCGGCATGGCAGCAGCAGCCCCCTGCAGCCGAGGACGGTCGCGGGCGGCGGATGTGAGCGGGGCCGACCGCGGGCGCAGCGCAGTGCGCTCGGTGGGGGGCGTGGGGGCCTGCCTGGCGTGGCGGATGGCGCGTCGGTCGCCTTGCTCCAACGCGGCCATGTTGATTTGCGCGACGTCGGCCCAGGACACGGGGACGCTGCACGCGCGGAGCATCGACTGCACGCTCGCGGTGTCCGGGCCGGAGGACGTGCTGGTGTACGTCCGGTCCAGGCGCCCGTACTGCTCGTTCAGGGACTTGACCTGCGGGGGTGTCAGGGGGGTGTCATTGGCCGTCAGCGCGCGCCCGCTGCGGACGGGGCTGCCGGCGGCGCTGCGGTGCGGCGCACCTGCGACGCGACGGACCGCCGGTGCGCTACGGCGTTGTCGAGGGCGCCGGGGCCCGCTGTGGGACCGAGGCGGCGCTGGGCGAGCTCGCCCTCGAGGGAGGAGCGGTACGACGACAGGCCGTCCATGATGGCTCGCCCGTGCGTGACGACCTGGTTGACGGTGCGCTTCTTGCGCGCGAGCGCCTCCTGCTGCGCCTGCTGCAGGACCACTGCGACTTGCAGCACCCGCAGCAAACTCAGGGCGCGGCCGTCCTGGAGGGCCGCCTGGGACAGCTCGGCGAAGTTGGCTTCCGCCAGGTGGTGCGTGCGCTCCTCGTACAGCGAGAAGGCGCCACGGGACACCGCGTGGGACGAGGAGGAGGCGTAGAGCGCCTCGATGACCGGCCACTGCGGGCCTTCCCGCGCCTGCGGGGCTGCCTGGAACCGCCGGAGGACGTCTCCATCCTCGGTGACCGCGGTCGACGCCACAGACTGGGAGTCCATTGCCCCAGGACGCGGCCGCTACGGGCGCGTCACCCCGAATACAAAAGTCGGTGCGCGACACGCACGGACCCCCGCCCAGCCGGGGCGAGCAGCGCGCCGCGGCGACCCTCGCGACCTGTTCCGCACGCGAGAGCGAGGACGCGCGGCGATGTGCGTGGCACGAGCGCACAGAGCCGCTCGAGCCCGTGAGGAGTGTCGCGCCCAGGTGTCACGCGCGCGCGCGCAGTCTCCTGCCGGGCGCCCTGCTGCGTGCTGCGGAGTGGCCTTGGCTGACCACGGTGGTGGCCGATTCCGCGGCAAGACGCCGGTTGCGCGCGCGAGACCTCCAGGGCAGTCTCGGGAAGCCAGTCTCACTGAGACGAGTCCGTGCGCGCCCGAATTCACGGGACTTCCGGCGCTCTGCAGTGCGCCAGACGGCGGCTGCTCACCAAGACTGGACAGTCGTCCCCGCGCGGCCGCCCCGACGATGAACCGCGCGCCCAGGGGGCACAGCTCAGCGCCGCACAGGACCACCGCCACCCGCGCCGCGTCGCGACTGTTTTCTCGCGCGCCACCGCCGCGGACGCCCAGGCACCGTCGGTCGGGGGGCACCGCGCCCCGCGCGGGCGGAGAGATCGCCTCGCTGTCGTCGACGATGGCGGGCATCAGCTTGTCGCAGGTGCTGGGTGCCGCCACGGGGGCGCTCGCGCTCTACTGGCTCGTGCGCATCGCGACGGGGGACTGCAACGTCTGGCTCGCGCATCGGACGAAGATTCCCCCGGAGGCGTTCAAGAGGAAGGTCGTGTGGATCACTGGTGCGCCCCCCGCTGTGCGCTGGGAGGGCGAGCCGCGATCGCGGCCTGCAGGCGCCGCGCAGCTGCGTGCTTTGGGGCTCGGCGGACGAGGCTCGAACCCCTGCGCGTGCCACCGCCTGTGCGCGCAGGTGCGAGCCAGGGCCTGGGCGAGGAGCTGGCCCTGGTGTTTGCGCGGCAGGGCGCCTTCCTCATCCTGTCTGCGCGCCGGAAGGAGCAGCTGGAGCGCGTCAAGGCGGCCTGCCTGGCAGCGAACCCCGAGTGCAAGGCCGAGGTCCTCACGCTCGACCTCTGCGGGAGCGAGGATGACATCGCCAAGGTGTGCGCCCACGGAGCTAGTCGGACCCGCCTGCGGCCCCGCTCTCTCCGCGACACGCGACGCCGCAGACAGGCACGCCCGCCCCTGTCCGTGGCGCAGGCCGCGGAGGCCGCGTCGTCCTTTTACGGCGGCGCGGGCGTGGAGGTGGTGGTGCACAACGCAGGGGCCTCCCAGAGCTCCCTCGTGACCGACACCGCGCCGTCGGTGGACGAGCAGATGATGCGCCTGAACGTGCTCGGTCCGATGACGCTGACGAAGAAGTGCCTCCCGGGCATGCTCGAGCGCGGCGGCGGGAGGTTCGTGGTGGTGTCGAGCATGGCGGCGAAACTGCCGTCGCCGGGCCAGGCCACGTACGCCGCGTGCAAGTTCGGCCTGCAGGGGTTCTTCGCGTCGATGGCGTCCGAGCTCGCGGACCGCAACATCCGCGTGACGCTCGCCTGCCCCGGGCCCATCGGCACGGGCACGGAGAGCAACCCGCGCACCGTCTTCGGGAAGGACGGCGTGACGATGGTGCAGTCGGGCGGCACCGGGATGTCGAAGAGCCGGCTCACGCCCCCGCGCGCGGCGCAGCTCATCGTCGCGGCGGCGGCGGCGGGGATGGACGAGGTGTGGCTGGCCAAGAACCCCGTGCTGGCCATCGGATACATCTTCCAGTTCCTGCCAGGGCTGGGGTGGGCCATCATGAAGCTGGTCGGGCCGTCGCGCGCGCGCTCGATGGGCGGCGGCCCCGGGGGCAAGAAGGGCGACGGCTACTCGGTGGGGAAGATCCTGAAGGGGGTGTTCAGCAAAAAGGACGCCTGACGCGGCTGAGGGGTCGTGGCGCTCCGGGACGCACGTGCGCCGCGTGCGAAGCGCTCTCTGTGACTGCGACCGAGTGCGGACAAGTTGAGGCGCGCGTAGCGGCGGCACATGCCCGCGGCAGGGCTTGCTGCCAACCACGTGTCAATGGGACGTGACAGTGCGAATTCTCGGCACGTGTGCGCTCACAGACCGTCAGCCGCGGCTCACGGGTTCGTTGCCTCGCAGGACTCGCCTGTTTAGTGCGCGGCTGCATCGTCGTCCGGTGCCTGCTGACCTGGTGACGCCGGACTGTACGCAGGCGACGAGGGGCTGTAAGCTGGCGACGTTGGCGAGTAGGCCGGCGACGTCGGACTGTAGGCCGGCGACGTCGGGCTGTACGCCGGCGACGTGGGGGAGTACGCAGGCGACGTCGGGCTGTACGCGGGCGACGTCGGTGAGTAGGCCGGCGACGTCGGCGAATATGCTGGCGACGTCGGGCTGTACGCGGGCGACGTCGGCGAGTACGCTGGCGACGTCGGCGAGTACGCTGGCGATGTCGGTGAGTAGGCCGGCGACGTCGGTGAGTAGGCCGGCGACGTGGGGGAGTAGGCCGGCGACGTGGGGGAGTACGCCGGCGACGTGGGGGAGTACGCTGGCGACGTCGGGCTGTAGGCCGGCGACGTGGGGGAGTACGCAGGCGACGTGGGGGAGTACGCCGGCGACGTGGGGGAGTACGCCGGCGACGTCGGGCTGTAGGCCGGCGACGTGGGGGAGTACGCAGGCGACGTCGGGCTGTACGCGGGCGATGTCGGCGAGTAGGCGGGCGATGTGTTGTTGTAGGCCGGCGACGTCGGGCTGTAGGCCGGGGACGTTGGGCTGTAGGCCGGGGACGTCGGCGAGAAAGCCGGCGACGCTGGCGAGAAGGCCGGCGACGCCGGGGAATAGACGTCGGGGCTGATGCCTCCGCCCACGTACGGGCTGGCGATGTGCGCGGGCGACTGCACGCCGCGCCCAGTCTGCCGCACGGGCGAGAACAGCCCGCCGAAGTCGGAGGTCTGCGTGGTGGGCGAGAACAGCCCGCCGCCGCCGCCGTCCGCCCCGTGCAGCGTGGGGCTCAGCAGGTAGCTCGGCGTCATGGCCCCAGCCGCCTGCGAGGGCGTGCGCGCGCCCCGCATGTTCGGCGTCATCCCGCCCGCGAGCGAGTCGACGTCGAGCGCCCCCTCGATGGTCACCGCGGCCATGTCGAAGGCGTTGAACAGCGCCTGGTCGTCGAGGAGCAGCGAGAACGAGTTGGTCCCCAGCGTCGCGAGCTGCCCGAGCAGGATGGCCGGCGCGACGCCCTGGCAGTTGTCCGACTCGGCGTAGGTTGACGCGCGCATGAAGATCTCGACCGTCTCCTCGAACGTGGCCTGCGAGATGGGCCCGCGCCCGCTGCGGTTGATGCCGTGGCGCGTGATGGCCAGCAGCGACCCGCCGTACGTCATCAGGTCGACCAGCAGCGCCAGGTGCCGCACGTTGACGCTGTCGCTCTCCATGACCTTCTGCAGCTCCCGGAGCAGCGCCCCGCGGCACGCCTCGATGCCGAGCACCTCGAGGACCTCCGTCATGTCGTTCGAGTACACGCGCCGCGGGTCCACGCCGTCGCTCATGACCAGCTCGGCCAGGTTGTTGCCGTCCGTCGCCAAAATGTGCTCCTGGTGCGACTCGAACTTGCCCTTGTTGCGCCCCTCCGTGACGAGGCGCATCTGCTTGTCGAACGAGATGTACACCTTCCGGATCCCGTCGATGCCGCGCAGCTTGCACGACTCGAGCTCCCCGAGCCCGAACTTGGCCAGCTCCGCGGGGTCGCTGTCGTGCTCCTCCGAGTACCGGATGCGTATGTGCAGCACGAGCCGCGGCTCCCCGCTCGGCGTGCGGTACGAGTCCTGCGAGTTGAACACCTCCAGCATCTCGAACTTCTCCGCAATCTTCCTCTTCACGAACTCCATCGCCAGCCCCCGCTCGTACTCCTCCTGCAGCTTGTCCATCACCATCGACGGGTCCAGCACCATCCGCAGCAGCCACGGCGACATCTGCGCCAGCCTCTCGGGCTCCTGCTCCATGAACGGCCCGTAGTCCTCGTCGAAGTCCGGGTCGCCCGGCACCGTGGTGTGCAGCGGGTCCGGGTCGTACCACACCTCCATGGCCTCGACGAGGTCCTTCAGCAGCGTGTGCTCCAGCCGCACCGCCACCTTCTTCGCCGCCTCCACCGTCTGCGCCTGCGCCGCCTCCAGGTACACCGTCGTCGACGGCGTCTTGAGCGTCTTGGCCACGTTGATCAGCTCCGTCAGCCGCGGGACACCCGACGTGAGGTTCGAGCCCGCGCCGGCCGTGTGGAAGGTGTTGAGCGTCATCTGCGTCGTCGGTTCGCCGAGGCTCTGCGCGGCCACGATGCCCACCATGTCCCCGGGCTGCGCGCGGCACACGTTGAACCGCGACTCGATCTCGCCCAGGAGCCAGTCGAACGCCTCCGTGGTGAGGTGGTGCATCTCGGCCACGCGCTTGGAGCACAGGGTGAAGCGCAGGTGCGCGAAGAAGAGCTTCGTGGCGTTGCTGTGCGCCTCCACCGAGAGCCTGTCCGTCCCGGGCACCACGATGAGCTTGGTGATGAGCTCCTCGAGCTTCCGCGTGGCCTCGTACGGCGCGATCACCTCGCCGCCGCCGGCCTCCGGGTTGATGTTCCACAGCCGCTGCGCATTGAGCACCAGCCGCTGCAGCTGCATGGGCATCACGATCGACTGCTCGCCGCCCGACATGAGGAAGGTCTGCAGCTCGTGCCGGTCCTCCGCCAGCCGCCGCCGCTCCGCCTCGATCAGGTCCCGCGCGCCCTGGTCCGTGCGCATCGCCTCCAGGTCCGTCGCGCTGAGCCACGCGGGCGCGTGCGCGTCGTCCAGGTCCAGCTCGACCTGCCGGCGGAACTGCTCGTCGGTGAGCGACATCTGCAGCATCTTCTGCCGCTCGAGCCGCGTGGCGTCCATGCCGTCCTCGCCGTACAGGAACTGCACGACCTCCCCCAGCGAGTTGGTCACCGTCCCGTCGTACTTGACCATGAGGTCCTCCATGGCCTTGATGAAGCGGCGCTGGATGTAGCCCGTGGAGGCCGTCTTGACCGCCGTGTCCGTGAGCCCCTCGCGGCCGGAGATGGCGTGCAGGAAGAACTCCTGCGGCGTCAGCCCGGCGAGGTACGAGTGCCGCACAAAGCCCTTGGGCTCCGGGCCGAGGTCGCCCGCGGTGAAGTGCGGGAGCGTGCGGTCGTGGAAGAACGACCGCACGCGCTTCCCCTCGACGTTCTGCTGCGCCACGCACGCCATGATCTGCGCCAGGTTGAGGTCCTTGCCCTTGGACCCCGAGTCGGCCATGTGCCGGATGTTGTTGGCGCGCGACACGCTGGTGCGCACCACCTTGCCCGCGTCCTCGCGCGCCTTGTTCAGGATCTGCAGCACCTGGTGCTCGAAGGTCTCCTGCACCGTCATCCCGCGCCCGGCCTCGAGCCCGCCCTTCTTCTGGTACTTCTCCACCACCTCGGCCACCTCCCTGTGCGCGACGTTGATCTTCTCCTTGATCATCGCGACCACGCTCTGCGTGACCACCGCGTCGCCGATGCCCACGCTGAACCCGTGCTGCAGCAGCCAGTGGTTGACCGTGTACTGCGTGTGGTCGATGAAGTACTTGGTGGCCATGGGGCCGTTCTCGATCCAGATCTGGTGGATCAGGCCGCCGGAGGACGCGCCGAGCGTCTTCTTGCACAGCGTGCCCGTGAGGAGCTCGCCGCGCTCGATGAGCACGCGCGTGTCGCTGGGCGTGGTGCCGTGCGGCTCCCCGTCGGCGGCCCACGAGCTGCTCCCGCTGTAGTTGATCTCGTCGGGGATGAACATCTGGAAGATCTGCTTCCCCGTCCACAGCGGCCGCGGCTTGAGCACCGCGGGCGTCGGGATCACGCCGTTCCAGTTCTGCAGCTGCAGGAGCAGGTTGTTGAAGAGGTGCGCCTCCAGGAAGACGTCGCGCGCCGTCATGAGCTTGCACCCGAGGAGCGCGTCCTGGACGATGCCGATGACGGGCTTGTTCGCCTGGGGCGACACGATGTTGACCGGCACCATCATCAGGTGCTGCATCTCGGCGCGCGTCTCGTGCGACTGCGGGACGTGCATGTTCATCTCGTCGCCGTCGAAGTCGGCGTTGTACGGCGACGTCACCGCGAGGTTCAGCCGGAAGGTGTTGTAGTCCATGATGCGCACGCGGTGCCCCATCATCGACATCTTGTGCAGCGAGGGCTGGCGGTTGAACAGCACCAGGTCGCCGTCCATGAGCTGGCGGTCGACGACCCACCCGACCTGCAGCTCGTGCTCGCGCGCCGCCGGCAGGTTGAGCTTGATCTCCACGCCGTCCGAGCGCGTGAACGCCTTGGCGCCCGTGCAGTGCGCGGGCGGGTTGGGCCCGTAGCGCACGCACTGCTGCAGGAAGGCCTTGTTCAGCGGCGTGACGCGCTCGGGGAAGGTGAGGTTGCGCGCGATCGACCGCGGGACGCCGAGCTCGTCCACGCCGATCAGCGCGTCGCCCGTGATGACCGACCGCGCCGAGAAGTTGACGCGCTTGCCCATCAGGTTGCCGCGGAGGCGCCCGTGCTTGCCCTTGAGGCGCTCGGTGATGGACTTGACCGCGCGCCCGCTGTTCTCGATGCGCACCATGCTCGGCATCGTGTTGTTGAAGTACCCCCAGATCCGGCACGTCATGTCCATCCACTTGTCCTCGATCTCCACCATGCCGGCGCCCTTCTCCTCCGCGCTCTTCAGGTCGCGGTTGAGCTTGAGCACGGCCTGCAGGACGTTGGTGATGTCGTCCTCGCTCCGGATGCCCGTCGCCTCCATCATCACGCTCGGGCGCACCGTCCCGGGCGGGATGGGCAGCACCGACAGGATGAGCCACGCCGGCTGCACGTAGCGCGGGTCGAAGCCCATCTCGCGCGCGTCCTCCTCGGAGACCTTCGCCAGCACCCGCAGCGCCTGCTCCGCGTTCACGCGCTCCGGCTCCAGGTCCTTCGTCTCGGCCTGGATCCACACGTGCGTGCGCTTGTTGTCCGCCGTCTTCTCGATGCGGTACCGGAAGCGGGGCTGCGGCTGCGACGTGTACGGACACCGCCCGCCGTCGCCGCCCTTCGACAGCTCCTCCATCTTCCGCAGCCGCCGCTCCGGGTCCCGGATCCGGCGCACCGCGGCCAGCTTGTCCGCGCACGTCTCGTGCCGCAGGATGAGCTCGCCCGTGTGCCACGACACGCAGCCCAGGACCTTCACGACCGTCTTGATGAAGTACGGGTGGTAGCACGGCTTCGACAGGGGCAGGTGCCCGAAAAACCCGGGCGACGTCTTCTCGAGCAGGCCCTTGTCCGCGGGCACCGCGTCTGGGTTGGCCCACCCCGCCAGCCTGCGCGCGGGGCGGAGCGGCGGCGCGGGGTCGGAACGGGCGCCACGGAGGTCCGGGTGCGTGGCGCGTGCGGGGAGCGGGCGCGGGGGGGCGCCGGCGGGCGCAGCGGGCGGCGCAGTGGCTCAGCGGGCGCAGGGGGCGCGACGACCGGCGGCCGGGGGGCCGCAGGACGCACCTGTAGTCCGCGAGGCCGTCCCTTCGCGGTCGGCCCTGGTCGAACATGTCGGGCTGAGTGATTTCGGCCACGGAGTAGGCGGTCTGCGAGGGCAGCGGTGGGCGGGAGGCTCGGTTGGGACCCGCACGGCCGCGCTCGCGGCGCCTCGCGACTTCGCGTGGCTCGCGAGCCCCTCCTCTTCGTGCATGGGCGCGAGAGAGCCGCCGCATCGGGCGGGCGGGCGTCCCGTGCCGGCGCGTTGGCGCGGGACAGCGAGGGCGGAATGACTCGCGGCCGCCCTGGACACGGAGCGGGCCGCCATGGGAGAACCGCACTCGGAGCTGGATGCGAACGATCGGTTCTGTCGGCACGCGCGGTACATGCGGAGTTTCGACCGAGAGCAAGCAGCCTGAGGCCGTCCGGCTGGTGGGCTTGGGCCTCTGTGCCCGGCGCGCCAAACTCGCACGAGGCGCGCTCGGTCGCGCCGCGGCCGCGAATCGACAACGGTGGACCAAGAGGTCCATTCTGAGGCGCAAGTCGGGGCGATAGCCCCAGGACCGCGACGTGCGGGAAGGGTGTGTGGGCCGATGGTGGGATGGGTGCCGCGCGCTGGCTAGGAGCGGCGGTCGGGCGTGTCTCACTCACCAGCTCATCAGGACCAAGGACGCCGAACTGGACGGCCTTGATCCTGCGCGTGGGCACGGTCGTGCCCTGCATGGTGGGCGAAGCACCACCCAGCCAGGCTCACAGCGAGCGACAGCTCACAGCGTCAACATCAGCCTCCGTCCCGGCACAGGAAGCTGCAACGAAGTCGTCGAGCTGGGCGTCTGCTCGCCGGCGCAGCTCCCCGCGCGGCCATACGCGCCGCGACGGCGCCTCGGCCACCGACGCCCCCCTTGTCAGGTCCGACCAGCGCCGCCGGCTGCATCCGCGCACGCGACAGCCCCCGCCCGCCCCCCGGTTCTCCCGCGCGCCCCCTCCTCCCGCTCACCTGCCCTCCCAGATGTCGAACTCGCTCAGTGGCACCAGCACTTCGTTCAACCGCTGCCAGTCGGGCGTGGACGGCTCGTTGTACTGCGCCAGGACGAAGCCCGGGTCCCCCTCCGTAGCGGGCTCAGCCTGCGCGGCGCCCCGCCGGTCGGAGTCGTGTGGGCGCGGAACGGACGCCACCGAGGTCACGCGCGTCAGAGCATGGGCTGGTGCGCACCTTGAGGCCGTCCCTCTGGATCGCGGCGCGCAGCTGGCCGTGCTGCACCCGCACGAGGTCCGGGTCCGAGCGGCCGCTGAACCTGCGCACCGCGTAGACACCCCCCGGCACGTCCCTGCAGGCACCCACGCGCATGCGCTCCCGTCATCACGGCACGGCGAACGAGCGCGCAGTGCGTCGCCCAGCCGCGCCCGCCTCACCTCGTCGCGACCGCGCCGTCCAGCGGGGGCGGCAACTCGGCGCTGCGGCCCCAGTACGTGCTGCCCATGACGAACTGCATGCGCCCCGCCGGCTCCGTGAACACGGGCGTCGTCATCGCCATCTTCTCCCCGCGCGCGTTGCCGCCGAAGATGTACCGCGCGAGCGACTGGAACGACCCCCTGCGGTCCGCCGTCGCGGGGGCGTACTCCGCCACCGAGTACGGCTCGTAGCGGCGGACCTCGTAGTCCGCCGCGCGCCGCAGCAGCATGTACTGCGGGGTCTCCAGGTCCGGGACCTTGAAGAAGGTGCCCAGCTGCGCCACCAGGTCCTGGAAGGCCTCCTTCGACAGGTACTCCTGCTGCTGGATGCTGTCCCAGATGTCGATGTGCCGGTTGAACTTCCACTCCTCCGGGTCCACCGTCATGAACGACTCCCCTGCCGGCCAGGGACAGGGAGCGGCGCCGTCGCTCGACGCGCACGGACGCACGCGGGGGCTGTGTGGCTGTGTCATTGCGGGGAGTGCCGTCCGGGCGCGGTGCACGCGCGTACCTGTGAACTCCATCGACGGCCTCCAGAACGGCAGGGGGCTCCACCACAGCTTCATCGACATGGTCCAGCGCGTGGTGAGCTCGTACTCGCCCGTCCTGCGCACGTCGTGCAGGAAGAACTGCGGCCGGAACAGGACGCCGAGCATCTTGATGTTCGCCAGGTACCCGCTGATGCTCCCGTATTTGGTCAGGGGGTCCCTGCGGATCGAGACGCGGCGCCCGGGAGCGCTGTGTTGCTCAGCGCAAGGGACGTCCCACGGCACGGCGCGAGACATCGCACGGGACGGCGCATGTCGCGAGACGGGAGTGCGTCGATTCCAGTGTGCCGAGGTGTGCTTTTCAGTCCGTACGGGCCGCGTGGCGCACAGGTGCGGACCCAGGGTCGCTGTCAGCAGCACGTACCGGAATTCGACCTTGTCCGAGTACATCGAACGGTCAATGCCCACGTCATCGAACAAGTGCACGAGGTCCTTTCGTAGGAACTCCGCCATCTCCTCCATCTTCACGTCGATGGCGGACGCCTGGTCGGTGCTTGATGCCCGCAGAGCGGTGGCAAGCGTGGCCCGCTCGCCTCCCGAACGGGCCGCGTCGTGCACGGACCTGCGTCTCCGCGCATCGCTGATCGACCTAGCATCGCCTGACAGACGTAGGCTGCGCGGCCTGCACGGGCGGGCAGAGCTCTGCAGCGCACACGGGGCCCTGTGGGCCGGTGACGACAGCAGGGTGTCCATGGCGGGTACGCAACACAGGTGACGCGTCGCAGCTGCGCCAGGAGGTTGGCCATGCGCGGACGCGCGGTCTGGCAAGAGAGGCTGCCTGCCCAGGGGCGCGACACACCACCAACACCTCCGGCAGCGCTGAGAACCGCCGCACGGCGCCGTCGATGCCGCGCGGTCGAGGCTGCGTCCGCAAGACGCAGATTGCAACGTCGGAGGGTGCCGAGGCTCGAGCAAGGTAGCGGCGTGCGCGCGAGTGGGTGCGGTGGGCAGCAAGACACACAGCCTTCGGTTTCGGGCGCAGCGCCGGCCCAGCCGTCGCGATGCCGGTGGTGGGCGTGCCGAGAGACGAGTTGTTCGCGCGTCTGGGGCGAACTTACAGTGAGTGGCCCACGCAGCACTGGTGTTTCATCGATAAGACGGAGGCATCATGCTGCGCACCGCCGGGGCGCAGATAGCCGTCGCGCCGTGGACCTGCCTCGCGCCGGCGTTTCGCCGCTCGAACGAGCGAGCGCAGGGCGCGATAGGCTGCGCACCTGCGCGGCCCGGGCGTCGTGCTGAGCTTGCCTCCCTCCCCTGCTCAACGGCGCTGTTCTTCCGTCTGTCGCCCCCTCGCAGCCCAAGAAGAGTTCGAAGAGCTGTGCTTCGAGTACGGCGTCGAGCTCGATGACGTGACTTCGGAGCAGCAGATGCAGGTGCGGCTCCGCGCGCTGCGAATCTCCCCTCCGCTGGCCTCCTGGGGCGGCGGCCTGCCGCTCGTGCGCTGAGGCGCCAGTGGCCACGAGCGCAAACGCTCGGCAGCCTCGCCACACATTGTGCGCACCCGCGGGCGCGTCGGGTCGAGCGCCGCGTCGCCATGCGAGGCGGTGCGCCCGCTCGGGCCTCGGCACGCGCCGCGCGCTCCCGTCGCGCTCGCGCTGCGTCCCCCGTGCGCGTCGACCCTGCGGCCCGCGACGACCGTCGCCCTCCCCGCACGCGCCAAGCGCACCGCGCATTCCCAGCCCCCGCGCCCGCGCCCGTGGTGTGCAGCGCAAGGAGTTTGGCGACAAGGACGCCGGCATCGGCGAGGACGAGGAGATCATCTACCGCATCGACATCCCCGCCAACCGCTACGACATGCTGTGCACGGAGGTGCGCCCCCTCGCGCCCGCACCTGCGCGCCGCGCCCTTCCCCGCCACACCCCGCAGCGCGACCCGCCCCCGGCCCGTGGTCCGTCCCGCAGGGCATCGCGCGCGCGCTGAACGTGTTCCTCGGGCGGCAGGCGGCCCCCACGTACACGGTGGCGCCGGCGGGCCCCGACCCGGAGCTGCGCATGGTGGTGCGGCCCGAGGTGGCCATGGTGCGGCCCTTCGTGGTGTGCGCGGTGCTGCGCGGCGTGAAGTTCGACAAGGTGCGGTACAACAGCTTCATCGACCTGCAGGACAAGCTGCACCAGAACCTGTGCCGGCAGCGGTCGCTGGTGGCCATCGGGACGCACGACCTGGACAAGGTGCGCGGGCCGTTCACGTACGAGGCGCTCCCGCCGGAGCAGATCCGGTTCACGCCGCTGAAGCAGGAGCGCGAGTTCGGGGCGCGCGAGCTGCTCGCGCACTACGAGGAGCACGACCAGAAGCTCCGGAAGTACGTGCCCATCATCAAGGACTCGCTGGTGTACCCGGTCATCCTGGACGCGGACCGGACGGTGCTGTCGCTCCCGCCCATCATCAACGGCGCGCGGTCGGCGATCTCGCTCGACACGACGAACGTCTTCGTCGAGTGCACGGCCACGGACCTGCACAAGGCGCGCATGGTGCTCAACACCGTGTGCTGCATGTTCTCCGAGTACTGCGCGCGGCCGTACGAGGTCGAGCCCGTCGAGGTCGTCGACCCGTTCGGGTCCGCCGCCGCCACGCCGGACCTCGCCTCGCACGCGTTCAACGTCAGCACGCAGGGCATCACCAGCCTCGTCGGCGTGGGCCTGCCCGGGACGGAGATCGCCGCGCTGCTGCAGAAGATGCAGCTCCGGTGCACGCCCGCGGGGCCCGACCGCGTCCGCGTCGAGGTGCCCCCCACGCGCACCGACATCCTGCACGAGGTCGACATCGCCGAGGACGTGGCCATCGCCTACGGGTACAACAACGTGGCCGTCAGCACGCCCGGGGTGGTCACCGTCGGCCGCGAGCTCCCCGTGAACCACCTGACGGAGCTCCTGCGCGCCGAGGTCGCCATGGCCGGGTACACGGAGATTCTGACCTGGGCGCTGTGCTCGCGGCAAGAGAACTTCGCGGCGCTGCGGAAGGCCGACGACGGCGCGACCGCGGTCGAGATCGGCAACCCCGCGACCGCGGAGTTCGAGGTCGTCCGCACGGCGCTGCTCCCCGCCGCGCTGAAGACGCTGGGCGCCAACACGGACGCCCCGCTGCCCATCAAGCTGTTCGAGGTCTCCGACGTCGTGACGCTCACGGACGCGCTGCCCGTGGGCGCCCAGAACCGCCGGCACGTCGTCGCGGTGTTCTGCGGCCGCGAGGCGGGCTTCGAGGCCATCCACGGCCTCCTGAACCGCATCTTCGACGTGCTGGGCGTCCCGCACGAGAGCATGGGCGCCGGGCCGGCCAAGGGCGGGAACCCGGTCGCGGGGAGGTACGGGTGGAAGGAGGCGCCGGGGTCGCTCGCGGACAAGCCCGGGCCGTTCTTCCCGGGGCGGCACGCGACGGTGCACTTCAACGGGCGCGACATGGGGGAGTTCGGGGTCATCCACCCGGAGACGCTCGCGGCGTTCGACATCACCGTGCCCGTGAGCGCGCTGGAGCTCGACCTGGAGGTGCTCAGCGAAAGCTGACCATTGCCTGCGACGATCAGTGTGACGCGAGCCACGACGACGCGGCGCTGTGCACGGCGCCGGACGCGCGCGTGCTGTGGCTGCCGACCGCGGTGCCCGTCATGTCAAGCCTCCTCGGGGGCGAGCATCACTATGACGGCAGCCTGAGTCACTCAGACTGAGTTGCACGGTGCAACTGGCTGGGGTCCTGTGCGTGCGTGCTCGTGCGGCACATTGCGGCCCGTGAGCGTCGTGGGTGCAACGTTCCGCGCTCTTCGCTCCATCAGCGGCGATTTCGTTCCACCGCGTTGGTCATTCAGCCGCCGTTGGGAGGCCCGGAGGGTGCACAGGCAACCCAGGAACGTGCAGGCGCGTGATCCCGGGCGCGCGGCAGCCAGTCGATCAACGCCATCAGACCATTCAGCGATGACATGAGACGCAATCACGCAGCAAATGGCTCACTCCCCGGCCCCGTGCTCCTGTTGGCCGTCTCATCCAGTGTGGGAGGCTTTGCTGCTCACCCGCGATGCGTAGTCCCGCTCTCGGGCTGCAGGCTGGACGCAAGTGGAGCGAAGAATGGCGACTGTCAACGTGTCATCGAATCTTGCGTCTGTGTTGCAGCGGCTGCAGGCGAGAGCGAGCGCCTCCCACCGGCGCGCTGGGATGCCATTCGCCCGCGTGCCCCCCCGAGGCGGCTCTGATCCCTCTCGGGCGCATCTGACGGGTCCGTTCCCTCTTTGCGGTTCCGCAGGCGGTAGCTCAGCGCGTCGGACGCGCGCCCCCGCGGCTGGTGGCGGTGTCGAAGACGAAGCCAGTGGAGGCGCTCAAGGAGGCCTACGACGCGGGCCACAGGGTGTTCGGGGAGAACTACGTGCAGGCAAGCGCCCACGTCGCGCCCCACACGCCGTCGCGCGCGGCCGCCGTCACGCCTCGCGCGGGTGCGTCAGCTCCGCGGCCCGAGGCGTGCTGTGGTGCAGGAGCTGGTCGACAAGGCGCCCGCGCTGCCCTCCGACATCTCGTGGCACTTCATCGGGCACCTGCAATCGAACAAGGTCAACATGCTCGTCAAGGGCGTCCCGAACCTCGCGGTGGTCGAGACCGTGGACACGCCGAAGCTGGCCAACCGGCTGTCCAACGCCGTGGCCGACCTGGGCCGCGCGCCGCTGGGCGTCATGGTCCAGGTCAACACGAGCGGGGAGGAGAGCAAGTTCGGCGTCGACCCGGGCGCGCCCGTGGTGGACCTGTGCCGGCACATCTCGGCGGAGTGTCCGGGCCTGCGCCTGTGCGGGCTGATGACCATCGGGATGCCGGACTACACGTCGCGGCCGGAGAACTTCACGTGCCTCATCAACTGCCGCGCGGAGGTGGAGAAGGCGCTCGGGCTCGCGGAGGGGTCGCTGGAGCTGTCCATGGGGATGTCGGGGGACTTTGAGCAGGCGACGGAGATGGGCGCGACCAGCGTGCGGGTGGGGTCGACGATCTTCGGGGCGCGCGACTACAGCAAGAAGTGAGCGCGGGGCGCGGACGACGCGAGCGAGCAGCGCGACGGTGTGTGAGACGCGCGTGAAACGAGTCACACGGTGGCCCGCACCATGTGAGTGCTGCGGGCCGGGTGGGTCGCTCAGCGCGGAGAACATCCGGGCCGGGTGGGGGCGCGCACAACGGCTTGCGACGCGCGCGTCGACGGAGTGTCGGATGCGTCGGAATCTTTAAATGAGCATGCAAGGTACGTACGGGCGGGGAGGTGTCAAGGTGTGGTGGGTACACGCCGTCCTGGGAAAAGCGGCGGGACGGCACGGAACGGTGCAGAACGGTTCTATTTGCCCGCGCGTGGGGTGCACCACGCGTGCGGGTCGGCGGCGGCGGGAGGGGGGGAGTCGACGTGGGGCGTGGCCACTTACGTCGGGGTCAGGGGGCGGCCTCCACGACGAGGGCCTCGAAGCCCCCGAACTGGACGCGCTTCGCCGATCCCGACGCGGAGAGGGGCTGGCCGGCGCGCACGGGCGACCACTCGGGCGTGTCGGGCACGTGCTGGGCGGCGCCGTCCCCCGGGGGCGTGTCGTCCTGGCGCTCCTCGGCCTTCCTGAGCTGGCCCGCGGCGCTCGCGAGTCGCATGTGCGTGCTCGACCGCGGCATCGACTTGGCCTGCGGGGACCCGCCGCTCGACGCGCCCAGCATGGGCGCCATGGCGCGGTGGTTGTGCACCGAGGTGGCCATGCGCAGGAGCGAGTGCTGCGGGCTCTGGGAGAAGTGGTCGCGCAGGGCGCCCTGCCGGCCGAACATGTCCTCGGCGGACTGGATGTGGTCGTGGAACTGCCGGTGCGCGAGGCCGTTGACGTCCGACGTCGAGGGCGCGTGGTGCATGAGCGCCGTCAGCGCCGACGTCCGCGAGTCCCCCGCGGCCAGCGTCGTCGCGCGCGAGTCGACCGCCAGGACGCCCGCGCGCGGGAGGGCGCGCCCGCTCGCGCTGTCGCTCCCGCTGAGGTCGCGCGGCGCGGCGGCGTGCCGCGACGAGGAGCTGGGCGTGCGCGCGGCCTTGCCCTCGAGCATGGCGAGCTCCTGCCGCTTGACCGCGAGGTGGTTCGACGAGAAGCTGTGGTGCAGCCCGTCGATGGTGACCACCTTCCCGCCGTCCATCTCGGCCACGTCGCCCTCCCCGTTCTCCTCAATCGTGCCGCCGCGGATGACCACCTGCGCGGGCCACCCCGCGAACACGCCGTGCCAGCCGTTCGCCTTGATCGTGCACGCCGAGATGGTCGTCTCCGCGCCCTCGCCGTTGCTCTGCACGCCGTGCTCCGCGTTGCGCTCCACCGTGGTGCGCATCATGCTCGCGCGGCCCTGGTTCAGCAGCCGCACGCCGCAGCCCTCGTTCGAGTGCACGCGCGAGTGCACCAGCTTCAGGCTCACGCCGTCGCCGTCCGCCCAGATGCCGTGCGAGTTGTTGTCGCGCACCTCGCTCCCGTCCAGGACCACCGTCGCCGCGTGCACGTGCACGCCCGTGTCGTCGTTCGACGCGATCTCGACGCTCTGCAACGAGAAAGGGAAGGGCGCGCGGCCGTGAGCGCGCCTGCCCCGCGCGCGCGCGCCCCGCCGGCCAACGAATGGCGCCTGGGCAGGCCAGCTCAGCACACGCGCGGGCTCCGCTCACCTGCAGCGTGACCTCCGTCCCCTTGTCCACGGCGTCCAGCCCGACGACGTTGTTGTCCGTCAGGTCGCCCTTGAACATGAGCACGTGCGCTCCCGCGGCCGCACACAGCCCGGCCCCGTCGTTGTTCGTGCTCACGCACCGCCGCAGCTCCACGCCCCGGGCCCCTCGTACCGTGATCCCGGCGGGCCCGCTGGCCCGCTTGATCCACACGTCCTCCAGGACGACGCCGTGGGCCTCCTCCGTGATCGTGATGCCCCTCGAGCCTCGGATGCGCAGGCCCTTGACGTGCGCGCCGGGCCGGCTGATCACCAGCTCCTCGTCGTCCGAGCACCTGCGCGGGGGGAGGACGTCGGACGGACCGTGAGCGCGCGGGGCTCGCCGGGCGGTTCCGGGCACCAAGGCGCCGAGCGGGGCCCAACGGATCGCCCGCCCAGGAGGTGGTTGCTGGGTGGGCCTCGCGGCGCGGGCGGGCCGGCGCGCGCGCACCGCGCCGCTCCAGGCGCGCGTGCGCGGCCATCGCTGCCGCGCGGCGGGCTCGTGGCGGCGCCATCGGCCGCGTGCGAGGCCTGCCGGCGGGCCTTGCATTGCAAGCCGCGTGGGCACAGCAAGGCCGTGGGGCGGGCGCGTCCGGCCCGCAGACGGCTGCGCGGCGACAGAGGGGCGAGGCACGCACTTGAAAAGCCTGTCGGCGAGGTCGACGTGCAGCTCTCCCTCGTCCGCGCTGTCGAGGAGGAAGCCAACGTCGTCGAGGTCCATGTTGCCGACATTCTGCTTCACGCACGCCCGACACAGCTTGTCGAAGAGACCGTCCTCCATCTTTTTCAGCGCCGCTAGCAGCGCCAGGGCCTCGGGGGTCTCGTGCGCATCGCTGCATCGCCGGGCAAACTCGTCTCCGGACCGGAGCACATGGAGCCCGACGGCCGGCGCATACGTGTCGTTGACAAGCTCCTGCAGGTCTTCATTGTGCGATGCGAGCATCCGACACGCCAAAACTCGTCCTCGGCGATCGCGTCGCGAGCGGAATGTTCTCTTCCGAACCTCTGAAAGGAAGCGGCGACGTGAAAGGGCGCTCGCTGCAGGAGGCGTTGCTCTGGACTGTCTGTGCGACCAGTGACCCGCACCGCGCGCCGCACTCCGCTGTCGTCGCGCCCACGGCCCGCGCGGAGGTCCTCCCCGACCTGGGCAGCAGAAGTTTTCGCGCCCGACGCGGCCCGACGTGTCCCCCCCGCGGTCGAGCCGCGCGCGCCCCGGATGGCGACGTCATCCTCCCGTCCGAAGCGCAGGCGCGGTCCGGGGGCTGGCGTCGACAATCGCCGGCGTGGCATGGCCTCGGAACGAGGCGGTTGGCCAGCGATGTCCGCGGTCCGGCCACGCGCGCGCCTGCTGCGCGCCGCGTCTCGTGGACTTTGCGCGTTATGGGCATCTCTGTGCCCGCAGGCCACAGCATTGCCGTACGCGACCCACACGAGGCTCCATTAGGTCGCCAAGCTAGGCCCGGCCTCGACGCAGCCCTGCGTGGCCCAGGCGCCTTCCCGGGCCACGCACGCCACGGACAGCGAGCGTGCCATGCGTCCGGCGGCGTCAGAGGCGCGCCAAGGCCTGAAGCCGTCTGAGCGGCACACGTGTAACCCTATCAGGTCAACACGAAGCAGCCTGAGCCTCGGCGCAGGCCGCCCTCCGGCGGAGGTCCGACGCGCGTGCGGCTTCCTCGCAGTGGGGCATGTGCGGCGGACCGGTCGGGCCCTTCTGGGCGAGCAGCCTCTCTCTCGCGCGCTGCTCGTCACCGTCACATGGCCCGCAGGCGTTACTCAGCCCCCTTCGCGCTCGGCGATGATGCGCCGCTTCGCGCGCTGGTACTCCGAGTGGCACGCGCCGCACACGAACAGCTTGAACCCGCTCCGGCGCAGCACCTCGCGCGCCGGAAGCGCCTCAACCTCAGCAGCGCTGCGCTCGTCGCGCCCGGGTCGCAGCTGCAGCGCCGACGCGGTGCGGCGCCGGCGGCCTGGTGCCGGGCCTGCTCCCGCACGAGCACCGTCCGCTGCGAGCCCCCCTAGTGAGGCCAGGCGTCACTGCGGTGCACGGCGACACGCAACACTCGCACCCCGCGGCGGCCGCAGCAGCGCCCAGGCCGTCCTCGACGACCCATACCCACGAGGATGGCTCCTGTACCGAATGAATGTGCGCCGAGAGCCACCCAGGCACGGTATCTTCATCATCAAGCTAGCTTGCGCGGGGGAGCAGGGGCCCTCGAGCACGCGCCCGGCAACGCACCACGCGCCCGACGGCGCTTGCGCTGGCGAATGGGCCGGTGATGCGCGCCTCGTTCTCGTCGGCGCCTGCTTCGCGACGCCCTCGTCACCACGAGTGCAGCAGGGGGTTGCAGCAACGGCGCGCCGCCCCGCGAGCGGGTCGAACCGAAGCGCGGTGTTGGGCGCGGTGCACGTGGTGCATACGACGAAAGAGGTGCATGCGCGGGACCGAGGCAATTGTCCTCGGCAGGCGGGCCAGCTCGACGCCAGACAGGCTCGGTGTTCTGAGGAGCTCGCTGGACGCTCCAACGGGCATGTTTCCGCGAAGACGCCGTGTCAAGCATCGACACCTCGCAGCGAACATGCGGCCGGCCGGGTCTCCTCGCGCGCGGCGCGTGAGGCGGCGCGAGAGCGGTCGCCCAGCCTGGCCAGGACGACCTGGGCACGAGCAGAGCGTGCCGGGCACGCGCCCGCACGGTGTCCGGACCGCGCCCTCCCGACAGCGGTCGCTCATGGGCTGACGTGCCCCCGCGGCCGCCGCGCAACTGCACCGACGCTGCATTGACGCTGAACCGGAGGGCCCGCCCGCCCGTTCGCGCCAGGCGCTGTCCGTTGACCGCATTGCTTGGCTGACTTTCGCGGCCCCTCGATCGGCCGCGTACCAGCTCGACTCCGCCTGTCGTGCTGGAGCAGGGTTGACGAGCGGAAACATCGCGCGGGTCCACCAGGCGCCGGAAACACCTGCGGCGGCTCGTCGGTATCGTTGCTGCGCATCTGACGGCAGGGGCGGACAATGGCCATCGCGGATGGCAATGTTGGCGTCGCGTTCGCCATGGTCATCGGCGCCGGCGCTTCGACCATCCTCGGCGCCTGCTTCGTCTTCTACGGCAAGAGGGAGCCAAACCGGGCCCTCCTGGCCGGGTCCCTCGGTGCGTGTGGCGCGCCCCCGCGACGAGCAGCGAGCGGCTCCCCACGCACGATGGAGAGCTCGAGACCGCGTGCGACGCCCCAGGGGGGGCGCCGGAGCGCCCTGTCGCGAGCGCGGCGACACGACATTCAGCTACCTGTCCACAACCGCCCGACCACGCGCGGGCCGCCGCACGTGCCGTGTGCAGGTGCTTCCGCGGGCGTGATGATCTACGTCTCCTTCGTGGAGATTTTCGCCATGAAATCATTCGATTATTTCGAATCGTACGGCCTGACACCCGAGGCATCGCAGCGCTACGCCACCCTGTGCTTCTTCGGCGGCATGCTCTTCATCCACGTCCTCGACAAGGTGCGCAGCTTGCCTGCACATCGGCAGCGCCTGCGAAGCGCGATGCCTGCACGTCGTCGCTCTGTGCTCGGCCGCCCGCCACGCTGCCGTCCTGCTTGCTGCGATGTGTGCAGATGCCACGTCATGTGCACCAACCAACGAGCTGTGTCGCCGGCGGTTCCCGAAACGTGCCCTCGGTGTTGACGCGCTGCAGCTGGTGCACCTCATCGCCAACGCCGAGCAGGATCGTCCGGACACCAGTCCTGTCGAGGGTCCAAGCAAGAAAGCCGCCAACCTCGGTGCTGCGCCGCTCGACGAAGAGGACCCCGATCCTGCCCTGGTCGGGACGACTTCCGGTGTCACCACGACTGTGGACGCTCATGACATCACGCGCGGTGTCACGCCTGAGCCACTGGAGCCCAAGGACCCTTCATTGTCACAAAACGTGCCCTGTGGCAACCCAGCTTGCTTCTGCGACTTGCCGCCGGAACTCGTTCCGGAGCCGTCGAGCAGCGGGCTCGTGCGCGCAAAGGTCGCCGCGTGGGACGAGCTCGACGATGCTGAGCGCAGGCGGTGAGTCTCTTCCGGCAAACCCCCCTGCGCGCATGGCGTCTGTGCGGGCATGCGCAGCGCTCGGCCCCACCGCACGGGCCCCTCTCCGGCGGTGTCCCGCAGGTTGAACAAGATGGGCGTGTTGACGGCGCTCGCCATCGGCCTGCACAACTTCCCCGAGGGCCTGGCGACCTTCGTGGCCGCGCTGGCCGACACGCAGACGGGCTTCGTCATCGCGGTGGCCATCGCGCTGCACAACCTCCCCGAGGGCCTGTGCATCGCGATGCCCGTGTACTACGCCACGGGGTCCCGCTGGAAGGGCCTGATGTGGGCCGCGATCTCCGCGGTCTCGGAGCCCCTGGGCGGCCTCCTGGGCTACGTCGTCCTGGCCAACGCCTTCTCGGACCTCGCGTACGCCATCCTGTTCGCGCTGGTCGCCGGCATCATGGTCTTCATCTCCCTCCAGGAGGTCATTCCCAACGCGCTGCAACACGACCCTGAAAAGAAGTACGTCACCTACTGCTGCTTCGGCGGCATGGTCGTCATGGCCGCCTCGCTGCTGTGCTTCCAGATCTAGGCGAGCGGACGCAGCCGCGAGTTAGTTACAGTCTTCAACCTGTTTCTCTTTCTGTTTCTGTTTTCTTACCCGCGTGTGAACAATCAGCATGACAACGTGTCAACTGGAGGTCACATTGACCAATCAAAGGGGTGGCCGAGAGCAACGAGGCGGTGGAGTACCCGCACGCGGAACGAGCGAGCTGCGCGTCGCGCGTGCCTCCGGTGCCTAGGCACAGGCCCACCGCGCGCACTCCGCTGTTCACGCGGCCTGACCGCACAGCGCGATCGGCCAGGCTGTTCCGGCCCAGCAGCCCCTCTCGCGCTGCCCGTCACTGCCCCACTGCCCGCCGGCGGGGCTCAACCCCCTTCGCGCTCGGCGATGATGCGCCGCTTCGCGCGCTGGTACTCCGAGTGGCACGCGCCGCCCACGAACAGCTTGAACCCGCTCCGGCGCAGCACCTCGCGCGCCGGAAGCGCTCCTACGTCCCCACCGCTGCGCTGCTCGTGGCCGGGTCGCAGCTGCAGCGCCGACGCGGCGCGGCGGTAGAACTCTTTGTCGTCGTCGTGCTCCGTCGCCCTATACGCGCCGACGAGCGACACGCGCTCCATGTCGGCGGGACAGAACTGTTTGAAGTACCTGCGCGCAGCCAACAACGACACCCCGCCGCGCCGTGAGGGGACGCGCTTCGTGCCGCCCGCGGCCCTGTTCGCAGCAACACCGCGCGGATCGTCCGCGCGGGCGCACCTGACGCGTCGCTTCACGCCCTTCTCGAGGGAGTTGGCGTGGTCGACAAACTCCCGCGTGACGTTGTACCCGCGCAGGATGCCGTCGCCCTTGCGTCCGAGCCACTCGCGCTCGAGGCACCTGCACGGCTCGGCGCAGGTCCGCGGGCGCGCGTGTGGGCTCGCGGCCAGCGGCGCGACGCGGACGCAGGCTGCGAGCGCGACGCGATGCCCGGCGCCCGGAGCCCGCGGAGTCACGCGCACGCGCAGCACGCGGCGCGCGCCCCGCCCGTCGGTCCACGTACCATCGCGTCCACTCGAGCCCGTACCACAGCGCGCGCGGTATCCCCCGCTTCCTGTTCCTGCTGCCAAAGTCCCACACGCACACCGTTTCGCCGAGCGCGAGGCGCATCATCAGGTCCGGTCCAACGTCGAGCAGGATCTGGTTGAACAGCTGCTGCTCGCACGCCGTCGACTGGAGGCGCGTGAAGGAGTATGGAAGGCCCAGCTCGGAGAGGATCGGGGCCGCCTCGAGCCCGTTGGTCAGGTTGAGGGCGTGGTGCATCTCGTGCAGCCGCGGCAGCTCTATCTCGTCCAGCTGGCCGGACAGCACCATGTCTGACGCGAGCTGGTCCAGTTCCGCCTCGGGAGGGAGGGCGCGTCGTGGGGCGCACCGCGCGGCCGACGTGTGGGAGGGTCGCCCCCCAGCCATGCATGGCGCACGCGCGAGGACGCCGGCGGGAGCATGGCGTGCGTGCGGCGCGGGCGGGGGCGCGCGAGGCGCTCCCGCGGAGCTCGTGCAGATTGGCGCCGCGCCTCCCAACGGGCTCGTCATCCCCGGGCTTCGCCCTCGGGCGGCTGCCGAGAGTAGTGTGTGTCAAGCAGAGCGCGGGATCAGGCGCTCGCTGGCGCCCAGCACAGCGCGCGAATCACGTGAGTTGACCGCCCTGGTCCTCGAGCGCAGCCCACGCGGACTGCGGGACCTAGGTGCGGTCAGGATCGTCCTGGGATCGGCAGATAGCAGTGACGATCCAAGCGCCGGAGCAGCCCGATCTCACCATTGACCGGCTGGGGCCTGCCGGGTGGACTGCCCCCAGCAAAACTTTGCACTCATTACCACGGGGTACGAGGACCATGGCCACTGTCGACCTCGGAAACACATCCCGTGCTTCGCGAATGTAGCCCTCGCACTGGCAATCCATCGCCGAACTCGACGACATCGGACCAATTACCGTTTCCCAGCACGAGGGGGTTCCACCGAGGGGCGGAGCGTCGTCGGCTCCGTCGCGAACTCCCGAGTTCGCCATAGCTGTAGACGACGGCTTCTGGATGCGAACCTCCATCGGCCCGCGCCGCACCACGCGGGTGGTGCGCAGAGCTGCATGCGTGGCCCTGCTCGGCCTGTGCGCCGTGATGTTCGCGTTGATTCCGACCAGGAGCAGCGCAAACCACAGGAGCCTGTCAAGCTTCTTGGGTCTCCAAGCGAATCCTGTTTGGGAGAGCCAGCTCCTGGTGAGCAGCGCCTCCCTCCCCTGTCGTGCGTGAAACTCCCGCCAAGACGTCCACCCGCGCGCTCACCGCGACGGGCGCGCGCGCCGTCGGCGTGCAGGTGCGCGGGGACCTGGAGGGGTACGCGCTGCTTCTCGCGGGCGAGGTGCGGACGTTCGTGTTGCCGGGGGCGGCGGAGCGGTGGATGAAGATCGTGGTCGACCCGCTGGACGCGGACGTGTTCATGAACGTGGCGCTCGAGGCGAACACGCAGATGAGCCCGCACAACGGCGGCAAGCCGCCGCCGCCGCACGAGCGCTACACGCGCTCCCGGGAGCAGCTGGACGTCGCGGTGCGGCCCTTCGGCGACAAGCTGCGGAACCTCACGGTGGCGTCCGACGCGGAGCTCGAGGGCGACCCGTGGTGGCGCGGGGAGGCCGTGACCTTCCCCGGGCTGCACTTCCGCCAGGCGAAGCTGCTGCACGCCATGCGCCACCAGGAGCGGGCGCGCGGGCGGCCGTACGCGTGGGTGATCCGCACGCGCCCGGACCTGTACATGGACTGCACGCTGCCGCCGCCCGCCGAGTGGCCGCACCCGTGGGACAGGAGCGTCGAGGGGATGTTTGGGTTGTACTACGACTTCATCGCCGTGCTGCCGCGCGCCGCCGCGGAGCTGGCCCTGAACGCCTACTTCATCGGCCACGGCTTCGTCGGGTGCCTGCCCTTCCAGGACGCCCCCGAGACCTGCGTGCCCCACCTCCTGCGGCAGCACGGGTGGCTCATCCGCGGGCTGCAGTGGAGCAAGTTCGACCGCGACTCGCCGCACAACGGTGCGCCGCCCGCCTCACGCGGGACGTGGCGCCGCCTGCGAAGGTCACAGGCCCGTGACACGTGTCGACGGTTGCCCATTGACTGACTGACTGACTGCCCATTGCATGGATGCAGGGTTTCCCACGCCGCGACGCTCGCACGAGTGCGACCCGGACATGCACCCGGACGGTCCGGAGTGCCAGAACTCGCACCAGGTGCTGCTCGACTGGAGCGCGGAGCCGCCGAAGTGCTCGGACGCGGAGGGGTGGGAGCCCGGGGTGGTGTTTTCGACGCACAACGCGGAAGAGTTCATGTGGCGGCTGCAGGGGCCGCCGGAGGCGCACCAGATCTCGCGGCTGTTCGCCCTACCGGAGACGAGCAGCGACGCGAAGCAGGCGCTCGTGCGGGACAGCCTGCGCGACGCGACGCGCTTCATGCCGCCGCCCGGGTAGCGCGACGCGGCGCCCGAGCACGCGCGCTCGCCAGCGCAACGCAGCAAGCTGGCGCAGGCGTGGCGCGGACCTCTGAGCTGCTCGTCGCCGAGCGCACGGAGGTATAACCGAGGCAGTCTGTCGCTGACGCAGTGTGATGCACGCTGCCGGACCCCGCGCGCACCATCAGGGCTCGCTCCGGTCGCGCGCTGCGCCACAGTCGCGGACGAGCGCACGGCGATCGCCCCGGGTCCTCGAAGCGCTGCAACGACCCGCCCACGCGCGCCACTGCCAGGCACCTAGGAGACAAGCGGCCGAGCGCACGCAGGCCGCCTTGCTCGGGCGCAGGGGGGTCGCGCGCCGTCACACAGCCGCGGCACCGAGCCCGCAGCGCGCAGGGATGCCGGTCTCCGCGCAGCACACGTGGGAGGAGGAGGATGGTTCGCTGGTGGTGCATGTGCGGGTCGCCGGGGTGCCGCGCAGCAAGATCGACGTGTTCGCGTCGGACTGCTACATCAAGGTCAACGCGCCGCCGTACTTCTTCCAAGTCGACCTGAGGGGCGAGATCGACGAGGAGCAGAGCGCCGCGACCATCGAGCCCTCCGGCATCGTCTTCCGCGCAGTCAAGGTGAGCACCCCGCGCCCGCGACCAGCATGCCCCCGCGCGCCCGCCGCCGCCTCCCGCAGCGAGCTTGCGCTCAGACGACCGCGGCCGGATGCCCACCGACCGGGGCCGGGCGCGGGCGCGGCCGTGGGAGCGGCGGGGCGCGGGCGCCTGCCTGAAATGCGCTGCCAGGACAGGCGCCCCGCAGCGCGTCGCCCACGCCGCCACTCGCACCGTGCTTAGGGCGAGGCGTGACGGAGCGCGTGTGTTGCGCCTTCTCGCAGCGCTCGCGGGGGCTTTGGGGCAAGCTGGAGACGGACCTGCCGCGGGAGGAGGCGGAGGCGCGGCGCAGCAGGTCGATCGAGGAGGCGCACCACCGCGCGAACGTCGCGAAGCAGCGGGCCCGCGACGCGCGCAAGCAGTATGCGAAGGAGATGAGCACGCGGGTACGCACGGCTGGCTCGCTGGGCACCTGCAGCGGCGCCGGGCCTTGCGCTGTTGCCTGTGCGACGCCGGCGCACGTGCTCGCTGGGCGCGCGCGGCGGACCGGTTGCGCGGATCTCGAGACTGTCTGCAGACGTTCGACATCGCGTCGCGGAAGCGCCAGGAGGTGGAGCGGCTGAAGGCCGAGCAGCTGCAGCAGGAGCGGGACGGCATCGCGAGGTGGCAGGCGGGGCTGCAGGAGGGCGCGGGCGGGGAGTCGGACTACGAGTCGGACGAGGAGGACGAGCGGAGGCGGGAGGCGGCGGGCGGCGCTGCGGCCATGCCGGACCACCCGGACTACTACGGGCGCGGGCACCGGCACAACAAGGAGAACGAGGGCGACGACAACGCGCGGAAGATCGAGGAGCGCGTCGCGGCCGCGGAGAAGTTCGCAGAGCAGGTGTGCCAGAAGGCGGGGGGGGGATTGTACAGTTCGACGATGCTGGGCCTCGAGCGGTGCCCAGTGACCTGCTGCGCGCTCGCTGCCGTTCCTGCAACGCCCGCGCGCCTGCGCCGCTGTCCGCAGGAGCTGGCTCGCGAGGAGGAGGAGGAGCGCGCGGCGCGGGACGCTCCGGCGCGCGCACGGGCGCGCGACGACCCCGGCGAGGCGGCCGCGCTCCCCGAGGCGCCGGTGCCGGTGCGCGTGCTGCCGCCGCCGCGCGTCCGCGAGCCCGTGAAGCTGTCGTTCACCCCCACGGAGGCGCCGCACCTTCCGATGCGCGAGAAGCGCGAGAAGGAGATCAAGGAGTACCGGCGCAAGCAGGCGGCGCGCGGGGCGATCGAGGACGCGGTGGACGTCACGGAGCGGCAGCCGATGTTCCTGAAGGACAAGGGCGACGCGCTGCTGGGCCGCGGGAACCTCCAGGGCGCGCTGTCGGCGTACAACCGCGCGCTGGAGATCGAGCCGGACCTGGTGCCGGTGCTGTCCAACCGGTCGCTGTGCCTGCTCAAGATGGGGCTGTGGGGCGCGTGCGTGGAGGACTGCGGGCGCGCGCTGGAGCTGACGCGGCGGAACTGGGAGGACGTCGACGAGGGGCGCTGCGCGGACGCGAACGAGGCCGCGCGCGTGGGGCGGGCGCGCAGCAAGCTGCTGTGCCGCCGGGCGCACGCGCTGGCGAGCCTGCAGCGCGTGGGCGAGGCCATCGAGGACCTGGAGGCGGCGCGGAAGATCCTGCCGTCCGCGGAGGTCGACGCGTCGCTCGCGGAGCTGCAGGCGTCGCTGGCGCCGCTCACGCCCGCCGAGGCGCGCGCGCGCGGCGACGAGCGGCTGCGCCTCCGCGACGCCGAGGGCGCGCACGCGGCGTACTCCACGATCGTCGGGCTGCCGAAGGGCGACGTCGGCGACCTCGAGCGCGCCGCGGCCCTGTCGGGGCGCGCGGCGGCGTGCATCCTCATGGAGCGGTTCGGGGAGGCGGTCGGGGACGCCGGGACGGGGCTCGCGCTGCTCGTGCGGGGCGCGACGGGCGCCGAGGACGTCGACGTGGCGCCCTGCGCGTCGGAGGACGAGATGGTGGAGCGGCTCGCGTGTTTGAAGGTGCGCGGGGCCCTGCGCGGGGTCTGTGGAGGCGTGCCTGCGCCCGGGCGGCGACGGCGCGGTGTGCGCTGTGCGAGACGGGCGGTTCGCGTGCTTGGCTGGTCGCAGGCTGGTGGCGGGGCGGCGGAGGGCCAGGACGGGGGTCTGGTGCAGTGGCAGGTGCAGGACAAGCTGGTGGCGCGCAGGGCCATGGCGCTGGCGCACGTGCGGCGGTACGCCGAGGCGAGGGCGGACTTCGCCGCGCTCGCGGCGCTCAGGGAAGGGCGCGGGGACGTCGCGGGCGCCGAGGCCGCGCGGGCGGACGCCGGGAAAGTTGCAGAGATGCTGCGGCAGGAGGACGCGTAGCCGATGTGAGCTCGCCGCGGAGGCTGCTGCGCGCTCCGTCTCGCGACCGGACGCTTGCGAGCGGAGCGGGCCGGCGTGCGGCTGTTTGCTGAGTCAGCGCAGGTCTGTCAGTGGGACGCAGGGCCGGCGGCGGAGACGAGGCCGCAGCGCGGGACCCGCGGCGGGCAGTCTGCAGTCGTCCGTTCGCGGCGGCGACGGGCGCGCTTCCGATCGACTAGGTTGCCGCGAGTCCTGCGTTGCTGGGAGTGGCGGTGGTCGCAGCATGGGGCAGCCGGCGGAGGTCACGGTGATGGAGCTGCCGAGCGCACACACCATGCTGACCACGCTCGGGCTGGCGACGCTGTCTCCACGCTCGCTGCAGGTGCGCTGGGCGCCCAGCTGGAGCACAGCTTCGTTGCGCGCGCGCACAGGACGCACAGACTTCGGTGTGCCCCTGTCTCCGGCGCACTGGTGACATACTGTGCTGGTGTTTCGCGTTGCTTCGCAGTGGGACGCACTCCGGCTCGACTCTGAGCTTGTTTCGATGCTGAAGGACCAGCTTGGCCGCGCGGTTGCGTACGCGGGACGAGGCCTCGCGATGCGCCTGCAGCCCGAGCTCGACGCCCTGCTCCGGCTCGCGGTGCTGCGGCTGTCTCTGGGGAAGGGAAACAGCACTCCGGGCGCCGCACTGCTCGGGATGGAGCTGCGGACCGTGGCGGGCACTGCCCAGCAGAGCGCCCCCGCTCCCGACGCGCCCGCGCCCGAATCAGGCAAATCGGGAGCAAGCATGTCACCACAGGAAGGCGTCCCGGGAGGCGGCAGCGCCTCCCGCGCCGCCAGCGCGGCCGCGGCCCCGGCCCCGGACGCGAGCAGCAACGTGGAGCGGCCCGAGGCACTGGACGCGGCCCGCCCGGACGGGGCGTCCCCGGGGTGGGGCGTGCCGCTCAGCCGGTCGCGGAAGGTGATGTACGCGGTGCTCACCGTCGGCGTGCGGTACGGTTGGGCGCGGCTCGAGGACCTGTTGACGCGGCACGGGTTCCCGGAGGCGCCGGCGGGGTCGTGGAAGGCGGGCGTGTGGCGGACGCTGCGGTGGCTGGAGAGGGCCGTGCGGGTGCTGTCCGCGGTCAACTTCATCGCGTTCCTGTACGAGGTGCGCGACGACCCCCTGACACGCACACGCGCAACGTCATCACTCCGGGTGGACGCGCGCGAGCCCGCCGCGGACCCCCGCGCTCACTCGCGCACCGCCGGCTGGTTCCCCGCGCCGCAGGGCCGGTACCCGACCCTGGAGACCCGCCTGCTGCGGGCGCGCCTGATGCCGACACGCATCGGGGCGCCGCGGGCGATCACGTTCCAGTTCCTGAACCGCCAGCTCGTGTGGGAGGAGCTGAGCGCGCTCGTCCTCGCGATCCTCCCACTCATCGACCCCGCCGCGATCTCCAGGTAACACCCCTGGCACCCCCCACATCAACACAGCACCCCTCGCTCCGCAACGCGGCTCCCGCACGCACTGCCGCGCGGTTGACGAAGCACGTCGTTCCCTGTGCCGCGAAGGGGGTTCCACGTCGCGATGGGCGCGATCCGAGCGAGCCTCCGGCGCACGCGCACCATCGCGGCCCCGCCGGAAGGGAGCGGCGACGCGGAGCAGGCCGGGGCGGCGCAGGCGGACGAGGAGCGGCCGATCAACCCGCACTCGCAGTGCCCGGAGTGCGGGCTGATGGACGTGACGGGTCTGCTGGCCGTGGCCGAGCCGTGCGGGCACGTGCACTGCTACTACTGCCTGCGCGGGGCGTGCGAGACGGACCCGAAGCACGAGTGCCGCGCGTGCGGGACGCGCATCGAGCACATCGCCGTGTAGCCGCGTCGGGAGGCGGGCGCCACCGCCACCGCGCGCAGGTCGGGAGGGCTGCAGAGCCCAGTTGTACATTTGCGTTGTGACTCGCGCCGTGGCGGTTGCGGCGGCTCACAGCGCCGCGGCGGTCAGAGCTCGGTGTTGTAGGACCCGCGCGACTTCTGCACGACGGCGGCGATGACGTCGTCGTCGGGCGTGAGCACGCGGTCGATGATGCCGTACTCGACGGCCTCCCACGGGTTGAAGTACTTCGGGCGCAGGATGTCCTTGGCGATCTTCTCCGACGAGTGGCCCGTGTGCTCCGACAGCAGGTCCACGACCTCGTCCGTGATGCGCCGCATCTCGCGCCGGTAGATGTCCAGGTCGGAGGCCTGCATGCCGCCTTGCCGCACGAACCGGTTCATCGGCTGCCGGATCATCACCGTCGCGCTCGGCAGCGCCGCGCGGTGGCCCTTCTCGCCCGCGGACAGCAGCATCGCCGCCTCGCCGAACGCGCTCCCCACCGCCACCGTGTTGACGGGCGGCTTGATGAAGCGCATCGTGTCGTAGATCGCAAACGCCTCCGTCTCGTAGCCGAGGCGCTCCCCACCCCGCGTGACCCCTGCGAGGCGCCGGGCGGAGCGCGCGGGTGACGGGCGCGCGTGTGTGCTGCTGCCGCCGCTGCGGTGCGCGCCGGGGTGCCGTGCGGCGCGTGTGCAAGCGGCGGTGCGCGGGCCTCACCCGTGGAGTTGATATACATGGAGATGGGCTTGGTCGGGCTGTCGTACTGGAGGTAGAGCAGCTCGGCGAGCATCAGCTCGGTGACCGATGGCACGAGGGACATGCCCAGGTACACGATGCGCTCCTTGAACAGGTAGGACGGCAGGTCCGGCGGGGTCTGCTCCGTGGCGTCGCCGCTCAGCATCGGGATGACCTGCAGCGGCGCGCGCTGGCGGGCAGCGGAGGTGAGGGGACTGGTGGCAGCACCGAGCCGCGCCGTGCCCACGCAGGACGCGGGGCCAGTGCGCGCGCGCGCAGCTGCAACTGCCGGGGCGGCGGGGCTGGTGGGCCCGGGGGACGCGCGCGGCAATGAGCGCGGCGGCGTTGCCGGCCAGTCTCCGCTATCATCCACAGTTCCACCTCCTGTCGCCGCCGCGGGGAGCGGGCCGCGGCCTGGAGCCCGAACGTCGATGATTCCGGGAAACAATATTGCCATCATGGCGCAGGCCACATGGATTCGCCGTCATCGCGCGGCACGACGGCACAGGGCTCAGCGGACTGGGAGGTGGGATCCACGCACCGCCTGCACATCCAAACGCCGCCCCGCCTGCGGACGGACCGCCCTCCTCGCCTGCTGCACTAACCGCCTCCCACGAAACGCCGACGTACGCAGGCCAGCGTGCCCCTGGGGCGCCGCTACACCCGAGGGCATTGTGCCTCAGTGGCTCCGAGCACGCGAGGCCGACGCGAAAGGAACGGTGCGTGCGCCGCGGGCCCCGAAGTGTGCCCGCCGTGACGCGCCTCGCGGGGTCGACGCCGGCGACGGCAGTCCCGCGGCCACGTCAGGCGGTCCCGCCGGCCTCGGGGCCCGCGGGGGAGCGATGGTGCGCGCCTCCGTGCGCCGACCTTGGCGCTCGCGAGCGGCGGGCGCGGGGCACATTCGCGCGCGCACTCGTCGCCATGGCCGCGAAACGCAAGGCAGCGCCGCCGGCCCCGGCGCGCAAGAGGGCCAGGACAGCGCAGCCTGCGCAGGAGGGGCCCGTGGCGCACCCGTCGCACCAGAAGGTGGGCGCCGCCGGTTCTGCCCCGAGTCGCATGTGTCTGACCATGGCAGCACCCTCGCGGGGCCCGGAGCGCGTCGCATGGCTTCCCCCGCCGCGGCGCGCGCAGCCCGTGGGCTGCAACCGGCGCTGCCCGCTCCCCGCGCGCGAACGAGCCTGCGCTGCGCCGCGGACGCCAATCGCCAGCGACGCACACGTGCACGAGAGCGCGCTCTCTCGGGCACACCGAGGCAGTCGCTGACCCAGCCCGAGGCATTTGCGCCGCGCTGTGCACGCCAGCGAGGTTGGGCGCGTCCGCGCGCGCGTCGCTGACCGCGCATGCCTGAACGCAGCGGCCGCGCACGCCTGCGGATTCTCTCGTCCCGCAGCGTGCGCCAGCCGCGCTGCTCGCGACGCCAGCGGGCGCGGGCACGCGTAGCCCGGGACCAGCACAGTGCGCGGCGTCCCGTGACCGCAGGAGCCGGCCGAGCTCTTCGTGTGGGGCGACGGCGACTGCGGCCAGCTCGGCCTCGGCGAGGCGACGACGGAGAGGCTGCGGCCGTGGCCGCTGGACGTCGGCGGCGGGCAGAAGGTCCTGCAGGTGCGCGCGTGCCGCGTCCCCGCCGCGCCGCGCCGGCGCGATCGGGCGCGCGCTGACCGCGGCGCTGTCCGTGCGCGCGCAGGTGGCGTGCGGGGGCATGCACACGGCGGTCCTGACGGAGAGGCACGAGGTGTGGACGTGGGGCGTGAACGACGAGGGCGCGCTCGGGCGGCACACCGCGGGGAAGCTGTGGGAGGCGTCGGGGCTGGGGTCGGGCAAGCCGGGGGACTCGTACACGCCGGGCGTCGTGGCGTTCCCCGCGGGCAGCGCCAGGATCGTGCAGGTGTCGGCGGGGGACTCGCACACGTGCTGCCTGGCCGAGGACGGGACGGTCTTCGCGTGGGGGACCTTCCGGGACGCGAGCGGCGTGCTGGGGTTCTCCCCCGCGGCCCGGTTCCAGCTCGTGCCGCGCGTGGTGGTCGCGCCGCGCAGCGACCGCGTGTGCAAGGTCGCCTCGGGCGCCGACCACGTGGTGGCGCTGTGCGAGTCCGGGAAGCTGCTCACGTTCGGCAACGGCCAGCAGGGGCAGCTCGGGAGGCTCGGGACGCGGGTCAGCGAGCGCCACCGCCTCCAGGAGATGCTCACCCCCGCGGAGACCAGGGTGGTCAAGGTGCGCGCATGGACGCCGCGCGCGCCACGACGGAGCGTGGGCGCGGTGAGCGTGCCGGTCCCGGTCTGCGCCGCTGCTCTGCCTCGCTCACCGGCGACGCGCCCGCCCCCTGGGACGCAGCGCAAGGCGGCGGGAGTCAAGGTCACGGACGTGGCGTGCGGGACGTACCACACGTTCGCGCAGATGTCCGACGGACGCATCTTCGCCGCGGGCCTCAACAACTACGGGCAGCTGGGGCTTGAGGACGAAGACGCGTACTTCAGCTTCACGGAGGTGCGTTGGTCGGCACCGGTGTGGGGCGGCGTTGCGAGGGCGCCCTCGACGGCGCAGGACGCGCGCTGACGCGTGGTGCGGGCTGCGTTCGCGCGTGCAGGTCGAGCAGCTGAAGGAGAAGGGCGTGGCGACGGTGCGGGGTGGGCAGCACCACTCGCTGGCGCTGACGAACAAGGGCACGCTGCTGGCGTTCGGGCGCGCGGCGTACGGGCGCCTGGGCAGGGCGCAGGCGGACACGGGCGAGGACGGCAAGGTCGCGGACGCGCTGCCCGTGGAGGGTCTCGGGGGCGTCAAGGTCACGGGCATGGCGGGGGGGTTGGCGGTGTCGGGGTGCTTCGGGGACGGCGAGAAGACCGGGCAGGTGCGCTCCGCGACCGCGCGCGCTCCGGCCACGTGCTGTCTGCGCCCCCGCGCGGCCTCTTCTCACCGCGCGCCCCGCGTCGCACGCAGATCTGGCTGTGGGGCATGGGCACCAACAACCAGCTGGCCAACGGCGACGAGGACGACGACGTGAGCGTGCCGGAGCGCGTCAAGGAGACGAAGAAGTACAACGCGCTGCGCTGCGTCCAGCTCGAGTTCGGCGGGCAGCACGCGGCCTGCCTCGCGGTGGAGCGACCGGGCGAGACTCGAGTCGTCTGACCCGCCTCCCGCCGATTGTGATGCACTGCGGACCCCGGTGCCCACGGCACGCACCGCCGCGCGCCTCCGGGTGCTCGCGGCGACGGCGGAGTGCAGCAGTGACGCCGACGAAGTAGTTTCATGTTGACGTTCGTCGCCGCGCGTTGCCCGGCCCCCGAGCCCCTGCGAGGCCCCGTCGGCCGTGCGGCGGTGAGTGCGCAGCTCCGCGCCGCGCCCGAAGCGTCGCTTCCGCGCGTGCGTTCAAATCATCGGACATGCGGCGCCGAAGCACTCCACACGTCCGAACGCCCCTCCGCGTGGCTTCCCTCGCGCCCGTGCGTGCGCAGCTGGGTGGCTCGTGAGGCAAGTGTGTGGCGGAGGGACGCAACCGGGTTTTGGAAGCACCCGTGCCAGAGCTTTTACCGGCCCCGGCTCCGGCTGAAACTCCACGTCCGTCGCCTTGGGGTGATTGGCACTTCGCCTGCGCGGCCCGCGCACTCGCGTGAGGAAGCCGCGTTTGCCCCGCTCCCTGTAGCTCGAGGGCTTCGTCTGGCTCGCGGAGAGGCGCACACGCGCGGGCAAGGTGCGAGCCGGCCCGCGACGGAGCGCGAGGGTCTCGGATTCGAGCTTCGCGGCGCCCCGCGCGCGCATCGAAATTTGGACATTCGCAACCGGTCGGTCGCGGGGCCTGAGCGCGATTCGCCACGCCTGTCCTCGTTTGCAGGGTGCTACCACAGTGATTTGCACGGCTGTGGACAGGCGGTGGTGACTCGAGAGCCAATCGCCCAGCATGTCGGCTAACCGGCCCATCAAGATCCTGGGCAAGCTCAATGTGACGGTCATGGAGGTGAATGCCTGGAAGGACGGGCGATACAAGTGGGGAGCAACGGAAGACGAGCAACCGGACGACAAGGTGCCGACGTCGTGTTTCGTCAAGGTGAGCGCACCCCCCTGCACCTCAGCCGACACCCGACGGCGGCACAGCCCGGCAGGCGGCCGGAGCGCCCCCGTGGCGCCGCAGACGCACCGTGCGGGTGCAGCGCGCCGCTGGTGCCGCGCCCCCGACGCCGGGACCGCCCTGCCGGCACCTTTGGGCCGCGCCTTGTGGCTCAGATATAGCGGGCGCCACTCGCGCGCGGAGCTTCGCGGCCTTCCGAGCCCTCCCGCCCCGCTCGAGATTTGCGAGTCACACCAGCAGGGCTGGCTCGGGCGCCGCACCCCCTGGCCCGCCGATCCCTGCGCCCGCCCGGCATGGGCGTACCCCAGGCGCCTCCGTCGCGTGGACACGGGCAGTGTTCTCGACAGCTGAGGGCCATCCGGTTTGCCCTCTCACCGCTCCATCTCGCGCCCAGGGGCGCCAGGATGCGGCACCGTTGCTCGATTGGCGCCGCGCGCGGGGACCCTGGTCCCTCGCACCGCCGGATCGTCCGGGCGGCGCGGTCGCAGCTGCTCCGTGCCCGCGGCGGCGGGGGTGCTGCCCTACTGCGCCCACCCCGTGCCGCCCGGTCTCCTCCTGCTGGCGCGGAACCGCCGGCGGGGCCGCGGGACCTTGACGAGCACCACGCACCCGCGCTCGCGGGCTCGGCGCGCCCCGGGGTCCGGGGCGCCCCGGCGCCGGCGGCCCACCTGTCGCCGTGGCTCTGTGGGATGCAGCTCGAGCTGAAGAGCAAGAGCAAGGACCCGGCGGGCGACACGAAGTCGCGCACGCGCATCGTGGAGACCTCCAACGGGAAGGCGTTCCTCCGGGAGACGCTGCCGATGGAGGTGCGCGAGGGGGCGGAGGAGCTGCGCGTCATCGTGTGCCGGTCGGTCAAGGCGCCCGACGGCACCCAGAAGCACTCCGTCATCGCCGCCTGCGGCCTCTACATCAAGGACGTCATCGCAGGTGCGCCGCGCCCCCGCCGCGAGCAACGCACGCACCCGGGGTCAGAGCAACACAATGCAGCGCACAACCCCCCCCCCACGGCCCCCCCACGGCCCCGCCGCGCCCGCACACGGCGGTCTCCACGCGCCGCCCCGCCCCGCCCCGCCCCGCCCCCGCAGTGGCCCCGATCGACAAGTACTTCGACCTGTACAAGCCCCACAAGGGCGGGCCCGGCGGGATGATCCGCGTGAAGATGGACTTCCGCGCGGCGACGAACGCCAGCGACGCGGTCGGCGACACCGGCCCGACCATGACGCCCGCCGAGGGCGTCTCCACAGGTGCGCCGCGCGACGGGCGCGGCCGTGCACGCATGCCTCGCCGCTGCCTCGCCGCGTGCGTCCGCTCACGCGCCCGCGCGCCCGTGCATCGCAGGGGGAAAGAAGAAGGGCGGCCCGGTGAAGATGTTGATGAAGCTGGTGCTGCTGGGCGGCGTCGCGGCGGGCGCGGCCCTCGGGGTGCAGAAGCTGCGCAAGTAGGGGCGGCGCGCGGGCAGACTCCCCGACCTCCAGCCCCCAGCCCCCGGAGCGGCGCGCGGACGCGGCCGCACCGATAGGTCCGAGCGTGCGGGCCGGCCGCCGCTGGTGCGCCCCCTCGATTTGAACAACGGCGGTGCAAGCAAACAGCGCCGCTGAATGTGAGCCGCGGCGTGGCGTGGGGCGCGGGGGCCGCGGAGCGAGCCTGCGGACGTGCGGGGGCGGGGCGCGGTGCTGGGCGGCGCTTCGAGGCGGGCGGGGGGGTGTCTGGGCGACGGTGTGGGGTGCAAGGCTGTCAGCATCGGACGTCGCTCGCGGGGGGGCGCGAGGGGCTCGGTCGCATCATGAGGGGGAGGGGCCGACGGCGGTGGGCACGTCCCGCTTCGTAGGGGAAGCACCTGCGCCGCGTGTGGCCGCGAGATCGAAGCGAGGCAGCGTTGCTGGAATCTGCCGCACGGACGCGCACGCCGGTCGCAGGGGCGCAGTCGATACGGATAGTTCGATTCTTCAGTTTGACTTGCGTCGATTGAAACCCGCTCTCGGGACCCGCAGTTCGCCGTTGCCCGCCCAGTTGAGGGCAGAAGGCACCCTCGGGCCACATGCCCTCGCATCTGGCCAACACAGTCCCCTGCGGGGCGGGGCTGCGGAGGAAATCTTTGATCGAACGCCAGGCCGTCCGGGTCCGGCGATCGCACCGCGCGCAGGAGTGCGGGAGGGCGATTCGCGCCCACGCCAGCGAGGAGGACGCGGATGAGACCGCTGGCCTGCCGCCGGACGCGGACTGGAGGGAGTTCCGGGCTCGACTGGTCGTCACGACGATGCGCGAGCAAGAGGAGACCGAGGCGCAGGGCGCAGCTGCGTGGGTGCCCCGGCTGGCCAAGGTGGGTGGCCCCCGCGACCCTAGTTCGCCTCTCCCCGTGACTCCCGATGATCCCGGTGCCCCCGCCCCGGCACGGCCCCCTCGCGCTGCACCAGTGTATCGATGCGCCACGCCCCGCGCATCACTGCACGCCCCAGCAGGGGGGCGCGCTGTGGCCCGGCGCAAACTCGCCTCAGCGCGCCTGCGCGACACGCGGATCCCGTCGCGCAGGACAACCAGAAGCTCCTGGCAGAGCAGAACCCGGAGCTGGCACGCGAGCCGGTGTGGGTCCATCCCACGGGAGCGCCCGAGGTGGGCGGTCTGTTGGTGGCCACGCCCGGGGCATCCGCCAGGCTCGGCGAGTTCAGCTGGCAGACCGTCGTCCTCCTGATCAGGTGAGGCCCGGCCGGCCCTGCGGCGACGCGAGCGCACGCAGTCCTCGCCCGCGACCCCGTCGCTCCTGGTGCAACGGCAGTGGTGGTGTATGCACCTGCGCAAGATGCGGGTCGCGGTCGGGCCGCGCGGGACTCGAGCTGCTCGCTGGGTCGCTCGTGCCGTGACCCTGGCTGCCTGCTGCCGTGCGCCTCGCAGGCACGACGAGATGGGTTCGATTGGGCTGGTGTTGAACAGGCCCATGGGGCTGAACATTGGCGAGAGCAGGAACGACCCCGGGGGACTCCCTCTCGACGTCGACGGACTGACGCCCTCGCAGAGGTGCGTCGGGCCCGTGCGCCCGCGCCCGTGTGCGGTGCAAGGCGACCACGGTCGCACGAGTGTTGTTGATCAACTGCCGCTGTCGCTCTCGCCGCGCACGCCCGTCGACCCCTGCGCGCGCCCGTCCACCTCGAGCAGGAGGGCGTTCGCGGACAACCGGGTGTACTGCGGGGGGCTGCGCGGGCAGCAGGCGATGCACTTCTTGCACGGGCATGGCGACCTGGAGGGGAGCCTGGAGATCGTCCCCGGGGTGTACATCGGGGGCCTCAGCGCCGCTGCACAGGTGCGCAGAGGCGATGCGTGCGCGCTGCGTCGGGCGCGTCGCCTGGCCTGTGTGGAACGGTGTCTGACGTGATGCATTGTGGGCGCGTGCAGGACGTGGTGGACGGCAAGAAGCGGGCGTCCGACTTCCGGTTCATCTGCGGCATGATGAGCTGGGACGTGGGGCAGCTGAATGCGGAGGTCGAGGCCGGGTGCTGGATCACCGCGGCGTGCAGCCGGCCGCTGATCATCAAGCAGTGCCTGACGCTGCCCACGCCGCTCTGGCGCGAGGTGCTCGGCCTTATGGGCGGGGAGTACGCGCAGATTGCCGAGGGCGAGTTGTGAGGAGCGTTCGTGAGCTGGCGCGGGATCGTCTCACGGTGGTGTGCGCGAGACAGACAGACGCGTTGCCTGCGACCCTCATATTCACTGCGTAGCTCACAGGCAGGTGCGTGCGTTTACATCATAACGAGCCCCTTCTTGCCCAGCATCGACATGGCCGTCGACGCGATGTGCCCCGGCGTGAGACCCGCCCACTCCAGCTGGTCGGAGTGCGCCCCGTGGTCAATCCACCGGTCCGGCAGGCACATCGGACGCACCTGCGGCAAGCGAACCAGGCAGGGGCGACGGTGAGCAACGCGGGCGCGGGGCGAACGCGGGGGAGGTGCCGGCGGGCGTGAGCGGCGGCGAGGCACGACCACGGCGGTGCGACTGCGCACCTTCAGGCCGCCGTCCAAGAGGCCGTCGAGCGCCATGAACTGCAGGACGTGGGACCCGAAGCCGCCGATGGAGCCCTCCTCGACGATGATGACGGCGGAGTGCTCCTTGGCCAGCTGCCGCACCAGCCCCGTGTCCAGCGGCTTGCAGAAGCGCGCGTCCGCCACCGTCGCCTGCACGTTGTTCTTCGCCAGGATCTCCGACGCCTTCAGGCACTCGTTCACCGAGCTCCCGTACCCCAGCAGCGCCACGTCCTTGCCGCCGCGCAGCACCCTGCCCTTCCCAATCTGCAACACAGGACAGACGCGCGACGGTGAGGCGAGGAACCGGCACGCGCGGGGAGGAGGGGGGCTGGCGCGCACGCGAGGTCGGCCGTCTGCCGCGGCGCGGCGCGCACCTCGAGCGGCTTGCCCTTCATGTCGGGCCCCACGCCCTCGGCCTCGAGGTCCACGCCGATGCCGTTCCCGCGCGGGAAGCGGTAGCAGCTGGGGGCGTCGTCGATCGCGATGGACGTGGCGACCATGTGGAGCAGCTCGGCCTCGTTCGACGGCGCCATGACGATCATGTGCGGCAGGCAGGCCATGTAGGTGATGTCAAAGGCGCCGCAGTGCGTGGCGCCGTCCGCGCCGACGAGGCCCGCGCGGTCCATGGCGAACCGGACGGGGAGCTTCTGCAGCGCGACGTCGTGCACGACCTGGTCGAACCCGCGCTGGAGGAAGGTCGAGTAGATGGCGCACGTGGGCACCATGCCCTCGGTGGCCAGGCCCGCGGCGAACGTCACCGCGTGCTGCTCCGCGATGCCGACGTCGAACGTGCGGTCCGGGAAGACCTTCTCCCAGATGTTCATGCCCGTCCCGCCGCCCATCGCCGCGTGGATGCCCACCACGCGCGAGTCCCGCCGCCCCTCCGCGATGAGGCCCTCGGCAAAGTACTGCGTGTACGACTTGGTCTTCGTCTTCGGCTTGTACTGCTGCCCCGTGACCAGGTCGTACTTGACCACGCCGTGCATCTTGTCCGACGCGCTCTCCGCGGGGATGTACCCGCGGCCCTTCTCCGTCACGATGTGGATCAGCACGGGACCCACCGCCTCCGTTGACTTGACCTGCGAACGGGCGCGCGGGGAGCCGCGGCGGGCTGGGGCGACTGGGCGCGGTGCGTCGGGGCGCGCGTGCGTGTGCGTCGGGGCGCGCGTGCGTGTGCGTGTGTGGGTGTGTGCACCTCTTGCAGGACGGCGATGAGGTCCTCGAGGCTGTGGCCGTCGATGGGCCCGATGTAGTACAGCCCGAGCTCCTCGAAGAGCGTCCCGGCCTGCCCCTGGATCATCCCGCGCGCGTACTCGTCGATCTTGGCGGTGGCGTTCTGGAGCGGGGTGGGGAGCTGCTTCGACATGCCCTTGGCCACCTCGCGGAGCTCGCGGAGCTGCTTGTTGGACTGCAGCCGCGAGAGCGTCCCCGAGAGCGCCCCCACGGGCCGCTGGTTGCCGCCGTTGTACTGCGTAGGCAGCGACACCTGCTGGTTGTCGTTCAGGATGACGATCATGTTCTTGTCCATGAAGCCCGCGTGGTTCATGGCCTCGTACGCCATCCCGCCCGTGATCGCGCCGTCCCCGATCACCGCGATCACGCTGTTCTTCTTCCCCTTGAAGTCGCGCCCCGCCGCCATGCCCACCGCCGCGCTGATCGACGTCGACGAGTGCCCCGCGCCGAACGGGTCGTGCTCCGACTCCGAGCGCTTCGTGAAGCCCGACAGCCCGCCCGACTGCCGGATCGTCGACATCCCCGACCGCCGCCCCGTGAGCATCTTGTGCACGTACGCCTGGTGGCCCACGTCGAAGATGATGCGGTCCTCGGGCGAGTTGAACACGTGGTGCAGCGCCACCGTCAGCTCCGCCACGCCCAGCGACGACCCGAGGTGCCCGCCCGTCTTCGACACCTGCGAGCCGCGCCCACATCACGCCCCCATCAGCACACATGCACATGCACGCACACATGCACATGCGCCACGCACGCGCTCGCGTCCGCCCCCCGGGCGCCCCCCCGCTCGCTCACCGTGTGGATCAGGTCGGCGCGGATCTCCTTGGTCAGCTGCCGCAGCTGGTCGATCGAGAGGTTCTTCAGGTGGATCGGGTAGTTCACCGTGTCCAGCAGCGGCGTCGGCGGACCCATCTCCTCGTCCCAGCTCGCCAGCTCCTCCACGGAGATGCGGTCCCACGTCATCTCGACGTCGTCCTCCGCGCGCGCCACCACGCGCCGGGCGCGCGGCGCAGCGCGCCGTGCGGCGCGCCGCGGCTGCGAGACAGGCGGCACGGGGGCACGTGGGCGGTGCGGGTGAAGTGGGGTCTCGCTGCGACGAGGGACGCGGCGTGAGGGGCGCCGGGGCCCGCCTGGCGCGCGGTCCTGCCCGCGCGCCACAAGCGGGGCCGGGCCCCGGCGCGCGGCTCGCACGGCGGAGCCCGGGGCCGCGGGGCTCGCGCGGAAGAGTGGCGCACAGGCGGTGGGGGGAATGGGGGGTCCGGCACGGAACGGCCCGGCCCGTGGCGGGGCGAGGGGGCAAAAAGGACGGGGCGAGAAACGTCTCATGTGGTCCCAGGCGATGGGGCCGCGTGGCGGGCCGGAACGGGGTTTGAGCGGCATCCCGGCGTCGAGCGCATCACGGGGAGGCCGTGGCCGAACGCGCGCGCGCGTGCGGAGCGCCGTCGCGACGGGGGGCCCCGCAAGAGGACCGGCTACCTCAGGGTAGGCCTAGGCGGCCGGGTCACGGCCGCGCACACGGGCTCCGCGGTGCGCCAACCGCGCCAGGTGGCGGTGAGCCATGCGGGCGGGCGATCGGGGGGGGCCTGCAGCGCTCACCTTGCAGCCGCGGGGACGCCTGCCTACATCCAGCGACGCACGCAGGAGCGGCGGCCACCTGCGGGGCAATCGAGCGTTGTACGTATCGAGCAATTAGTTGCAGTCGACTTGCGAGGAAGAGCGTGGCCGAACCGGCGGAGGAGCCCTCTCGGCGAGTTCAGACGCGTCGTTCCAGCTTGCGCTCCCAGAGAGCTGCCCGCGAGCCAGGCCGCGCCGCCCGGGCTGGGTCGTGTGTCGCCCGACGACGCGACGGCGCAAAGCGTGTGCTCGGCGCCAGGGGCATCGGCGTGCGCCAAACATCGCGCATCGGGCGCGGCCAGCGGTCAGCTGCTGCGCGTCCAGCGAGCCCGCTCATCGCGTCGCGAGCTCTGCACGTCGAGGGACGCGGCGAACAGCACGGAAACTACGCGATTCGCGCCGCTGTCGTATTCGGCGTCGCGGCGGCGCACGCAGGCGTGCAGCGACTACCTGCATGTTTTGGCAATCTCGAGCTTCCTGCCCCCCGTGCCGAGAATCTCACCAGAGGACTGCCAACGAGCAACCGGTCTGGCGTGCCGTGGCTCCCCGCGAGGGCAAAGGCGCCCCGCTCAGCCCCGCTGCCCGCGGGGAGCCCCCGTGCGCGGGCGGCCGTCCGTCACGGCCCCGATGACAGACGACGGCGCGGGGGCACGCACAGCGCCCGCGGCCCCGCGCCAGCGACCGCGCGGCATGGTCTCGTCATGCGGCACTCATCGCGCCACGCGGCGCATTCGCAACCGCGGCATCGCGTCTCGGAACTGCGGTCACAGACTTGCGCACCACGCGCCGGCCCGGCGCCGCCTCTGGGTCACGGCACGTCGCGGGCACCGCCGCCGCCTCACTGCCCGGTGCTTTGCATCGCGTCCACGGTGAGCTGCAGCAGCCGGTTGAGCGCCTTGACCTGCAACACACGCACGCGACTCCGCGTCAGCGCAGGAGGGGGCTTGGAGGGTGGGCGCGCATGGCGGGGGGCTCCGCGCGTGCGGGATGCGGGGTTCGCTTGCCTGTTTGGGGAGGCGTTCGTGGCTGGTGGCGCCGGGCACCTCTTGGAGGGAGGTGGCGATGTCGTCCATGAGGGGCCGCATGCGCTGGTCGAGGATGGTCTTGAGCGCCTCGCGCTCCTTCGTGTACGAGTCGACCTGCCCCTGGACCTGTCCGAGCTGCCGGCTGGCGACCTTGGCCTCCATGCGGCTCTCCTCGAGCTGCTCGGCCAGCACGCGCACCTTCTCGTCGACGCGCACCTCCGCGAGCGCCGCGCCGTTCCCCGCGGTGCCCTCGGACGCGATGCCCTCGTCGTCGCCCTCCTCGCCCACCATGAGCGCCCCGCCCTTGCCCCCCTTGGCCCCCTTGGGCTGCACCTTGTACGACCCCTCGACCGCCTCCATCAGCTGCGTGTTCTGCGTGTCCGAGCCCGCCGCGTTGCTCGTCGCCGCCTCCGCGACCACCTTCCGCAGCGTGAACAGCTGGTTCCGGTACGTGTCGAGCCGGTCCTCGAGCTTGCGCTGGTACCGGTCGTAGGCCTCGAGCTCCTCCTGGAGCGTGAGGATCTGCTCGTCGCGCTCGTTCAGCCGCGCGGTGAGCGCGATCATGATGTCGCGCTGCTTGAGCAGCAGCTGCTTGTACCGCTCCACCTGCGCCGAGTCCTCGAGCTGCTCCTGCGACTCCTTCTCCTTGAGGCTCTTCTCCAGCTCCTTGAGCCGCTCCTCGTACTCGCGCGTGATCTTCATCTTCTCGCGCTCGATCAGCTGCTTGAACGCCGGGTTCGTCTCCCCGGGCTTCGCGCCGCCCAGCAGCAGCTGGCTCTGCATGCTCCGGATCTTCTCCTCCAGCATGGCCTTGGCCGTCTTCTCCTCCATGAAGCGCTTCGCCTGCTCCTCCAGCTCCCGCATCGCCGCCAGCTTGTCCTGCTCCGCCAGCTTCTTCGCCTCCTCCAGCTCCAGCAGCTGCCGCTTGTCCACCAGCTCCTTGGTGCGCTGCTCCAGCTCCCCGCGCAGCCGCTTGAGCTCCCGCTCGTACTTCCGCAGCAGCGCGCGCTGGTCCAGGTCCTCGTTGATGCGCGCTGCGAACGTCGGGGGACGGGAGCGGACGCGGCCGGGCGGGGTCGGCGCGCGGGCGGGCGGCGGGGCGCGTGCGGACGGGCACGTGCGCGCGTGCGGGTGGGCGTGACGTGTCGCCGCGCACCCGTGTTCTTGATGTTCTTCGCGCGGTTGGCGAACTTGAGCGTCGAGAGCGACTCGCTGAACGCCTCGAGCGCGGGCGTGACCGTCGCGAACATGGTCGTCTTGCAGTTGCCGCCCAGCGAGTCCTCCAGGATGCGCGTGAGCTTCGAGTCGCGGTACGGGATGTGCGTGCGCGGCTTCGAGTCCGTCAGCGCCGCGATCACGTTCCCCAGCGACGACAGCGACTTGTTGATGTTCTTCGACTCCTCCAACCGCTTCCCCGACGCACCTGCAACGCACCGACACGCACGCGCGCGTCGACGCAGCGCTCCCAGCGCGCACCCGCGTCCTGGCGATGCGGCGCGCCGCGTGCCCACGCGGCCCCCGGCCCGCGCACCTGTGAGTCCGACGCGCTCGCTCCCCGCGAGGTCCACCAGGTTGAGCTTGCCCACCTTGAACGACTGGTGCACCTCCTTCGGGGCGCCCGTGCGGACGCGCTTCTCCGCGAACTTCAGCACGTGGCCCTCCTGCACGCGCGGCGGGGACGGGCGCCCTCTGCGGCTCAGCGGCTCCGGCCGGGGCCACCAGCGGTGGGCGGGGCGCGGGGGGCGAGGGCGCGGGGCGCGGGGCCGTCGGGGCGCACCTCGTTCGTGGCGGTGCCGGCCTCGTCCTCGTCGACGATGGAGCTCTTCTCGACGATGATGACGAGCACGGCGTGCGACCGCGACGACAGCTCGTTGAGCTTGGTGGCGCCCGTGGCACGCATCGTCGACCCGCGCTCCATCAAGCCGTACACCTCGTCCGGCGTCCGCACCACCCACTCGGACAGCTTGTCGACGTACACGCCCCTGCGACGCGCGGGCGGGCGGGCGGCACCGGGCGTCCAGGTGCGTCACCTTGTTCGAGGGCGCTGCAGGTAGCGGGGCGGGGGCGACCGCGCGCGGCGTGGTGCGGGGCGGCGGCGGGCGGGCCCACCTCTTGCGGTCCTCGCGGATGGTCAGGTTGGTGCGTTCCGGCTTCAGGAGGTCGGAGATGACTTCGTTGTAGATCTGGAGGTACGACGCACGCACCAGGTACTTGTTCCGACCTGCACCGCGCGCCGGAGGGGGGCGTGGTGGGCGGGGCCGTGCAGCGGCGGTGGCGGGCGCGCGGCGGCGGCGCGTCGGGCGGCGCGGTCCCTGGCGTGAGCGCAGCGCGGGGCGCGGCCGCGGCCGCACCTGCTTCGGTCGCGATGTCGTTCTGGATGCAGGTGAAGATTTCTTCGATGGAGCGCGGGATGATGCCTCGGCTGGGCCCCTTGTCCCAGGAGCCCTCCATGGTGTAGGTCTTCCCAGTGCCCGTCTGGCCGTAGGCGATCACGGCCGCGTTGTAGCCCTGGAGCGTCGAGTGGACGGCCGGCCGCGCAGCCATCTCGTACACGACCTGCTGCGTCGTGTCCTGGTCGAACACGCGGTCGAACGTGAACCTGCGCGCCAGGCAAGGCCACCTCCCCAGTGAGCAATGCGCCGCGCACGGGGGGGCGCAGAGCGCGCCCATCCGAGGGCGCGGCCCGCTGCTCCGACGACAGGACATCGCCCCGGCCGCGGCGCGGCGGGCGAGGGCCGCGGGTGGTGGGGGCGAGCGGCGCCAGGGTGGCAAGGAGGGCAGAGGGACCGGCTCCTGCGTGGCGCTGCGGGAGGCGGCGGCGCGGGGAGACCTGCCCAGCGCGAGGTTCCTCGAGGCCAGAGGCCGGGCTGCGACCCGCGGGACCTCGCTGCCCGCTCCGGGCGCCCCCGGAGCGCTGGAGCTGCGGTGCGCGGGCGTTCCCGGGGGTTTCGGCGCGCACCTGTAGGTCGCGAACATGCCCGGGTCGAGGCCCGAGGAGGGATCGAGCAGGGCTTGCAGGTTTTCAGATATCGTGACCATCTTCTGGGAGTCTTCGACCAGAACGCATTGTTGGAACTCCCTGTAGTTGTTCAACTCGCGCTCCAGTGGTGGCCGGACGCGAATGACCACCTTGAAGTTCGCCCCGGACTCCCCGTCGCGGAGGGGGTCGACGAGGTCTATTTGGCCGGCCGCGGCCATCGTGGCGCGCACCGCTCGGCTCGCTCAGAAGGCCCTACTGCTAGACGGGTTCGCGGACGGCACGGGGGGTCTACGCGCCGCTGTCGCTCGCACGAAGCGGCGAGTATTTAAAACACTGAGCGGCGCCCCGCGCGCCGCGGGCGCTCGAGGTGGCTGCGCGGCGCGCTCTGTCGGGCCAGAGCTGAGCGCCCAGGGGCTCTGCCGGGCGGGCCGCGAATCCCCACAAGTCCGCTGCAGCTGCCGGCCGCCGCGCACTGCTGCGCGCACCGGACGCGCCCTCCCGCACGTCCGGCCATCCCAGCCCGTCGAAGGCCGGCGACGCGACGCGGCGCGCGGTGGTGGTTTCTCCCTGCAGGATGGGCCCGTGACCGGCCGCGTGAGGGCGAGAGATCGGCGCGAACCATCGCGCGAGCCTCCCGTTCGCCCCGCGCGTCACCATGGCGGGCGCCGGCGCGCTCGAGGCGGTGCCGGAGATCCGGAAGCTGGACGAGGAGGTCGTTAGCAGGATCACGGCCGGTGAGGTCGTGCAGCGGCCGGTGTCGGCGCTGAAGGAGCTGATGGAGAACAGCCTGGACGCGGGCGCCACGAGCATCACCGTGACGGTCAAGGAGGGCGGCGTCAAGCTGCTGCAGATCCAGGTGCCCGCTCCCGCTCCCGCCGCGCCAGGGCGGGGCGCGCGCGCCTGCACGCCCGCGGCGCCGGCCTGGCTCTCGCCCCGCGCAGGACCGACCTCACTTGCTCGCCGTCGCGCCCCTCCGTCGCCACGCCCGCGGAGGCCCCCGGCGCGCTGTCGGCGGTCGCAGGGCGCTGCGGGGCCGCGTGCACGCGCACACACGCGCCGCCGCGCGGAACGGCGGGGCACGTCCGCGACGGCGACGCGCGTCGTTGTTCGCGCCGTGCGCAGGACAACGGGCACGGCATCCGCGAGGCGGACCTGCCCATTCTGTGCGAGCGGCACACCACGAGCAAGCTGCGCACGTTCGAGGACCTTCAGAGCATCTCGACGCTCGGGTTCAGGGGCGAGGCGCTCTCCAGCATCAGCTTCGTCAGCCACCTGTCGATCACGACGTGCACCAAGGGCGCCGCGCACGGCCTGCGCACGTGCTACCGGTGCGCGTCACAGCCCACCTCGCCGCCCGCGAGGCGCCGGCCAGCCGCGCGCGCTGCGCGACTGCCTGCCCGCGGGGTGCGGCGACGCGCGCACCTCGCCCCTCCCCCCTCCCGCCGCGCCGTGCAGGGACGGCGCCATCAGCGAGGGGCCCAGCGTGTGCGCGGCCATGCAGGGCACCACCGTGTGCGCGGAGGACCTGTTCTACAACGTGCCCACGCGCCTCCGCGCCCTGGGCTCCGCCGCGGACGAGTACGCCCGCATCCTGGACATCACCAGCCGCTACGCCGTGTTCAAGCCGTCCGTGTCCTTCACGTGCAAACGGTGCGCCCTCCCCGCGACCGTGCCGACCGACGGCGGCGCGCTCACCCTGGGGTGCTCGCCCTGCGTCGGAGCGCCTCCACTGGCGCGCTGATGTCGGGGTGGTGCGGTGCGCGCGCGTGCGAGTGCAGGCAGGGCAGCGCGCGGTCCGACATCCACACCCTCCCCGGGTCGACGCGCGAGGCGAACATCCGACTGATCTACGGCGGCGCGGTCGCCAAGGACCTCATCGCGTTCGACGCGAGCAGCTCCCCGGACGGCCCCAGCGCAGGTAGGTCGCACCCGCCCTGCGCGCTGGCCTTCCCTGCCCCCGCGCGCCACGTGGGAGACGACAGGCGCGCCCGCGCGGGCTGCCCGCAGGTCCCCTCGACGACGCGGGCGCGTCGTTCGCGGCGGAGGGTCTGATGTCGGGCGTGAACTACACGCGCAAGAAGACGGTGCTGATCCTGTTCATCAACGGACGCCCCGTGGAGTGCTCGCCGCTGAAGCGCGCCATCGAGGGCATGTACCAGACCATCCTCCCGAAGGGCTCCCGGCCGTTCGTGTTCCTGTCGCTCGAGGTGCCCCCGCAGCACGTGGACGTCAACGTGCACCCCACGAAACGCGAAGGTGCGCGCGGCGACATTCGACGGCGAGGCTCCTCCCGCGTGGCGCGACGACGACATTCGCGTGCTCGACCACCTCGCGCGCGGCGACGACGACGACGGCGCCCGTGCTACCGCAGTGGCCCTCCTGGGGCAGGACGCGCTGGTGGAGGAGATCGTTGCGGTGATGGAGGCCAAGCTGCTGGCGGCGAACACGTCCAGGGCGATCGACTCGTCCGCGCAGGTGCCGCTCAAGCAGAGCGCCGCCACGCAGCCGGACAAGCGCGGGCGGGCGGAGGGGGCGGACAAGGCAAAGGCGCCTGCGCCCGGGCCCAAGTACGAGCCGCACAAACTGGTGCGCACGGACGCCCGGGCGCAGACGCTGGAGGCCTTCATCCAGACGCCCTCCAGCGCCGCCGTCGAAGCGGCGGCCGGAGCCAGCCGCGTCAAGCGCCGCCGCGGCGCGGCAGGTGCGCTGCCGAACACGCTGCCTCGCGTTCCCGCCGCTGCACGCCTCTTCGAGGCCGTGCTGCGCGCCGACTGTGTGTGCGGCCGAGCCATCGCTCACCCGGCGATCGTGCGGCGCCGCGTGCCCCGCCTCCAGGGGCCGTCATCGCGGACGAGCGCGCCGCTGGGGACGTGGCGCGCGAGGAGGCGGGCGGGGCGCAGGAGCAGCGGCAGGTGCTGGGCGAGATTCGGTCGGCCGTGCGGCAGCGCAGGACCGCGGGCGGCGCCACGAACCTGGCGAGCGTGCAGGACCTGCTGCAGGAGGCGGAGGCGCGCAAGCACGCGGGGCTGGCGGAGATCGTGCGCGAGAACACGTTCGTCGGGCTCGTGGAGCCGTCGCTGGCGCTGCTGCAGCACAAGACGAAGCTCCTGCTCGTGGACATGGCGGCCTTGACCAAGGACATGTTCTACCAGCAGGTGCTGCGGCGGTGGGAGCACTTCGGGAGGATCCGGCTCAGGGAGCCCGCGAACATCGAAGAGGCGGTGCACATGGCACTCGAGTACGAAGAAGCGGCAGGTGCGCCCCGCACCGCCCCGTGCAAGGAGGGGCGTCGCAGCGTGCTCCGTCCCGGCCTTCGCGGGTGCGGGGCGCTGTCGCCGTCGTCCCGGCCGTGACCGCGGCTACCGCGATGCGCGCGCAGGCCGGTGGCACGAGGAGGGCGAGGCGACCAAGGCGACCATTTCCAGGTTGGCGCGCGACGTGTTGGTGGAGCGCCGCGAGATGCTCGAGGAGTACCTGGCCATGGACATCGACGCCGACGGCAATCTGCGGACCCTCCCGCTCCTGATCGAGCAGTACACGCCGGAGATGTCGCGCCTGCCTCTCCTGCTGCTCAAGTGCGCCCGCCGGCCTGCACCGCACCTCACGTGCCCGCCCCGACGTGCCGCGGACGGCCCGCGCACGCCGCCTCGCCTTGACTGGAGCCGCTGATCGCTCTGTGCGCGCAGGCTCGCGACGGAGGTGGACTGGTCAGAGGAGAAGGAGTGTTTCCGGTCGCTGGCGACGGTCCTGGCCGGGTTCTACGCGGTGCGGGAGCCCCTGGTCGCTCCGCAGGGCGCGCAGGACTGGCGCGACTCGGGCCGCGAGTGGGAGGTGCAGCACATCGTGCTCCCGGCCATGCGCCTCTTCCTCACGCCGGGGCGCGAGCGCTCCAAGGACAGCTCCGTCATCGAGGTCGCGGCCCTCGAGAGGCTCTACAGGGTGTTCGAGAGGTGCTGAGGCGCTAGAGCACAAGCCGTGCAGCGGGACGGCGAGGCTGCGGCCGGTTCGGACCTGCACATGGCCACCTGTCGGCGCTGGCAGGCCGCCACCTGTGGCGCTTTGGCCACGAGGCCGCTCGGCCCCGGCCCACAACGCGACCTCGCGTGCTCGGGCCGGGGTTCGTTCGTCTGCTGCGGCTCGTGAGCAGCGGATCGTCCCCCCCGCGCGGTCGAAGGGTTCCCCCGTGCAGCAAGTCATCCGCGCGATGTCCCAGAGCAGCCCGGCGCCCGTGCAGCGCTTGAAACTCGATGCGAGCTCGGCGTTCATCACCGAGATGGCTGCTAGGAACGAGCTCCAGGTGGGCTTCTCGCACGCCTGCTCCGTGTGAAGGTGGTCGTTCGCATCACGCGCCGTGCATTCAGCCGAGTGAATGCGACCGACCCCGCAGGTCGTGGTTGCCATGGCTCTCGACGAGATCGTGGAGGAGGAGCGCTGGAGGACGCTGCTCAAGGTCATGCAGGACCGGCACGACATTTTCAAGACAGTCATCACCAGAGTGCGTGCAGCGGACGCGCCATGCCTGCGCTGGCCACGCGCGGCGGCCTGACCACGCGAACGTCGTGCTCGATCCGGGAATCCGGCGGCCTCTGGAAGCTGCGCCGCGTGTGTGTGCGTGTCCTTGGTGCAGGACGCCAAGGGAGACCCGTCTCTCGAGCTCAGGGCGGAGGTGCCTTGGGTGCCGGCGGTGTCGAGCGTGGACTTCGACGACGAGTTCAGCGGAACGACCCGGCTGTCCACGGATCCTGCTTCGTGGGCGGGCGCGGTGACCGCCAGGGACGTGATCGCAGGGTGGCATGCCCAGGCCCTCGCCCTGGGCCACGAGCCGCTGGACGAGAACGGCCCGCTCATCCGTGTCACGCTCTGCCGGTACCCGAGGCTGAACAAGACGTTCGCGCTGTGGGTGATCCACCACGCGCTGTACGACTCGGACGTCATCGTGCGCATCTTCGACGAGCTGGCCCTCGACACGCTGCGGCTGTACGGCCCCGAGGAGGGCGTCATCTCCGAGGAGGAGGCGGAGCGCGTCCTGAACCCCGGGAGGACGTTCCTGCCGGACAGCGAGACGTTCGGGTCGCACAGGAAGCTGCGCGGGTGCATGGGCAGCACGTACACGGTCCTGCGCTCGATCACGATGATCGCTTCGGGCATGCTGCGGGCCAAGCAGATCCCGAAGACTCCGAAGCTGACCGCTCCTCCGGCCGGGGTGACGGGCGAGCGCAGTGCCGAGGCGGTCCACACGTTCCAGCTCTCCGCGGACCTCACCGCCCGCCTGCGCACGGTTGCCAAGGAGCAGGGCAACACCAACGTCTGGGGGCTCATGTGCGCGATTTCACAGGTCGGTTGCGGTGCGGTGTGTGGCGCGATGACGATCGTCAGCTGTGTGCCAGCGCGCAAAGCGCATGGCAGTCGATGCCCCCTGTCTCGGCGCAGGTCACGGCGTACGAGCAGGCCGTCCGGACCGGGCTGATTCCCAGCAAGCGATGCGGCTGCCTGGGCGAGCGCCGAAAGGACCGCGTGTTCGTTGCCGCGGAGATGTCGATGCGGGCGCTGTCCAGGGACCCCGTGCCCGTGACCAGCGAGCGGGGCATGGGCCTCTGGGCCACGCAGATGGTGTTTCATGCGCCTGCCGCCTTCGTGGACACCCGCGAGGAGCTCTTCGACCTGGCCCGGCGATGCCGCGCGTCGATGGTGGACGCTGTCGCGAAAAAGCGCATCCCGTGGCTCGGGGAACGGATCGCGGAGCTCGTCCTGGCCGGGCTCGGAACCCGCAAAGCAGTGGATGTGGTGCGCGCCTGCATGCTGGGAGCTGCAGCCCTGTAGTGGCAAGACAGCCACGTTGCTCCGCTGCGATGCACACCTCACGTCGCTGCGAGCACTCACAGTGCGAACAAAGCCGGCGAGGTGCGGCCGCGCGTGTTGTCGCGACCGAGTTGTCGCCGTCCCCCGTGTCCCGCAGATCTCCAAGGCCGCCCCGGTTCCTCTCATCGCGTTCAACAACGTCGGCGTGGTCAAGCCGGTGTTCAAGCCCCCCGACCAGGCGCGCGTCGTCGACGGGATCTACTGGTTCGGCGGCGGCTCGAGGTGGGCTTACCCGGACCACTCGCCGAGGGAACGGGGCTGTGCGTGGCCGTGAAGATCCCCCCGTTACCAGCAGGGGCTCAAAAACACACGGCAATCTGCTCTTCTTGCTGCGCTGCAGGCCCGATGTGGGCGCGTATCTCGAGTTCTACGTCATCACTCCGGCGACTTCGAGGGGCCCGGAGATGTGCATCACGATTCACAACAACGCCGGCCGGTTCCCGCGCGATGCTTTCGTCGCGGCTTGTGAGCGCTTCAAGGCGCTCCTCATGCTGGCCGTGGGGGGGGAGTATGCGCAGGTGCCTGTGTAGCAGCATGACGTCCGTCTGCGTCGCATGACGCGCGCTTCGCTGCCTCAAGAGAGGGGGAAGTTTGCCGGCTGCCGCAGCGGCATGTGAGTCGGAACGGTCTCGTAGACCCGCCGCTCGATCGGGGCAGCGATCCAGAGGTCCTCGTGCTGCAGCACTCCCTGCAGAGGTCCGGGCGCGGCAGGAGGCACAGGTGGGCCTGGACACGTCGCGATGGTTGCTGCAGGCATGCGTTCCAATGCCTCCCGGACCGGATGAGGTTCACCGCCGTGGCCTCCAGCGATTCACTCACCTGAATCGTGACAAGGATCTCGGACACGGCCTGCTGCGCCAGCGCGTCTCCAGTCGAAGGCGAATCCACGGGCCCCACCACGCACTGGACCGTGATCTCGACGCCCTCGGGCAGGAGGCGCGACACGCCGATGCGCGGAGAGAAGAACGGATCCCTGGGCTCCCCGGGTAGGCCCAGCGGCATCGTGTCCGGCTCGTCGAACCGCATGACGCACGGGATCTGCGCCGAGCGGAGGGAGGCGGTGCGCATCACGGCACCTGCCACGCGGCAAAATCTGCGCTCGCGGGCAGCGGCGTTCCAGGCCGGCGTTCGCACCTGACGCACGGCGGCCTCGACAAAGCGCATGATCCCCGTGGTCGTCTTTGGGTTCTCCGGCGTGGGCAGGACGAACTTGATCTCCACGTACCGGCAGGGGCGACGCGACCGGTTGGCGATCGCCGACCGCATCATCTGAGAATTCGGGACCGTGACGCACGCAGTGTCCCTGCGCGGGCATGGAGGCTACGGGAAGCCGGCTGAGCGAATCGTCGCGCTAGGGCAGCGGTGCGGTCGGCGGCGCAAGCATGCACGGCTCACCTGGAGAGTAACACCTTCGTGACGAGCCAACCAGCGTGAATGACGATACCTTCCACCTTCCCCCTGCGCGGGCAGGGCGGAGCGTTGTTGGGGCGCGTTCATGCGAGGACTGTGCATGACGGAACGGCGACGGTGCGCCAGGTGCGGATTCACGCGACGATCGAGGGCGCGAGGCAGTGCGCACCCGTCTGCGACGACGACGTCTCCCTCGGAGAACGGGCGGAGGATGGCGAGGGCAATGCCGCTGAGGAGGTTTTGCAGAAGGGGCTGCAGCGCGACGCAAGCGGCGAGGCCGGACAGCGCGGCCAGGCCGACGGCGGCGAGGGCCATGTCCGTGCACACCATGCACATGCTCGCGGAGAGGCCCACGAGCGAGACGGTCAGCACGCGATCGACCACCTCGGCGCGTCCCTGGTCGATGCCCAGCTGGCGCTGCAAGGCCGGCGTCGCTGCGCGCTTCAAGTGGAGCAGGACCACCGTGGCCCAGACGACGTAGACGGCGTCGCTGAATCCGGCCACGACAGGGTGCGCGTAGTTCACCGCCGCCCCCGCGGCCTCCAGGCCCGCCGTGAAGTTGTCAAAGGCCCACAGCACGGCGAACGCGCGACCGAGGGACTGCACGACGGGAGTGAGCCGGCTCCACACGCTCCCGTCGTAGTCCTCCAGGTGCGGCCGCCCGATCTTGGCCCGCACCGCGCACGAGAGCGCGTGACAAGCGCGCATCGTTCGCTGCGTGCCAAAGAGCAGCACAAGGGGCAGCCACACCTCCTGCGGCCGCCACGGACTGTTCATCGCCGCGATCTGCACGGAAGACGGGAACGGGCAGCGCGGCGGCAGGTTGGGCCGCGCGGGGGGGACAGGCGCGTCGGTGTGCACTTGCACGGTGACACAGCGCTGTGAGCAGCCAGTGGGCGCACCGTGGTCGTCGCGACGCAGCCCAGGGCATGGAACATGTGCCCGAAGAGCGTCGCCGTCAGCGCCTGCCACGCCCTGCCCACCAGGGGCAACAGCGGGACGCAGCACAGGGCGCCGACACACATCCACGCGCGCGGAACGCGCGGAACGGGTGCCGGGGCGCGATCGGCAGCCTGCGGAGCAGCCTCGCGCCCACCCGCAGCCGGAGCGGCGTGCGCGCGGGGGGCCGCGTTCCGCGGCGGTCTCGCGATCGAGGCCGTGCGCCCCCGCAACACAAGGGGTTGGGCTCCCCTGGCGGCATGGGCTCCCCTGGCGGCATGGGCCCGCACTATTCCGAGCGTGGACGGGGCTGCGATCAGTCCTGACGAAGTCAACATGCTGATGCGTCGCTCGAGCACGGGGTTCGGCGGTCGACGTGGGCAGCGCGGCTCCTCCTGCAGCGTCGTCGTTGCAGGAGCAGCACGACGGCGTTGTTGTGCGTCGCCCGCGGGGTGGCATGTCAGCAGGCGCGTTCGTAGCTGGTCTGTGCGGTCGTCCGGACATCAGACGCCCGCGGAGGTCGTGCCGCCGGGCTCGTGCAGCGAGCCCTGCGACGAGAGATGCTGCCTGCAGCCACACGGCGCCGCAGTGCGCTTGCCTGTCGCCGAGGTTGTTCCTTGTTTGCGCTCGAGAGGCGTGAGCTTCACGAGCACTCCGCGACCGTGAGAGCGCGTGTATATCGCCCAGCGACGGTTGCCTGCCCTAGGCGGATATCGGCTGCGCCTGGTCCGTTGGGCGGTCTGACGTGGCTTGAATCGACTGGCGCTGCCTTTTCCTGCACCGACGCGTTCTAGTGGGCTCGGCCGCCCCCTCGGATCCGGCAAAGTCGCGCCGCGACGTGAGGTCTGCGCCCGGGTAGTTGGCAGGTGATGTCTTGGAAAACAGCCCCGGGCGAACGGCGTTCAACCGTTGACAACGCGGAGCTGCGGGACGGAGGTCTTGTGCGGCCCGGTGCGCGTGCGTGGGCGAGTGCGTAGCTTCAGGCAGCTGACATGAGCGCACGGCAGCCCGTGCTTCCCTGGTGAGGGCACGATGGCCGTCGAAACGGGGGTCTGGGCGGGCATCGCCGTGACTGGAGTGGCCGCAGCGCATGTCGTCGTTGTCCGGGCCTCGAGGGAGTTCACGTCGGAGCGTGGCTCGTGGATGCTGCGCCGGGGATGGTGGGGCCAGCTCGTGGACCTCACCGACGGACAGTGGGCCGCGTTCCGCGCCTCCATCCCGCTGCTCGCCGCCGGCCTGTCGGTCATCGTGCTCATCACTTCTCTGACGAGGCGCCTCGCCCCCTCCGCGGCCTCCTTCGTCTCCACAGCGCTCGGGCTCGCCTTCCTGTGGGTGGCGCACGGCGGGTACTCCGTGGCGCACCTGTGCATCGCGCTGGCGCTGTACGCGTGGACCACGGGGTGCTCCGGCACAAGGTTAGTCCAAGCTATCGTGTCACGTGCGCCTCTCATCGTTCCGGCGTCTAGAGCAGCACCCGCGCCAGTAGTATCCCCTTCGGTGAATGCAACTCGCCTCTCATCATTCGCGCGAGTGGAGCTGACGGCGCAGGTTCTTCGTGCCGGTGACGTGGGCCGCCGCCTGCGCGGTCCTCGCGGCGGTGCGGCTGTACCACGGGTTCGCGTGGCGCGACGTGCACCCGGCGCTGTCGGCGCTCGACGCAGCGGGCGCTGGGTCGATGCGGTGGGACGTCTGCTTCAACTTCACGATGCTGCGCCTGATCAGCTTCGCGATCGACCGCCACAGGGCGGTGGTGACCAAGAACGGGAGCGCCGCGGCGAGGGACGTGGCCAGCAGCGTCGGCGAGCCCCTGCCGCTGGTGCAGTACGGGCTGCTGCCGTTCCTCGAGTACGTGTACTACGCGCCGCTGTACATCACAGGTGAGGGCGCCGCCCACAGCGTGCACCGGGCTGCCGTGGCCCTCGTCCCGTTACGGCAAAGCGGCCGTGCTTGAACGGTGCAGGCGCGCACGCTCGCGGGGGGCGCGACGGGGCGCGACCGGTTTGTACACGATGTTCGGTGCGCGCAGGTCCAGTCATGACGTTCGACGCGTTCACGGCGGCGCGGAGGGCGGCTCGCCGAGGAGGCACTACGACGTCGATGCCAACTGTGCGGACAACGGCGGTGTACGGCGTGCGCGTGGCCCTGCTCCTGGTCCTGGTCGAGCTCTTCACCTCGCACCTGTACACGAACCTGCTCGCGCAGCGCAGTGGAGGTGAGACCGCGCGCACGCCGCGACGACGCACCCGTCGCACGCGTCGTGCGTCACGCTCCCCCTCGCTTTCGCGCACCGCCCGGACGCGCGTGACGCAGCTCGCCCGCGTCTCGTGCAGGCTGGTGGGTGTACCAGCGTCCCGCGGTGGTGGGCTCCCTGGGGTTCACGTCGCTGGTGTACCTGTGGCTCAAGTTCACCGCCATCTGGAGGTTCTTCCGGTTCTTCGCGCTCGCCGACGGAGTGCCCGCGCCGGAGAACCAGCGCCGCTGCATCTGCGACAACTTCACCGTCCAGGTGCGGCCTGCGCGCGCGTCCCTCGCGTGCACGGTGGTCGCCCTGCGGTCGCCATGCGCCGGTGTCCTGTGTCTTGCCCGCCGCGAAACGAGCAGCGCAGCCGCTCGGCGCCACACGCAGGGCTTCTGGCGGAACTGGCACTACTCGTTCTACACGTGGCTGCTGCGGTACGTGTACACGCCGCTGGGGGGGTCTCGATGGCGCGCGGCGAACAGCTTCGTGATCTTCGCGTTCGTCGCGTTCTGGCACGACCTCGACTGGGAGCTGCTCTCGCGGCTCCTGACGTGGGCGGGCCTCATGGCGGCGTTCCTGCTGCCGGAGCAGGTGCTGCTGCGCGCGATGGGGCTCGCGCCGTCCAAGGGGGCGTCGGGCGACGTGGTCGTCGCGGGGACGCTGCGGAGGTCGATCGTGTCGGTGGTGGGCACGGTGCTCATCTGCGGCCTGATCACGGGCTGCCTGGCGGGGTTCGTGATCGGCGGCTCCGGCGTGGTGCCGTTCCTCACGTCGCTGTTCTCGAGCGAAGGTTGGGCGTTCCTGGGGTGCAGCGCGGTGACGCTCTTCGCGGGCGTGCAGCTGATGCTCAGCATCCGGCAGTGGGAGGACGACAACGGCCGGCGGCTGTGCCCAGCGTGACGGGACACGGCTGCGGGCGCCTGGCTGGAGGCCGGGCGCAGCGCGCGGCGAGGTTCAGGGTCCCTTCGACGCGGGCAATCGGTCCGCGGTCCGCCACTACGAGCCGGTGGGCGCAAGCAAGCCCACACTGCAGGTGCAAGGTTGTGCCTTGACGATATCGCATCGACGGGGGTTATCCGGACACGAACTGTCCTGCCATCGCCGGCCCACCAGATGTGCCGCGTGTCGAGTCCTCCGAGGCCCCACACAGCGTCCAGCACGGCGTCGGTGTGGCCGCACAGTGCATGCTCGAGCGGCAGCGGGCTTCGCGCTCGCTCGGGCGCGCTGACGCAGTCGTGTCAGTGGCGCACATTCGGGGAGTCCCGGAGGTCTCGCCGTGCCTGGCCGGTGGCCGCGCAGCCCGGGGGGACCTTGCAGCAACGAGGCTGGGTGCAGCATGAGCGCCGCGCGCGGGCGCCGGCGGCCGGCGGCGGCTTGCGGGCGAGCGTGCTCGGCGTACGCGGAGAGCCGGCGCGCAATGCGGAGGCTGCTCGCGCTCCCGCCGCC